GAGTTCAACAGTTTTTGTCTTTTTGTGTAAAATTAACATACAGTGTGTATTAGTTACCAATTTATAACCAATTACCTTAACACATAGCGCCCTAAAACAAACCAAAACCCTATGCATTATCTTATACAGTTTCTGTGGGTCAGGCATTTGGGAGTAGCTTCACAGGATGGTGTGGTTCAGGGACTCTCAGGAGGTTGCATGAAGCTTTTGACAAGAGCTGCGGTCCTCTGAAGGCCTGCCTGGGGCTGGAGGACACATCTCCTGGGTAGTTCACTCACATCCGTGTGGGAAGAGGCCTCCGTTCCTCACTAGCTGACAGCAGGAAGCCTCAGTTCTTCACCACTGCCACCTTTCCTAGGCTGCTTGAGTCTCCTCATGAAATGGCTGCCAGCTTCCTCCAAAAGAGTGGTCCTAGAGAGAAAAGCAGCAGCCACGTGTGTCTTAAGATCCAGCCTTAGGAGTCAAACTCCATCATTTCTCCAGTAGCCTTGGTTACTTAGATAAGCTCTGTTATGGCTGAATTGTGTTCTCTCAGAATTCATATGTTGAAGCCCTAATCCCCAGTACCATAGAACCTGTGTTTAAAGAGTACCTTTCTTTCTTCCTTTCTTCTTGTCTTTTCTTTTTTCTTTCTTTTTGAAACTGAGTCTCACTCAGTCACCCAGGCTGGAGTACGGTGGCATGATCTCGACTCACTGAAACCTCTGCCTCCCAGGTTCAAGTGATTCTCCTGCCTCAGCCTCCTGAGTAGCTGGGATTACAGGCACCCACCACCACACATAGCTAATTTTTGTGTTTTTAGTAGAGATGGGGTTTCACCGTGTTGGCCAGGCTGGTCTCGAACTCCTGACCTCAAGTGATCCATCCACCTTTAAAGAGGTAATTAAGTTAAAATGAGGTCGTTAGGGTGGGCCCTAATCCAATCTGACTGCTGTCCTTGTGAGAGGAGGCGATTAGGACACCAGCGACACCAGAGGAAAGACCATGTGAGGACATAATGAGAAGGTGGCCATCTGCAAGCCAAGGAGAGAGGCCTCGGGAGAAACCACCCAGCCAACACCTGGATCTTGCAACCTCTAAAACTTGAGAAAATAAATTTCGGCCAGGTGCAGTGGCTCACCCTTGTAATCCCAGCAGTTTGGGAGGCCGAGTAAGGAGAATCCCTTGAGGCTAGGAGTTCAAGGCCAGCTGGGAAAACATAGCAAGAGCCTAACTCTATTTTTAAAAGAAAGAATTAAAAGTTTAATAAGCCGGGCGCGGTGGCCCACGCCTGTAATCCCAGCACTTTGGGAGGCCGAGGCGGGCGGATCACAAGGTCAGGAGATCAAGACCACGGTGAAACCCCGTCTCTACTAAAAATACAAAAAATTAGCCGGGCGCGGGGCGCGGCGGCGGGTGCCTGTAGTCCCAGCTACTCAGGAGGCTGAGGCAGGAGAATGGCGCCAACCCGGGAGGCGGAGCTTACAGTGAGCCGAGATCGCGCCACTGCACTCCAGCCTGGGCGACAGGAGCGAGACTCTGTCTCAAAAAAAAAAAAAAAAAAAAAAGTTTAATAAAGGAAAATTAATTCCTGTTATTGAGCCCCTTAGCCTGTGGTATTGTGTCATGGCAACCTGAGCATATTAATACAAGCTTCATCCAGCATTGGAGATGACTGTATAGGGGCATGAATACAGGGACAAGAATCACCAGAGCCATCTTGGAGACCGGCTGCCACTCAATGAAATGCACAGATCTTGAGTGAACACTTACTACGTTTTGACAATTGTATACACCTGTGTAACCGAAACCCCTGACAAGAACATCACCATCACCCCAGGAAGCTCCCTCAGGTCCCTTCCAAGTCACTTCCCAACCCCTTCCCCCAGAGGTAACCACTCTTCCAATTCTTTTTCCACCATGGATTAGAGATTCCTGTTCGAGATTCTCAAATACATGGAATCACGTAGTGTATGTTTTCCCGTGAGGCTTTTTTCACTCTGCATATTTCTGAGATTCATCCATTTTGCTGTATGTCTTACAAGTTGTTCCTTGTGGCCGGGCACGGTGGCTCACACCTGTAATCCCAGCACTTTGGGAGGCCAAGGAGGGCAGATCACGAGGTCAGGAGTTTGAGACCAGCCTGACCAACATGGTGAAACCCCATCTCTACTAAAAATACAAAAATTAGCTGGGCGTGGTGGTGGACACCTGTAATCCCAGCTACTCAGGAGGCTGAGGCAGGAGAATCACTTGAACTCAGGAGGCAGAGGTTGCAGTGAGCTGAGATTGTGCCACTGCCCTCCAGCCTGGGCGACAGAGCGAGACTCTATCTCAAAAAAAAAAAAAAAGTTCCTTGTTATCATTGAGTCACATTCCATGAACGTATCACAGATTTCTCTTTATCCATTCTTCATTGGTGGACACAGGTGCTGTTTCTTTCTTTTTACACTCAGTTGTTGATGAGTAGATTTCTCCACCTGTTTCTCCAGTGCTATGTTGAACTTGGGAAGTGAATGAGCCATGAGCGGTCCTAAGGCTTTGAGGCCCTCATCTACCTGGGTTTCTCCTCTACAGCCTCCCACTGGGGTGTCATCTGGGTTGGCAAGACATCGTGATGTCCGGTCCCAAACTTCTACCGCATTCCCCTGATGTGGAGAGGGCCTTTCGTCTTCCTGTAGAGAGGAGATCCCTTGTGTCAGACCCGGGCCCCTCTACTCCACGCTTAGGAGAACACTGCCAACGCCAGGACTCCAGGTTGGCTTTTCATGGAAAGCACCCATTTTTGAGGAATCTGAGGAAGCTCTTTCCTCTCTTAACAAAGCTGGACTCTTCAAACAAAATTGTTTTGCTTTTAGACCATTGCCTTGCTTTAGATTTGAAAAATTCTGTTTGGAAACACAAAGCCAAGGACGTATTTGTTCTCGGTCAGGGTTTCTCAGTCTTGGCACTGCTGACATTTGGGGCCAGATAATTGTTTGTCATAGGGCGTTGTTTTGAGGCAAAGCCTTGCTCTGTAACCCAGGCTGGAGTGCAGTGGTACAATCTTGGCTCGCTGCAACCTCTACCTCCAGATTCAAGCGATTCTCCTGCCTCAGCCTCCCAAGTAGCTAGGATTCAGGCGCCCACCACCACGCCTGGCTAATTTTTGTATTTTTAGTGGAAATGGAGTTTCGCCATGTTGGCCAGGCTGGTCTCGAACTCCTGTCCTCAAGTGATCTGCCTGCCTCAGCCTCCCATTGTGCTGTGATTACAGGCGTGAGCCACCAGGCCTGGTCCAGCCTGTGCATTGTTGAGTGTTTAGCAGCATCCCTGGCTTCTACCCACTTGATGCTCTCAGCAGATCTCCCCCACTCAAGCTGTGATGCTCAAAATTGTCCCCAGATGTTACCAGATGTTACCAGATATCACCTGAGGGGCAGAATCGCCCTGGTCAAGGCCCCCTGTCTTGGTGGTGCTCGCCCTTCTCCTCCAACAGGCAGTAAGGCCGCAGCTCCAAGGCCGAATCTTAATGGAAAAGCTTATACAGGTGAGGGAGGAAGAATTAGAATGGAGAATGGAAAGGCATGGGGTGATATTTAAAGATACCATCCTGATTTGTATGTACTGTAAGTAATGGAATAATAATAATGGGATTGTTTGACCCTAACACTGGTATCCTACTTTTTGAAACGTAACACTATATCATGAAGGTCAATACATTTACAGCATAATGGTTATGAATACAGGCTCTGGATCAGACAAACCTGGGTTCAGATCTTGACTCTTTATCACTCACCAGCTGTGGGACCTTCAGCAAGTACTTGGCATCCCTGTGCTTCAGTTCCCTCACTTACAAAATATGATATGAATGCCATATCGCTAGTTGTTATGCTGTATTTTTATTGTTGTATTGTTATTTTTTATTGGGTTTTTAAGAAGTATTTTTGGCCAGGCATAGTGGCTCCCATCTGTAATCCCAGCACTTTGGGAGGCTGAGACAGGAGGATCACTTAAGCTTAGAGGTTTGAGACCAGCCTGGATAACATAGCAAGTTCCTGTCTCTACAAAAAAATTATAAATTAGCCAAGCACAGTAGCATGCATGCACCTGTAGTCCCGACTACTTGGGAGCCTGAGGTGGGAAGATCAATTGAGCCCAGGAGGTCAAGGCTGCAGTGACCCGTGATCGTGCTACTGTACTCTAGACTGGGTGACAGAGCAAGACCCTGTCTGTCTGTCTGTCTCTCTCTCTCTCTCTCTCTATATATATATATATACACACACACACACACACACATATATTTTCAATCCACAGTTGGTTGACTCCACAAATGTGGAACCCGCACATACGGAGGGCCAGCTGTATCTACTTCTTGTTATAAGTCCCAGTATCACAGAACCAGATATAAATAAGGCTTTGAGGGCCATACAGTCTGTGTTGCAACTACTCAACTCTGTATTTGTGGCACAAAAGCAGCCATAGATGGTACATACGTGAGTAACTGTGGCCACATTCCAATAAAACTGTGCTTTCAGTCATAGGCAGTGGCTGGATTCAGCCCCAGGGCTGTAGCTGGCCAGTCCCTGCTCTACCTAATGCTTCATTTACTCCTCACAGTAGCCCTTTATGATACAGACTATTCATGCCCCTCAATGATACGTGTGGAAACTAAGGCTAAAAGGTATTAAATGACCTGCCCAGGAGATTAAATGATCTGCCCAAGATCATCCGCTGTTCTGTGGCATAGGAAAAAGGTCTGGAAAAAGACACATCATGTTAGGTAACAGCACAGTTAGCACAGGAAGAAGGAAGGAGGTGGCCCTTTCTCTCTCTGGTACTTCCGTGATGCTTTCACTGCTTTTCAGTGAACACACACACCACTTTGTGAATTTTTTTTTTTTTTTTGAGACAGTCTTGCTCTGTCGCCCAGGCTGGCGTGCAGTGGCACGATCTCGACTCACTGCAAGCTCCACCTCCTGGGTTCACGCCATTCTCCTGCCTCAGCCTCCCGAGTAGCTGGGACTATAAGTGCCCACCACCACGCCTGGCTAATTTTTTCTATTTTTAGTAGTCACTGTATTAGCCAGGATGGTCTCGATCTCCTGACCACGTGATCCGCCCGCCTTGGCCTCCCAAAGTGCCGGGATTACAGGTGTGAGCCACCACGCCTGGCCTGTAATTTTTAAATTACATAAAATGTCTATGTCTGGGGGGAAACAAACAGGAAGGCTAATGTGAACATCTTCTTCAGGCCTCAGGGAAACTCATGATGTCTTTTGTGCTCTCTGCTGATCTCATGCCTTAGTGTGGACCAATGCCATGAAACTGTCGGAAAAACCACTGGCCGAGGGGATTCCTGGGGCAGTTCCCCCCGCGGAGATTTATGTGGAGGAGGACTTGGCCCAGCAGGACAAGGTGAGGGAAGGGTCTGGGGAAGGGTGGAGCTACAGCAGCAGTCACACTGCAGAGGGACTCGCTGATGCCTGTTCTTCTCTGTGGCCCAGAAGTGCCCTTATCCTGCTTCCAAGAAACCACCTCTTATTCCCTAAGACATTCAACCAGATGTTTTATTCTAATTATGACCTCCGCAACCACTGTTTATTAAGCATCTACTGTGAGCTGGACTGCATCCCATGCACTTAACATTCATTCGCTCGTTTAATCTTTGCTGTCTTCAAAATAGGTTTTTGATCACCCTCACTTAACAAGGAGGAAACTGGAGCTCAGAGAGGTTAAGTAACTTACCCAAGGTTACACAGTACAAGGGGCAGAATTGGAATTCACACCCAGGTCTGGTTAACTTCCCTAGTAGGAGGAAGTGAGAGCTGAGGTCAGAGATGACTGAGCAAATGAGAAAGACGTGTTAAAGAACCAGAGAGGTTTAGAGAGTGAGAGAGGAAAAAAGGTCAGAACAGATGAATGTAAGCATACCTGGGAAGGATGGATCCAGGCTGATTTCGCCTCACTTAGCCACAACCTGAAAATTATATTATAATCGACTACTTTTGCACCAACCTAATACTAAAAGCGGTAGTCCAACAATGCCATGCTTCCCCTGAAGATCAGGGCCTGAGCCTGCAGCAATTCTCAGAGTCTGTAAGGAGCAGAACCACCTGGAGCTCTTGTCACACATGGGAGTGACATTTCCAGGAATCTGCAGCAAGGGTGAGTAAGGTGGGAAGTCAGGTTTGGATGCTCTGTCAGTTACCCATTGATGTAAACTAGTGAGCCCAAAACTTAGTGGCTTGAAACTGCAATTTATTTCCCACAATTCTATGGGTCGCCTTAGAAGGTTCTCCTGCTGGTGTCTTCTGCCTCACTCATGCAACTGCAGTCAGCCAGTGGCGTGGCAGGGACTGATGGTCTCAGAAGGCCTCATTCCCGTGTCTGGGACCTCAGTTGGGACACCTGGAATTAGTTTTTTTTTGTTTGTCTGTTATTGTTTTTTTTTAGTTTCTTCCCACAGACAGATTTTTTTTTTGAAGTTTTTATAGAGTTTTTATTAGTTTTCTTTTTTAAATTTTTCCTTAAGTTATCGGGGTACAGGTGGTATTTGGTTACGTGAGTAAACTAGTACAGCCACTGTGGAAAACAGCATGGAGATGCCTTAAAGAACTAAAAGCAGAACCACCATTTGACCTGGAAATCCCACTACTAGGTATCTACTCAGAGGAAAAGCAGTCATTATTTGAAAAAGATACTTGCACACACATGCTTATGGCAGCACAATTCACAACTGCAAAATCACGGAACCAATCCAAATGCCCATCCATCAACAAGTGGGTAAAGAAACTGTGGTATATATATTCAATGGAATACTACGCAGCCATCAAAAGGAATGAATTAACAGCATTTGCAGTGACCTGGATGAGATTGGAAACTATTATTCTAAGTGAAGTAACTCAGGAATGGAAAACCAAACATCGTATGTTCTCACTGATATGTGGGCACTAAGCTATGAGGACACAAAGGCAGAAGGATGATACAGTGGACTTTGGGGATTTGGGGGGAAGAGTGGGAGGAGGGTGAGGGATCAAAGTCTACAAATATGATGCAGCGTATACCGCTCGGGTGATAGGTGCACCAAAATCTCACCGTTAAAAATCACCACTAAAGGAACTGTGAGCCCTCTCTGCGTGTGGCTTTTCATCCTGGGCTGCTTCATAGCAGTACAGTGGTCTCTGGGTTTCCAGAGGTCCAGGACAGAAGCTGTACAGCCTCTTAAGAAATTGCTCGGAGACCACCCAACATCACGTCTATCACTCTCTCCTGGTCAAAACAGATCACAGGGCCAGCCTAGATTTAGGGGCTGGGGAAATAGACTCCACTGCTTGATGGCAGAAGCTGCAAAGTTATTTGTAGCCATTTTTAATCCACCACAGTTGTTAAGCTGGAAATAGGATGCAACCACATTTCTAAATTTTTACTATTTATGAAGTGTTTATGCCCTGACTTGTCAGAACTCCTTCAAGTGCAAGTGACAACAAACAAATTGGTTTAAGAAAAAATAGGCTGGGCTCAATGGCTCACGCCTGTAATCCCAGCACTTTGGGAGGCCAAGCAGGAGGATCACCTGAGCCCAGGAGTTCAAACCCAGCCTAGGGAACATAGTACGACTCCATTTCTCAACAAGGGAAAAAAAAAAAAAACCTGGTCAAAAAAAAAAAAAAAAAAAAAAAAAAGAAAAATAGAAACTAAAAGCATTTTTTATTGTCTTATTTTATTGGAAAATATAAAAGCACAACCAGCTTCAGGCATGACTGGATCTAGGAGCTTAAATGATCAGGGTGCTCCCTGCTATCAGTTTCTCCACTGCTTTCCTCATAGTTCTGCTTTCTGCAGCAGGCTGGCTTCTTATGTTGAAAAACATGACTGTAAACACACTGAAGTCTCTAAAGGTTATGATCTCAAAGGAAGCAAGAGCTTCTTCCTCTTTTAAGTAATACATGAAATCTCTGAGAAAATGCCAGCTGACCAACCTGGGTCACATGCACAATGGCAGGCGGGACAGGAAGGATCAGGGCACATAACTGACCCTCCTGCCAAGACCACGTGGAAGGGTCAGGGGTGCTGACTCAAGGAAGTCACAGGGTCCTCACTAGAAAGGCAGGAACCGTAGCTGTACACCATAAGCTGCAGGCTTCTCTGTACTTCAGCACCCAGCACAAGCATGGTACACAGTAGATGCTCAATACATGTTTGTTGTGTGGATATTGAACAAACACCTGGCTGGAAATGGAGCCCTTGGGTAACTCATATTGGATGAGGCAAGGGGCTGCCCCAGAGCATGGACTCTGTTTGAGGCTGTCCTTTGAAATGTTGCCACAAGCACTCACAGGGACCCAAGGACAGACCCTGAGCAGCAGTCGGGCTCCATCATGACCAAAACCCGGTGGTTCCCCAGGTTAGCAAGCTAGAAGGTCGAGCTCCCCAGGCAATGCACTGGCCTAGAAACTGCCCACCCGCCTCCTTCCAACCAGTGGAAAATTGCATGGAGAGCAGAGTTTCCTCTCAAAGTAACTGATCAGGAACTCCGTAGCTGCCTGTGAATCACGTCGGGGAATTTTTGTTGTCAGTCTTCCTGATATTTTATTGATGAGTTCTGGCGAGAAGTTTGGGGGACTTTTTCCCGCTTTTTCAGGAAACCTAACCAATTCTTCGGCTACAGTGTTTTTTTCTTTTGGAGAGCTGGGGGACTGGGTTAATGAGACCTGTGGGTACAGCCTGCCAAGCCCAGAGTTTTTTCCAGCCTGAAGTTTACAAGAGCCTACATACATAAATCACCATTCCTCTCTCATTTATTTTTCATGACTCAGTTACCTGGACTACATTTTTATGTGAATAACCAAAAGAGCCAGGGAATAACAGAAGAGAGGAAAGGGGAAAAGCTATTTCAGAATGTATTAAGTTTGTAAAGTTAAATAGCCCCATTATAGTCAGAATATGGTTGAATAGAGTCATTTCCTTAATTACCTTTCCTTGGTTCCCAGATGTTAGACTGAGGCCTGGTAAGTTAATTCCTAAAAATATTATAAATAAACTTTTTGGCAACAAAAATTCCCAAGAGGGATGGTGGTTCTTAATATGAAAGTATAATTTTAGGGGAAAGGAAAGTTTCTGTCCCTCTAAGGTATCCACATGCATTGTAGGAGTCTGTGTGCAAGCAGTCGTTTTCACCACACTATCGTCTCTCTGAGTTTCCAAGTGGCAGAGAGAGCCTCAAAGTCTGCCTTTCCCCTGCCTGCCTGCCCCTACTTTCCCAAAAGAATTACACTATAATTTTCCTACCTTTTTTTTGAGTCAGAGTTTCACTCTTATTGCCCAGGCTAGAGTGCAATGGCATGGTCTTGGCCCACTGCAACCTCTGCCTCCTGGGTTCAAGCGATTCTCCTGTCTCAGCCTCCCAAGCAGCTGGGATTACAGGCACTCACCACCACACCTAGCTAATTTTTTAATTTTCAGTAGAGACAGGGTTTCACCATGTTGGCCAGGCTGGTCTTGAACTCCTGACCTCAGGCGATCCACCTGCCTTGGCCTCCCGAAGTGCTGGGATTACAGGCGCGAGCCACCGCACCCGGCCTCTACCTTTTTTTCTTTTTAAATGGGCTCAGCCTCACACCTAGGCCCACACCTAGTAAGCTTGCCATCTGATCTCTACCCAGGATGAAATCATTCTGCTGCTGGGAAAAGAGGTCAGCCGTCTCTCAGATTATGAAATTGAATCCAAATACAAAGACGTCATAATAGCAAACCTGCAGACGGAAGTGGCTGAGCTGAGTCAGAAGCTGTCGGAGACCACCACCTCCAGGCAGAATGAGAGGGAGATCTCACAGAAGTGTCAGGTTCTGGATGAAGACATCGATGCCAAACAGAAAGAGATCCAGAGCTTGAAGAGCCAGGTAGGCAGAGCCTGAGAGGTACAGCACAGCTCTCAGACCAAGGCCTGGGAGCCTTCAAGAGCCCCAACCAAGGTGAGACACCCGGAGTTAGGGAACAGGTGGTCAGTGGAGCATGGTGGTTAAGAACACAAATCCACAAGGCTGAGAGACTCGGCAGTTTCCTAGCATGGTAAGAACAAGATCAGCCTTTGTTCAGCACTGGCCACGAGCAAGAACTAGTACAAAGCACTTTGGAGTAACTTATTTAAACCTCACAGTCCTCTGACACATCCATTCTACAGATGAAGGGTCTAAGGCAGGCCCAGGCCGGGCACGGTGGCTCACACCTGTAATCTGGCACTTTGGGAGGCTGAGGCAGGCGGATCACTTGAGGTCAGGAGTTGGAGACCAGCCTGGCCAATATGGTGAAACCCTGTCTCTATTAAAAATACAAAAATTTGCCAGGCGTGGTAATGCATGCCTGTAATCCCAACTACTCGGGAGGCCGAGGCTGAACCTGGGAAGCAGAGGTTAGTGAACCGAGATTGCACCACTGCACTCCAGCCTGGGTGACAGAGTGAGACCCTGTGTCAAAAAGAAAGAAAGAAAAAAGTCTAAGACAGGCCCAGAGACACCCAGGAACTGCTTACAGCTTGCACAGCACGTGAGAGGTGGTGGTGCAATTTGAACTCAGGTCCACCTTCTCGCAGACCCCATGTTCTCACCCCGATTTCCTATTTCCCCACGATGCTGTCACTTCAGTGACTGCATCTCACCCAAATCCAGCCCCAGCCAGAGAGCGCTATGGGCAGTTAGCTAAGTGGGGAGAAGGAACCACCCAGTGTTCCAAACACAGAGGCCTTTACCAAACTCTGAGGAAGTTAGTTGCTGGTTCCCTTACAGGGAATTTCATCAAACAAAAATTCTTCACCTGGAATTTCCGAATTTATCAGTCATGTACGTTTCTCTTGAAACTTGATTCAAATTCCTTTTTTTTTACTTTAAAATTGTTTGGTGATGGCCGGGCGCAGTGGCTCACGCCTGTAATCCCAGCACTCGGGAGGCTGAGGCAGGAGAATCGCTTGATCCTGAGTGGTGGAGGTTGTAGTGAGCTGAGATTGTGCCACCGCACTTTAGCCTGGGCAACAGAGCAAGACTCTGTCTCAAATAAAAAAAAAGAAAGAAAGAAAGAATTACTCTGACTAATTAATACTACTCCCCCCACTTTGATCTTGGCTCATAATTGAAAGATGATAATTTTATAACAAAGCATCTCTGAGCTAAAGGATGCAGTTGGTCTGAATCCAAATCAAGTTTCATCTGCTCACATTTTAGTCTCTTAAATATTCTACTGCCAACAGAACATTCAAGCAGACGTATAAGCCACATGGCAGGTTGATTTATTGTTCTGATTACTTTATTCTCCCGGGTCTCCTGAAAGTGTGTGCATAACGATTTGCTCTCAAAGCCCTTCGATCCGATCCGATACCCTAAGACGATGCGTACCGCCATGCAGTCTGCGCTGCCTGTGCTAATTAGAAGCTGAATTAGTATCTTGAAGCAATCAGTCTTCCTAGCACTATTAACTTTCTTATGACCCAGTGCCCATTTTATTACACAGTATAACAGGCACTAAACACCTGGGGATTTATGCCAATTATGGACAATATGGATATTTATTTTGGTCATGAAATTGATGAAGGTGTTTGAAGACTACTTGGAGTTTTCCCACAGTCTGATATCCTAAAGCTCTGATACTTAGATTGAAACATTTCCTGTCTGTCAGACAGCACTGGAGTCTGGGGGATGTGTTTTCCCATCCCTTCTGGAAGTTTCTCTCTGTGTTGTGCCTCTGGTATGCAAACAAAAGCATTAAGCTGAGAAGAGCTGTAACTTTTAAAACAAAAAATCCAAGTGCCTTTTTATGGGAGCATTGCATGGCCCCACAGAAAACAGGAAGAAGTGAAATAATTTTTTTCACTCCAAGTTTCCAAAGTGCAGACCTGCACATGTATGGCCTTGGAGAGGGTTGGGGCTTTGCAGCCCATGTCCCTCCATCATCTAGTGAGCACCCCTTCTCCAGTGTCTCAGAGGCCCCAGGGAAAATGTGAGTGGTGCACGAAATGGGCCGTGTAAATTGTGAAACCTTGATCCTTCTGTTAATTCTACCACCAAGTCATAGCCACAAGATTTTCAGGGACAGACACTAAAACAGACTATGAGCGCCACCTGGTGGCCAGGTGCAGGGCACACCGTATCTGCATTGTTGGTGTCCCCCCACTCCCACCCTGTCATATGTTATGATATGCCTGAAACACGATGTGATGATTAACAGGAATTCTTGCACTCCTCTTAATAACAATCACACTTGTGTTTAAGTGAGCCTAGGCAAGGCTTACAAATGCACACAGAAATATTATCAATCTAACTTCCTGGAGACAGGCAAGAGAAGTAGAAGCTAAAACATATCGTGGAATAATCAGAGCTAGTATCTATGTGTGCGCCAGGCATGGTCTGAGTACTCTTACATGTACTAACTTATTAGAATACTTTTAACAACCCTGAAATTACGACCGTCACCGCACTTACAGAATAAAAAAGTGGGACAGAATTGGTGTTCCCCCTACCTTTACGCAGAGACCAATTTTGCAGACAGCAGTCTGCCTCCTGCGTCCCTACCATGCTCCACGGCCTCAGGCTCTTAATGCTGGTTCCTAGAGCCACATGATAAGTGGCAAGCACTGGAAGCAGGCAACTAAAGCCTGGATTTGGATCATAACTCTACCACTGACTGATCTGTGCAATCCCAAGCAAGCAACCTCACCCCTGAGTCTTGATTTCCTCACTTGCAAAATGGGAGCTGATATGGCTTGGCTGCGTCCCCACCAAATCTCATCTTGAATTGTATCCCAGAAATTCCATGTGTTGTGGGAAGGACCCAGGGGGAGGTAATTGAATCATGGGGGCCAGTATTTCCTGTGCTGTTCTCGTTATAGTGAATAAGTCTCAGGAGATCTGATGGGTTTATCGGGGGTTTCCACTTTTGCTTCTTCCTCATTTTCTCTTGCTGCCACCATGTAAGAAGTGCCTTTCACCTCCCACCATGATTCTGAGGCCTCCCCGACCATGTGGAACTGTAAGTCCAATTAAACCTCTTTTTCTTCCCAGTATCGGGTATGGCTTTATCAGCAGTGTGAAAACAGACTAATACACTAAATTGGTACCAATACAGTGGGACATTGCTGAAAAGATACCTGAAAATGTGGAAGCAACTTTGGAACTGGCTAACAGAGGTTGGAACAGTTTGGAGGGCTCAGAAGAAAACAGGAAAATGTGGGAAAGTTTGGAACTTTCTAAAGACTTGCTGAATGGCTTTGACAAAAAGCCTGATAGCAATATGGACAATCAGGCCCAGGCTGAGGTAGGCTCAGATGGAGATGAGGAACTTGTTGGGAACTGGAACAAAGGTGACTCTTGTTATGTTTTAGCAAAGAGGCTGGTGGCATTTTACCCCTGCCCTAAAGATTTGTGGAACTTTGAACTTGAGAGAGATAATTTAGTGTATCTGGCCGAAGAAATTTCTAAGCAGCAAAGCATTCAAAAGGTGACTTGGGTGCTGTTAAAAGAATTCCATTTTAAAAGGGACACAGCATAAAAGTTCAGAAAATTTGCAGCCTGATGATGGAGTAGAAAAGAAAAACCCATTTTCTGGGGAGAAATTCAAGCCAGCTGCAAAAATTTGCTTAAGTACCAAGGAGACTAATATTAATCCCCAAGGCCATGGGGGAAATGTCTCCAGGGCATGTCAGAGACCTTCACAGCAGCCCCTCCCATTACAGGCCCAGAGGCCCAGGAGGAAAAAGTGGTTTTGTGGGCCAGGCCCAGGGTCCCCATGCTGTGTGCAGCCTAGGGACGTGGTGCCCTGTATCCCACGCCCTACAGCCATGGCTAAAAGGGGCCAACATAGAGCTCAGGCTGGGGCTTCAGTGGGTGGAAGCCCCAAGCCTTGGCAGCTTCCACATAGTGTTGAGCCTGCAGGTGCACAGAAGTCAAGAATTGAAGTTTGGGAACCTCCACCTGAATTTCAGAAGATGTATGGAAACGCCTGGATGCCCATGCAGAAGTTTGCTGTGGGGTCGGGGCCCTCATGGAGAACCTTTGCTAGGGCAGTGCAGAAGGGAAATGTGGGGTCAGAGCCCCTACACAGAGTCCCTACTGGGGCATTGCCTAGTGGAGCTGTGAGAAGAGGGCCCCCATCCTCCAGACCTCAGAATGGTAGATCCACCAATGGCTTGAATTATGCTCCTGGAAAAGCCACAGACACTCAATGCCAGCCCGTGAAAGCATCTGGGAGAGAGGCCATACCCTGCAAAGCAACAGGGGCAGAGCTGCCCAAGACCGTGGAAACCTACCTCTTGCATCAGCGTAATCTGGATGTGAGACCTGGAGTCAAAAGATCATTTTGGAGCTTTAAAGTGTGACTGTGCTGCTGGATTTCAGACTTACATGGGCCCTGTAACCCCTTTGTTTTGGCCAATTTCTCCTATTTGGAATGGCTGTATTTACCCAATACCTGTACCCCCATTGTACCTAGGAAGTAACTAGCTTGCTTTTGATTTTACAGGCTCATAGGCAGGAAGGACTTGCCTTGTCTCAGATGAGACTTTGGACTGTGGACTTTTGAGTTAATGCTGAAATGAATTAAGACTTTGGGAGACTATTGGGAAGGCATGGTTGGTTTTGAAATGTGAGGACATGAGATTTGGAGGGGCCGGGGCAGAATGATATGGTTTAACTGTGTCCCCACCAAATCTCAACTTGAATTATATCTCCCAGAGTTCCCACGTATTGTGGGAGGGACACAGCGGGAGGTAATTGAATCATAGGGGCTGGTCTTTCCCATGCTATTCTCGTTATAGTGAATAAGTCTCACAAGCTCTGATGGGTTTATCAGGGGTTTCCACTTTTGCTTTTTCCTCATTTTCCCTTGCCGCCGCCGTGATTCTGAGGCCTCCCCAGCCAGTGGAACTGTAATTCCAATTAAACCTCTTTTTCTTTTTCTTTTTCTTTTTTTTTTTTTTAGACAGAATATCGCTCTGTCACAAGGCTGGAGTCCAGTGGTGTGATCTCGGCTCACTGCAAGCTCTGTCTCCCGGGTTCATGCCATTCTCCTGCCTCAGCCTCCCGAGTAGCTGGGACTACAGACGCCCACCATCACACCTGGCTAATTTTTTGTGTTTTTAGTAGAGACAGGGTTTCACCGTGTTAGCCAGGATGGTCTCGATCTCCTGACTTCATGATCCGCCTGCCTCGGCCTCCCAAAGTGCTGGGATTACAGGCATGAGCCACTGTGCCCGGCCTAAACCTCTTTTTCTTCCCAGACTCGGTTATGTCTTTATCACAGCATGAAAACAGACTAATACAGGAGCATTCCCTAGAGCCTCCTGCAGAGAGACCATGAGGCCCTGTTGAAGGAGTAGTGTCTGTGAGTGGGCTTTGTAAGCTCTAGAGTGTTCTATGAGATAAAACCTGTTGTTATCATTTGAGGGAATTAATTTTATAACGTGCTTCCCTCTCTTTTTTTTTTTTTTTGAGACGGAGTCTCGCTCTGTCGCCCAGGCTGGAGTGCAATGGCGCAATCTCGGCTCACTGCAAGCTCCGCCTCCCGGGTTCACGCCATTCTCCTGCCTCAGCCTCCCGAGTAGCTGGGACTACAGGCGCCCGCCACTGCGCCCGGCTAATTTTTTCTATTTTTAGTAGAGACAGGGTTTCACCATGGTCTCGATCTCCTGACCTTGTGATCCGCCCGCCTCGGCCTCCCAAAGTGCTGGGATTACAGGCATGAGCCACCGCGCCCAGCCGTGCTTCCCTCTCTTGAACTTTGCTCTGTATCCAGTCAGTACTAGGTGACCTGGAACTAACAGGTGGTCTGTTTGTGGCTGAGAGTCCAAAGGTCATTGGAAGGCACATTAAGGAACCAGGTACCCCCAGTGGCAGCCGGGCCTGGGCCCCTTTATGGGCACAAAGATAAGGTTCATATTTTGATGACATAGGAAGTGGTCCTTGAAGGAACAGGCCCTCCCCTGTCCCTCCCACTAGTTAAAACTAAAAAGCTTAGCTTCCCCAACACCCCAGCCAAAAATCAACCTGAATCTTTCTGTCAAGCTTGTAAGAAGTACCTGTGTGTCTCCCAGGTGTGGGCCAGCCCCCCTCTGACTGTGCCGCCTCCTCCCACAGATCAGTGCCCTGCAGAAAGGGTACAGCCAGGTGCTGTGCCAGACCCTGTCGGAGCGGAACTCAGAAATCACATCCCTGAAGAACGAGGGTGAGAACTTAAAGAGGGACAACGCTATCGCATCAGGTGAGCCCTTTTTGGAGCTGGGCCTGGGAGCTGCCACTCCCGCACCCCATGTTCTTGGCCACAGCAGACATAGCCAATCAACCATATACTTTTTGTTACTGAACTTGGCTGCAGCCTCAAAGTTCTTCCCAGCATCCCTTTAGGCAGCTCCTGTCCATGAACCTGAGTTCGTCCTCAGAGGTTTATGTGCCATCTCTTAGCTAAAGGGCCTGCTGAACATGGACCTCACCAGGGAGCACACAGGACAAGCTGTGGCTCAGGCAGTCCCGTGAGCCAGTTTGCTATGAATGCGAACTAGAATGTGGCTAGAATGGGGTTGCCTGTTTAAGGCACCCAGCCTCTTACCCAATCTCACACTGGTGCTCTTGGGCCACAGCGAAAGCATTTTGCTAATTGAGAGGTAGCTGATGCTCCAGAACTTGGGTGGGAATGGGGCAGCCAACTCATGGCCCCCCCTTGCCAGGCACAGTTGTTTCTTAACCTGGACTCATTCCTTCATTCATTCATTCAACACATTTATGAAGCGCCTACTAGATGCCAGGCACTGCTCTAGGCACTGGGGAGAGAGAGCCCTGAGCAAACGGTCAAGATCCCCTGCTCACGGGGCTCACACGTGGGAGAGGATGACAGACAGTAAGAAGTAAACAGATAAATGAACAAGCCCATACCAGAGAGAGATCAGTCCTCCAGAAGAAATAAAGCTGGACACCATGGTGGGGAAGCACTTCATGGGGTGAAGTGAAAGAGAATAGCTTAGTGCAAGCTTGTCCAGCCCGCAGCCTGCGGGCCACATATGGCCAAGGACAGCTTTGAATGAGGCCCAACACAAATTCATCAACTTTCCTAAAACATTATGAGATTTTATTTTTTGGCGATTTTTGTTTGTTTGTTTTTTGTTTTTGTTTTTGTTTTAGCTCATCAGCTATTGTTAGTATGAGTGTATTTTATGCGTGGCCCAAGACCATTCTTCTTCCAGTGTGGCTCAGGGAAGCCAAAAGATTGGACACCCCTGGCTTAGTGCCTGGGCAGGGATATCTCTGAGGAGGTGGGAGGGGCTGTCGGGAGGCCCCTGGGATCCGTATGCCAGTCAGAGAGCGTGGGTGTAAAGGCCCTGAGGCAGCACCAAGGCGCGGTATGGGAGCAGCGGCCAGCGAGTGTGGCTGGGGTCAGGGAACAAGGGGCTGTGGGACCCGGTGGGGTCGGTGGGGAGGCAGGGCCACATTACAGGGGAGGGGTTCAGCTTTTCTTCTAAGTGTGATGGGACACATTAGGGTTTTTAAGGCAGAGAATGACATGTCTAGAGACCTGCAGATGATGGGGCCTTGGACAGAGAAAGGGGGAAGAGAGAAAAGCAGGTGGTGGGGAGAGAATGAGTCCGGGTTGGGGATATTGCTCCTAAAGTCCCCCCTGCACAGCAGGAAACATGCCCGTGGCTGTGAAAGCTGAGCCTGGCATTGAACCAGCACCATCACTGTCTCTGCACAACCCAGGCCACCTGGCCATGCCTTTCTCTCTGCCTCATTCTGCAGTCCCCCTCCCCACTCCAGCTTCTACCTCTGCTCTTCCCTAACTTGGAATGTTCTTGAATACTTGTGAGCGCTATGGGCAGGGCTGCTCTGGGTACCAGGCATACAAGGGGGATCTCGCTGGGCCCTGCCCTCCTCCCCGGGGTCTGCCCATCACACCCCATCCACGCTGCAAGCTTGTCTCAGACACCACTTCTCTAATCAAGGAGTAGACCTGGGCTCAGGTATGACCTGGGATAGGCTACACTCTCACAACTCTAAGTGTGGTCCCTGGACCAGCAGCATCAGCATCACCTGGATCCTTGTGAGAAACTGGGAATTTCAGGCCCCGCTCCTGAGCTTCCGATCAGAGGCTTCACTTTCACAAGCCCCCGGCTGCTGCATGTGCCCACTCAAGCTCAAGAAGCACTGGGCCGTGTAACGCTGCAGTGGCAAACAGTCCCCCAAGTCTCAGTGCTCACAATAGACAGGTTCATCTCCTGCTTCCTCCCTGGGCCCATCATGGGTCAGTAGGGACTTTGGTCATTGTGGCCACTCAGTGACCCAGGCTCACAGAAACCGTGACAACACATCACAAACCCCATCTTCCATGGCAAGAGAGGCAGATGGAGGAACAAGGTCCGGATTTCCTCACCTGCCTGAAACAACTCAAACAAACAAATGAAAAACAAACAAACAGAAAAAATGTCTGAAATAATGGTTTCCATATATTGGCCCCAAGAAGCACATGACAGTGATCTGGGAGGGAGTAGAAACAAACAAGATGAAACCTACCATTGCCCCCAGCTGGCTTGCACTCGAGAGAGTTCCCGGACCCCTTCCAGCAGGGAGGGTAAGCCAGACACAGCCCAGCAGTCAGCCCGACTTGAGTAGATGGAGGTGGAGAAGCCAGCCTAGCTTGAGTTTGCTGGGTGGCGTGCCAGGCGGGAGGGGGCTGCACGGAGAGCACCCCAGAGATCTCAGAGGGTCCCCCTCAAGTCTTCAGCAGAGTCAGGGAAGTGATCAGCACGTGCATGTGGGCAGGGAAGGAACCACCCGGGAGGAGCAGAGGGAACCATCTCAAAGCACACGCAGGCCTGAGTGTAGCTCACTTTCCCACCATCCAGAATGGGGCAACCTTGCACTGCAGAGGGCATCTGGTAGAGAATTGAGCCAAATTCACTCTAGAGAAAAGGTCATTCTGGTCCCGCCTCACAAAGCATGCAGGCAAGCCCCAGAGAGAACAGTCTGTTTCCAAGGAACTTAACTGTGTCCCCGGACAAAGCTCATTTTTACAATGAAATTCTCAATCATTTTGTTCTTTATTACACATCCTTGATTGTGCAAGAAAGATTCTTGATTGATACGCCCAACAAAACTAGGATGAGTGTTTTTCTAAGAAAAGGACCGTATGAGATAATCCAATACCACTGCATTATGCACCCTTCTCTCTTTTTCTCCATGTGATAATACAATAATATATTGGCTCTCTGCTGTCACATAACAAGTTATCCCAAAAAAAGCAACAGATATGTTTATCTTACCCAGTTTCTGTGGTTCAGGAACTTGGGAGTGACTTAGTCTGGCTCAGGGTCTCTCACGAGGTTGCAGGAGCGACTGCTGCCATGTCATCGAAAGCCCGACTAGGGCTTGAGGATCCCCCTCTGGAATGACTCGCTCACATGGCTGTTGGCTGGAGGCCTCAGTTCCTCGCCATGTGTGCCCTTCCCTCAGGCTGCTTGAGTGTCCTCCCAACATGGCGGTTGGCTTTCCCCAGACTGAGTGACCCAAAGGAGAGCAAAGAAGAAACCACAACATCTTTGATGATTCGCCCTGGGAAGTCACATTTACCACTTCCACAGTACCATATGAGTTACACACATCAGCCCTGTTCAGGTGGGAGGGGGCCACATTAGGCCAGGTATTCTAACAGGCAGGAATCACGGGGGCCCTTTTGCAAGCTGGCTACCACATAGAGTCATGGGTGGCAAGGAATAAACACTATGTGTTAGCCACTCTTCTATGTTCTTTATACAACAACTCTGTAGATACAGAGTTAAATACAAAGATTAAATAGATACAAAGGTTAAATAACTTGTTCAGACCACTAAGCTAGGCTGGGCATTGTGGCTCACATCTGTGATCCTAGCACTTTGGGAGACTAAGGCTGGCAGATTGCTTCAGCCTGGGAGTTTGAGAACAGCCTGGGCAACATGGGCCAAACTCCATGTTTACAAAAAATACAAAAATTAGCCAGGCAAAGTGGCACGTACCTGTAGTCCCAGCTACTTGGGAGGCCAAGGCAGGAGGATCGCCTGAGTCCAGGAGGTGGAGGCTGCAGTGAACCATGATCGTGCCACTGCGCTCCAGCCTAGGTGACAGAGTGAGACCCTGTCTCAAGAAAAAAGACAACTGAGCTAGTAAGTGCCAGAGACGGTTTCCAAACTCAGGTGAGTGTGTGAGTGTGGATCAACACGTCCCTTGCTGCCACAGGCCCATCATGGCCCCTCTTGGTCCCTCTCTCTGCTGAGCCTTTGTTCCCAGGCAGGGCCGATGCCCACAGCACCCTGACAGATGTTTCCTCTCCTTCTCACAGAGACCTTGAACAAATGATGTGCAGTGGGTATTGATCTCAACCCCATTCAAGCTCCTGGGAACCTTGGAGACACCTCCCTTCTCGGTGCCAGGCTCGTCACAAACTGGTTGACAGCAGCAGCGATGACAGTCATCCTCACTGCCTCTTTGACCTCTGTGAGTCTTCTTTTTTACAGGGATGGTGTCATCTTTGCAAAAAGACATGTTAGCAAAGGATGAGCAAGTTCAAGAACTAAAGGAAAAAGTCAATCAACTAAAAAGTCAGAACAAAGACAAGGACCACCAGCTGGAAGCCCTTGGCTCTAGAGTGAGTAAGGGTGACTGTGTCACCTTCTTGTAGCCACCGGGTGAAAAGCAACTAAAGTGAAGTCACGTGATTTGCGCGTTTCATTCCCCCTGGGCTCTTGTTTTCAATTTCATTCCTTTCTCTCACACCATTGTGCTGGGGGTGGGGGGTGGGGGACAATGTCCACCTAGAAAAACTAGAACAGCTAGCCAGTTCTTTGCAGCTTTTCAAGGAGCGGCCTGCATGTGCCCTAGAATAAGCGAGATGTAGCTTCGACTCCAGGAAACATTTTCTAATGCCCGTTATAAATGAGTTTGGTTAATTCCAGCAGTAAATGCACCTCTCAGCATGGATATTTCCGTGGCAAGGCTTAATATTAAGAATAGAATCACTGCATGCAAAAGAGGACACGGTGGGCTTCACCTCATCCCAATCACCACTGGTTTGCACAGGCACCTTCGAAGCAGAATGTTTGCAGATCCAAGTGCAGTTAGACAGACTTTCATTTCTTCCCTTAGACTTTATAGTGTGCGTAAGAATATTCTCTCTTCCTTAGACTTTATAGTGTGCGTAAGAATATTCTCTTTGTAGTGAACTGTAGGCAAGTCAAGGGCTGCTTGGGTGCATTTTGAGGCCAGGCATGTGGCTCATGCCTGTAATCCCAGCACTTTGGGAGGCCGAGAGTGGATCACACGAGATCAGGAGTTTGAGGTCAGCCTGACCAACATGGTGAAAACTGCCTCTGCTAAAAGTAACAAAAATTTAGCTGGCGCCTGTAATCCCACCTACTTGGGAGGCTGAGGCAGGAGAATCACTTGAACCAGGGAGGCAGAAGTTGCGGTGAGCTGAGATCACGCCGTTGCACTCCAGCCTGGGCAACAAGAGTGAAACTCCATCTCTAATAATAATAATATTGACTATTTTCAAAATTTACCTCAACGCTCTGACTTTAGAATCCTGAACCTATAGGATTTCTCAGTATTTGTGAGATGTGTCTGTTTCGGTGAGTCAAGGTAAAACCTAACAGCTTTCATCCTAGGTGTGCCCATGAGTCTCGCCTAAGTCTGCATGGGCACCCAGGTGGAGTGGATCTGGGGGTCCAAGGACGAAGCAGCAGAAGTGACCTGTGGCGCCGACTGCAGTGCCTCAACTGGAGCTGGGGAAAGGCAGGACAGGAGCCCCGGGGGCACACAGACAGGGTCCAAGCCCAGAGTGGGCTTTTGTTGTAATCTGATGTGGTTCTCCCTTTGTCATCAGCGAACGGAAATAACAAAATCAGTTTTGAGAAGTGGTAGTGCTACTGGTTTTCATTGTGCTTTCTGCCTGCGCCTTGGTTAGCCCATTGACAAGCCCTCTGCATCCGTCTCTCAGCAGGGTCACCGCCTGGATTACCTGTGTTGTCGCTTTGAACAGGTGTGGAGTGTGTGTGTGTGGGGGGTGTGGGTGTGTGTAGGTGAAAGTGAGTGAGGGTGTGTGTGGGTGTATGTGGGGTGTGGAGGTGTGGTGTGGGTGTGTGTGTATGGGCCTGTGGGGGGTGTGGTGTGTGGGGGGTGTATGGGTGTGTGGGGTGTGTGGGTGTGTGTAGGTGTGTAAGGTGTGTGTGGTGTGGTGTGTGTATGGGTGTGGGGTGTGGATGTGTCTAGTGAGGGTGAGGGTGCGTGGTGGGGTGCATGGGGGTGGATGTGGGTGTGGTGTGTGTGTGGTGGTGGAGTACATGTGGGGTACGGGGTGTGTAGATGTGGATGTGGATGTGTGGTCAGGTGTGTGGGTGTGGTGTGGGGGGGTGTGTGGGCGGGTGGATGTGGGTGTGTGGGTGTGGTGGGGTGAGTGTGGGGTGTGTGGGTGTGTGCATGTGTGGGTGTGGATGTGGTGTGGTGGGGTGTGCATGTGGGGTGTGTGGGTGTGATGTGTGGATGTGGGTGTGGTGTGGGGGTGTGATGTGGGGTGCATGTGGGGTGTGGATGTGTGGGTGTGTGGTGCATGGGGTGTGGATATGTGGGTATGTGGGTGTGGTGGGGTGAGTGGGTAAGGTGGGTGTGTGACGTGTGGGGTGTGGAGTGTGGTGTGGTGTGGGGGTGCATGTGGGGTATGTGGGTGTGGATGTGGATGTGTGGGTGTGGTGTGGTGTGGTGTGGGGGTGCGTGTGGGGTGTGGTGTATGGGATGTGTGGGTTTGTGGGTACATGGGTGTGTGGATGTGTGGGTGTGTGGGTGTGGTGGGGTGAATGGGGTGCGGTGGTGTGTGGGTGTGTGAATGTGTGGGTGTGGAGGTGGGTGGTGTGGGGTGCATGTGATGTGGGGTGTGATATGTGATGTGTGGGTGTGGTGTGGGGGTGCATGTGGGAGTGTGTGGAGTATGTCAATGTGGGTGTGTGGGTGCATGGGGTGTGTGGATGTGTGGGTGTGTGGTGCGTGGGGATGTGGTGTGTGGCATGGGGTGAGTGGATGTGTGGGTGTGTGGGTACGTGAGTGTGTGGGTGTGGGGGTGGGGTGTGTGGGGTGTGGGTGTGGTGGGTGGTGGTGTGGGGTGTGGGGTGGGGGTGCGTGTGGGGTGTGTGAATGTGTGTGTGGTGTGACGTGTGGGGTGTGGTAAGGGGTATGTGGGGGTGTGGGGTATGTGTAGGGTGCATGGGGTGTGTGGATGTGTGGGGTGTGGCTTGGGGTGTGTGTGGGGTGCATGGGGTGTGTGGATGTGTGGTGTGTGGGTGTGGTGGGGTGCGAGGGTGCGCGGGGTGTGGATGTGTGGATGTGGTGGGTGTGGTGTGGGGTGTGTGTGGGGTGCGCGGTGGGTGTGTGGGTGGTGGGGTGGGTGTGGGGGTGCGTGGTGGGGTATGTGGGTGTGTGGATGGGTGTGGTGTGGGCAGGATATGTGGGTGTGGGGTGTGTTGTGGGGTATGTGGGTGTGGATGTGTGGGGGTACGTGTGGGGTGTGTGGATGTGTGGGGTGTGTGTGGGTATGTGGGTCTGTAAGGGGATGTGATGTGGTGTGGGTGTGGTGTGGGGTGTGTGAGGTGCGTGGGGTGTGTGGATGTGTGGGGTGGTGTGGTGGGGGTGTGTGGTGCACAGAGGTGTGTGGATGTGTGGGGTGTGGTGTGGTGTGGGGTGTGTGTGTGGGTGTGGATGTGGTGTGGGGTGTGTGGGGTGCGTGGGGTGTGGGTGTGTGGGTGTGTTGGGGTGTGTGAGGTGCGTGGGGTGGTGGATGTGGGGTGGGGGTGTGGGGTGCTGTGGGAGTGTGTGGGGGTGGGGTGTGTAGGGTGTGTGGGTGTGGGTGCATGGGTGTGTGTGTATGTGTGGTGTGGGATGTTTGTGGGGTGTGTGTGGATGTGTGGAGTGTAGGTGTGGTGGGGTGTGGGGTGCGTGGGGTGTGTGGATGTGTGGGTGTGGTGGGGGTGTGTGTGGGTGCGTGGGGTGTGTGGATGTGTGGGTGTGGTGTGGGTGTGTGGGGTGCGTGGGTGTGTGGGTGTGTGGGTGGTGGATGTGGTGTGATGTTTGTGGTGCCTGGGGTGTGTGGATGTGGGTGGGTATGGTGGGGGTGTGGGGGTGTGTGGGGTGTGTGGATGGGGTATATGGGGTGTGTGGATGTGTGGGGTGTGTGGGGTGTGGTGGTGGTGGAGGTGTATGTGGGGTGCGGAGGTGTGGATGTGTGGGTGTGGTGTGGGTGTGGTGGGGGTGTGTGGGTGTGTGGGTGTGTGGATGTGTGGATGTGTGGGGTGTGGGTGTGGTGGGTGTGTGTGGGGTGCGTGGGGTGTGTGGGTGCGGGGTGTGTGGATGTGGGGTGTGGGTATGGTGGGGGTGTGGGGTGTGTGGATGTGTGGGGTGTGGGGTGTGGTGGAGGTGTGTGTGGGGTGCGTGGGGTGTGTGGATGTGTGTGGGGTGGGTGTGGTGGAGGTGTGTGTGAGGTGCGTGGGGTGTGTGGGTGTGTGTCGTGGATGTAGAGGTGATTTAGTAGGAAGAATATGGAGAAACAGCACCTCCGGGCTCTTCTACCCACAAAGTGCATTTGGGTTACTTAAGGTCCCCATTTCCTCTTTCCCCGTGACCTTGGAACAGGTCTGCCTTCTTCCAGCGGCTGCACCTGGCACTTATCAGGCACGTCAGCTCCTGTGACTGGGCGTATTGCTCATGGAATATCCGAATGACTGTCTTTATTCTTCAAATTACATGTGCTGTGTTAATTTTAGAATAAAATGTAGATAAAACTGGAAAGCAAAGTTAAAGAGAGAAGAGAAATGCCACCCCAAGAAATCTGTCAGTACTTGAGTACATATTCTGTTTAGTTTCTAAAATTACCTGGAAGAAAACACCTCTGTAACAGATATATAACAACAAATTTACACTATACACATTTTTTAAACTTTAAACAATCACTGTTTCCCCACATGGATAACAGCTTTTCTCACGGGTCTCTAAAGCTCCATCATAATTCTCTTGTCTGCACACAGTGGAATCAAACAGCCCCTGTGTTATCGGACATGGGTGTTTCCTTTTTTGTTTGTTTGTTTTTGTTTTTGTTTTTGAGATGAAGTCTCGCTCTGTCTCACTCTGCCAGGCTGGAGTGCGGTGGCACAATCTCGGCTCACTACAAGCTCCGCCTCCCGGGTTTACGCCATTCTCCTGCCTCAGCCTCCCGAGTAGCTGGGACTACAGGCGCCCGCCACCACGCCCGGCTAATTTTTTGTATTTTTAGTAGAGATGGGGTTTCACCGTGTTAGCCAGGATGGTCTCCATCTCCTGACCTCGTGATCCACCCGCCTCAGCCTCCCAAAGTGCTGGGATGACAGGCGTGAGCCACTGCGCCCGGCCGGGTATTTCCTTTTTGTTCACTATGGCTAACAATACTCTCAAAAACATCCCTGAACCCACAGACGTGCTGATTTGCCCGACCATTGTCCTTATACATTCCTAAAGCAGAATTTCTGGGTCAAAAAGGAGGCCCGTTGTTTATGTTCTTAATACCTGTTGCCAAACTGCCCCCCGGAACGGCTGCTCCATTTCCACCGCCGCTCCCAGCGCAGTGGTGTCTTGGAGGCGTAAATTGCATAGGGCACTAAGAGCCTCCAAGCTCGCTAGTGGCCCTCCGAGGACATCAGCGTTCATTCCTCAGCACAGACTCTCCAAAGCTGGACTTTCCTTATGGTTCAGATTGCTGGCTTTTGAAGATGACAGTAGTGGCTTATTCCTCTGATTCCCTGAGTGGAGACCCAGGAACGGCTGCGGGATCCTGTGTGCCTGTCAGACACCATAGGATGCCTTTGACTGGATGGAAACAGCAGGAAATGCTCTCAGGGGCTCACACAGGGCCTTGGAGCCCCTCCTTACCCCTACAACCCTACCTGGCCAACCTCGGTCTCTTTCTCTGTCGCCCTTTTCTCCACAGTGCTCGGTGCTAAAGGAAGAGTTAAAACAGGAAGACGCTCACAGGGAGCTCAGGGAAACCCAGGAGAAAGAGTTAAAACTCTGCAAAACTGTGAGTTGAGCTTCCTCTTTCGTAGCTACCACCAGAAAAACCAGAGTTTGACCTTCAGGTTCTTGGTGGGATCCTGGGCCATCACTAAGCACGAAGCTCTGGGGCCCTGTGCTTGCTTAACAGTCTCATCGCTCTTTGATCTGCTGCTTCTGCAAGAAAGAGATGGGTGAAGGGGCCCCAGGATTCCCTGGGCAGTTGGCTCTAGCTCCCTCAAGGGTTTCCCCTGGGGTCAGGTTGGGGTTGAGACCCAGGACAGGGACAGGAGGCTGGCCAGCTGGCCACCACATGGTCCCCTGCCCCACCCCGACCTGTGACTCCCAAACGTGTGTTCCACTGTCCTAAGTTTTATCCTAGCCACAGGCACCATTGTTGACACTTGCTGAAGTATTTTTATTTAAACACCACCATTTAACACCCACTTGTAAAAACAAGGCGGGGAGTGGTGGCTCACACCTGTAATCCTAGCACTTTGGGAGGCCAAGGTGGGTGGATTGCCTGAGCTCAGAGGTTCTAGACAGCCTGGGGAACACGGTGAAACCCCATCTCTACTAAAATACAAAAAAAAAAAAATTAGCTGGGCATGACAGCGTGTGCCCGTAATCCCAGTTGCTTGCTTGGGAGGCTGAGACAAGAGAATTGCTGGAACCCGGGAGGCAGAGATTGCAGTGAGCCAAGATCGCACCACTGTACTCCAGCCTGGGCGACAGAGCAAGACTGTCACACACACACACACTATTTGCCTCATATAGAAGGTAACACCAGAGCGAGACTGTCTCACACACACACACACACACACACACACACAATTTGCCTTATATAGAAGGTAACACCATAAAAGTAAATACAATGAAAATAGGACCATTAAAAGTCAAAGGAGGCCGGGCGCGGTGGCCCAAGCCTGTAATCCCAGCACTTTGGGAGGCTGAGACGGGCGGATCACGAGGTCAGGAGATCGAGACCATCCTGGCTAACATGGTGAAACCCTGTCTCTACTAAAATACAAAAAAAATTAGCCAGGCGAGGTGGCGGGCGCCTGTACTCCCAGCTACTCGGGAGGCTGAGGCAGGAGAATGGCGTGAACTCGGGAGGCGGGGCTTGCAGTGAGCTGAGATCCGGCCACTGCACTTCAGCCTGGGCAACAGAGCCAGACTCTGTCTCAAAAAAAAAACAAAGCCAAAGGAGATATATTCCTCACACCCTCCAAATCCGCCCCGCACATCACCAGGTGTGCGTTTTCCACTCGTGGGGGAGCTCAGCTTCTCCCAACTTGCTCTTCCCCATGCTGGCGCCATTCCTCCAGGCCAGGAACATTTTACACTCTGCCTCAAACAAAAAAGAAACATTTCATTGTTCCGTTCTTCTAGACCTTGCCTGTTGAGTCTTCCAAACAGCTGGTCCTTTAGGTTGAACTCAAAAATATACCCCAAGAGCAGGGTTTCTAGTGAGTTGGTGGATGTCCTGTAGTCCTTAATCCAGGAGCTGTACTGATTTCCAAAAGAAACTAATTTCCTTTATCCAGAACTTTTAATGTATCCATTGAAAAATAAAGTCTATCTTGCTGAGAGATGTAAAACCTTCCTCCGGAAGAAGGAGTTAAACAAGCTGATACCAGACAAGGTTTCCACCTTAATGGATGGGGTGCCAGGGGTGGCGAGGGCTCAGACCTCTCGGCCGAGAAGGCAGCTCCTGCCCCCATCAGGGAGGTTCACTCCTCTGTTGTTGAAACTTTTTCAGCAAATCCAAGACATGGAGAAAGAAATGAAGAAGCTCAGGGCGGAGCTGAGGAAGAGTTGTACTGAACAAAGCGTGATCTCTAGGACTCTGAGAGAAAAGAGCAAGGTACGTAGTGGGCGACAGGCCCAGAGAGCGGTGTGGGCAGTAGCTCCCCACTCATCATCCCTGTTAGTCCTCTAAGTGGCCTATGCTGGTATTAACCCTTCTTACAGCTGAGAAAACTGAGGCTCACACAGGGAAAGGGACCAAGTTCACTCCATAATGTAGTTGTGGCAGGACTTGAACCCAGGTTGGTCTGACTCCAAGGCCCCTGTGAGTGACCCCACTACTCCTCACTGCCTTCTAAAACTGTTTCTTGCCTTTTGGTAATGAGACCCACCTCCAGCCTCCCAATCCCGGTTTAGAGTTTAGTGGTGCTTAATTATTTTAATGTCCCTTCCCATCCTGGGGAAAAAATTGTATTGCATACTCCCTACGTGTGCTATCCATCACAGTAGCCACTAACTGTGCATGGCTATTTAAATTTAAATTAAAGCCGGCATGGTAGCTTACACCTGTAATCCCAGCACTTTGGGAGACCAAGACAGATGGATCACCTGAAAATATCCTTAAGAGTCCTGAGCAGTGTGGACAGAATGTATTTCTTTCCATTTGAATCATCTACTTTATTTGATCAGAAGATGGTTGTCATTGAGAATTTGTTTTAAATAAATAAAGACAGAGATTCACTATGTTGCCCAGGCTGGTCCTCCGGGCCTCAAGCAGTCTTCCTGCCTCGGCTTCCAAAAGTGCTGAGATTACAGGCTGAGACACCATGCCCAGCCACAACTGAGAATATTTTAAGAACAAATCTAAAAGGCAGAGGAATTCTCTGTGAAGGGAGGTTCACAGGGATGATCTGAGAAATAAAAGTGAATAATCTAGTTTTTCTCCAGTTTTATTTAATATGAATGTGAGTATAGTCACCAGAGGTCAAATCATTAAAACCTCACAAACTGAAATGTATACTACACTAGAATCACATCTTATGGATAGTACTGAAGCCTGCAAAAGTTGGCCAGACATAACTAGAATTGGCAGAAATAATTAACACAAAATTAAAATCAACAGGTAAAACTACACAGAGTAAAATTTATTTATCAATTAAAACTTAAGAGAAAAATCAAATATTCTTGTTCAGGTGCGGTAGCTCACGCCTGTAATCCCAGTACTTTGGAGGCCGAGGCAGGAGGATTGCTTTAGGCCAGGAGTTCAGGACCAGCCTGGCCAACATAGTGAGACCTTGTCTCTACAAAAAATTAAAATAATCACTTAAAAAAAATCAGATATTCTTGAAAAAGTTAGATTTGCAAAATATAATCTGGGGAAAATGGACATGGTAGAAATGAGAACTACAAAATAAAACCCACAATAACAGACCTGTGATTGGTAAATATTTGATAGGGTCCAGAAAAACTTATAGATGAATCAAATCATAATTGTATAATTTACCTACAAAAGAACTGATCCAGATAAAAATAATTTCAGGAGACTAAAGTAAAAATGGAAACATTTAGGAATCTGTTAAACAATTGGTTTAATGAACTTTGCTCTAGAAAATAATGAAAATGAAATGAAAATGAATTTGCTATGGTATATTTTTCTTTTAAATAGTTGTAGTCATGAACATGGAGTCAAAATGCTCTCTGGGCTATCAGTTTTTCTCTAAGCAAGGCTTTGGCTGCATTCCACAAGTCTTAGTATATAGTATTTTCATTATTATTCAGATCAAAATATTTTCCAAATCCCCATTGTGATTTCTTCTTTCACCCACTGGTTACTATGAAGCTTATTTCCTAATTTCTAAATATATGAGGGTTTTCTGCTTACCTTTTTTTGTTACTGATTTTTAGCTTAATTCCACTGTGGTCGGAGAACATCTTCCGTGTAACTTCAATCTTCTGATATTAATTGAGACTTGTTTTATGACCTGCGTGTGGCCGACTGCAGTTCCACATGTACACTTGAAAAGAATATGCATCCTGCAGTCATTGGGTTTAGTATTCTATATATGGACATTAAATGAAGCTTACCAATAATGCTCAAAACTTAAATATTCTTGTTGATTTTTTTTTTTTGTCTGTGTGTTTTGTCAGCCACTGAGAGAGGCACGTTGTTTAAAGATCCTATCATGATCATGGATTTGTCTTTCTTTTTTTAATATTGTCAATCTTTGCTTTATATATTTTGAGGCTGTGTTAGTAGATGCATATATATTTACCATTTCATTACTTCCTATCGAATCAAATATTTGGCCATCACAAGGTGTTCCTCTTCATTGCTAGAGATATTTTTCCCTTAAAGTCTTTGTCATAAGGTAACTCCATCGGCTAACCTAGCTTTCTTTTGATTCGAGTTTTCACAGACTGTCTTTTTCACACTTTTTATGTCAATCTTTATTTTACAATGTGTATCTCATGTGAATAGCACATAAGTTTTGTACAGTTGCGCCATCTTTGTCTTTCAGTCCAAATATATTTAGTATAATTGCTGGTATATTGGGATTTAAATTTATCTTCTTGCTCAGGGCCAGGTGTACTACTTATGGTATGTTCTTTTTTTCCCCATTCTTCCCTTCTTTTGAGTTAACAGTTTTTTATCATTCCCTTTTTCCCTGTATTAGCTTGGAAATTTTCTCTCTTTTACTCGTCTTTTAGTAATCATAAGACAATCGCATGCATTCATGACTTACCAAAATCTAATATTTAGTGAGTTTTTAACTCTTTTACTGTCTTAGTGATTATTCTAAATTTTACAATATGCATTTTCAACTTACCAAAATTCAATATTCATCAATAATTATATCCTTCTTCTTGTTAACACAATGACTTAGACATTGACACTTTAACTTCACTTACCCCATCCAGACTTATATGCCATTGTTTTCATTTTCTAAACTTCTCTCTATATTTGAAACTCCAAAAGACATTATTAGTATTTTTCTATAGTCAACATCCATATCTGCACATTACTATTATGTGTTTTCTACATTTCTGATCATCCTGCTAGATCATTTTTCTTCAGCCTGAAGAACATTCTTTAGTGTTTTCCTTCAGCATGGCTCTGCTGGTGTCATATTCTCTCAGGAGTGTGTGTGTGCATGTGTGTGTGCATGCATGTGTGTGTATACATGTGCATGTGTCTGAAAATTTCTATGTTTATCTTTCATTCGTGAAACATATTTTGACTAGGTATTGAATTCTGCACTGGCAATTGTTTTCTTTCAGCATGTTATAGATGACAGTAATTCTATCATTCCATTGTCTTTTGGTGCCGATTATTTCTATTTAGAAGTAAGCTATAACCTAGCTGGGTGCAGTGGCTCGTGCCTGTAATCCCAGCACTTTGGGAGGCCAAGGCGGGCAGATCACGAGGTCAGGAGTTCGAGATCATGCTGGCCAACATGGTGAAACCCATCTCTACTAAAAATACGAAAATTAGCCGGGCGTGGTGGTGCATGCCTGTAATCTCAGCTACTCGGGAGTCTGAGGCAGGAGAATCACTTGAACCCGAGAGGCAGAGGTTGTAGTGAGCTGAAATAGTGCCACTGCACTCCATCCTGGGCAACAGAGTGAGACTCCGTCTCAAAAAAACGACAGAAAAAAAAAAAGAGAGAAGTAAGCTATAACCTAACTATTGCATCATTATATAGTCTTTTTATATTCTGGATTTTTTAAATGTTTCTTTTCCTTTGACTTACAGCAGTTTTATTAGGATGTATCTAGGTGTGAATTCGTTTTTATTTATCTTATTGGGGTACATGTGGGCTTGAATCTTCGGCTTGCTGTTTTTAATTAGTTTTGGAGCTTGGGCTGTAGACGACCTCGGCAGTGAGGAGCTACTGAGGCTCTTGAACAGGGAACTAATATGATTAAATTTGTGATTAATAATAATGGTGAAAATGATAGCCACATGGACTTGGCATTATGCCGAACATTTCATCTCTTTTCATCCTCACAACAACTCGGACCTAGAAATTATTATGCCCAATTTATTTTATTTTTTAAAATATATTGGAGCTTTTCAAGATTCCTGTTTTACAGATGAGGAAGTCAAAGCACAGAGTCAAGTCACTACCCAAAGGCACACAGTCAGTAAGTGGCAAAGCCAAGACTGGGGGAAGCCAGGCCTGTCTGACTCCAGTTACAGTGGCACAGCCACTAGCCACGTGTGGCCATTTAGGTGAAATTAAATATAACACAAAATTCAGTTCCTCAGTCACATGAGCCCCACTTCAAGTGCTCAGTAGCCAGATGTGACCAGTGGCCACCCTATTTGACAGCACAGAGTTAGCACATTTCATCATTGCAGAAAGTTCTGCCAGACGGTGCTGCCCCACCGCTTGGCAGCCTTCTCACAGGACCATAAAGGATGTTCTGGAAGGAAATAAATTAGAGGCAAGGAGGCCAGGTATCACGGCCAAAGGTGCTCAGGGCCTAGCCTGAGACCATGTGTATTAGTCCATTTTCACACTGCTGATAAAGACACACCCGAAACTGGGAAGAAAAAGAGGTTTAATTGGATTTACAGTTCCACATGGCTGGGGAGGCCTCCGAATCATGGCAGAAAGGCACTTCTTACATGGCAGTGGCAAGGGAAAAAGGAGGAAGAAACAAAAGTGGAAACCCCTGATAAACCCATCAATTTCGGGAGACGTATTCACCATCACGAGAATAGCACGGCAAAGTCCGGCCCCCATGATTCAGTTACCTCCCCCTGGGTCCCTCCCACAACACTTGGGAATTCTGGGAGATACAATTGAAGTTGAGATTTGGGTTGAGACACCATCAAACCATATCACCATGCACAGGGGAGGAGCTCAATAAATAAACCTCTGACAGCCGATGCCAAGGGTCTGCTGTGTGGCAGTGATATGAGGAACAGGACTGCCAGAGCTGGGGAGGGGGCAGGGAGGCCATACATTGAGAGGAGGAGCCAGAACAGAGCCCAGGACAGCCTCTGCTTTTGCAGCATTTGAAAAACGTCCTCTGAAACAGAAGTCGGGGTATGTTTACACCTGAGAGGATGTAGGTGAGGAAACTGAGGCCCAGAGAGCTTAGCCGGCCTTCCCGGGAAACAGCTCACTGGGGACTGGCTGCCCCTTGCCACTCAGAAGAAAGCTTTACAGGTTGCTCTGGGTGTTTTACATGAAATGTATGTGACTCCTCTCTAGCCCCCTAATAAACCACTTGTGAGGTTGTTTCAGAACAAAATCCTCTCATCTAGGAGAGTTTGTCTCATTTCCTAGGAGTGCCTGAGCCCTGGCTCAGCAGATGCCCAAAAGGTTCATTCATGGTTTAGGTATGAACTGAGCAGCTGCAGGGTCCGTAATGGACAGCAGAGGGCAGCACCGAGCACACCCAAACTCACCTCGCGTTACCCATTACCCAAGCAAGCGGGAGGCGGAAATGGGCCTTCTTTTGCCGGCTACAATTCTTTACTAGCCATCCAGTGTGCTAGAAGTGGTAACAATAAACAGGATAATAAACCCAGCAGTAACATTTACCAAGTACCCACGATGGGCAGTGGTTCCTTATGGTGTTAGGATGACGCTGAATGGTGGCTACTATCATCCACCTGTTCTACGTTACAACATAAGGGCTTATAGAGCCCTTACAAGGCGCTGTCACTATTCCAAGCTTTTTAAAATCCCCACAATAACTGCCAAGAGGGAACTAGCATCACCCCGTTTGACAGATAAGGACGCTGAATCACGGAGCAGTGAAATGACTTTGCTGAGATCATACAGCTTGTTAGGGACCGAGCTGGGATTAGAGCCTGGGGTAGGACAAACATTGAGCCCAGGGTGCAGAGCCCGGCCCTTTCCCCCAACAGACAGTGCCCCCCGAGCCTGCCTCCACCCCATGCACGCCTGTGACCCCTGCCATGTGGGCTCCAGCTGTGCCGACCCCTCTGGGACCCCCCACGGCCATTAGACGTCCTAGAGGAATTTCCCCAGAGTGCATTATGATCACATTAGCAGCAAGCACTCGCTTTCATCGTCATTTCAGGTTGAAGAGAAGCTTCAGGAGGATTCCAGAAGGAAATTGCTTCAGCTGCAAGAAATGGGGAACAGAGAGAGCCTCATTAAAATCAATTTGGAGAGGGCAGTAGGTCAGGTAGGCATGTTCCAGAGCCCCCTCATTGGCCCACGCTCCCCAGTGATTGCACCCAAGCAGCCAGTGGGGGTGAGAGAGGAGGACGCCCAAGGTAGAAGGACAGACGTGCATTATTAATTCTCCCATTTATCTCATGAGCAGAGGCTGTCTGCAGCTCCCCACCCCCGTGGACATCGCTAAACAGGTTTCTGCTGCTGGGAGGCCTCCCACTGGAATAGTTTACAAGGACCTGAGACTCGGACCAGGCAGCCAATCCCGGCTCCATGCCTGCCCCCAGTTAACCGAGCCCCTTGCCCCCAGTGGTGTCTCTAGCATTTTCTCCCTAATGTTTTTAGTCCTGACATTTACCACAATCTTTCTTCCCCTCGGGCCCCAGCAGACATTGCAGTCAGTGTCTATAAGGAAATGCCACTTTTCTTAATAAGGTAAAACCCCAGAGTGTCCAAAGTGCATGCTGGATGGAGAAACTCCCGGCTGCGGGTGAGCCGCTCCGACCTGATCTGGAGGTGACGTTATCTCTGATGCTGGGGCCTGAAATTGCCGGTGGCCCTTCCTGGCACATGTGACACAGTCATGAGGGCCAGAATGTGCAGACGAGAGTTTACCGAGGACTAAGGGAAGGCAAACAGGAAACCAAGATGGGAGGGCATGTGACCCTCAGGAATGCGGCCCCCCAGGGACCGCCCACCCTAGATTGCTCCACAGGGGTCCCTCTCCTGGAAACCATGGCTCCAGGGGATCCACAGAATGGTTTGTGTGCGCACGTGTGTGTGTGTGTGTGTGTGTGTATTTTTATTACTGGTAAGGAGGGCTCCTCATGTGTCCCACTGGGTTCTCAGGAGGGTCGGTGAACTACCAAGAAAGGTTAAAAGCCAGGATCCCTCCAAACCACCCAGCTCAGTTCCCAAAGCCCTTGTATTTTCTACCATCTAAGCCTTACCAGGCAGTGTGACCAGGCCTTTGTCCCTGCACCCTAAAATTCAAATATTCACCACTGTCACCCCCAGCACCATTTCTCCTGTGGGGGTGCCAGCCCCTTATCAAGGGCAGAGAACCTGCCCGTCTGGGCCTCTCCCTGTGCACATTGGCTACCCTCAACCTTGCCCCCAACACAAACCTGATTTGAGGGCCTGACCTGTGCTCTTTGCCCAAGGGCCAAGATTCTTGTTCCAGCTCTGGGCAGAGGTCATCTGGGAGGAGCCCTGGAGGTCCTGAGACTGGTCCAGATCTAGACTCAAGAGAAAGCACAAGCCCTGTCTCTGCCTCCCAGCATCTTCCCGCTCCTGTATCTCCAAGGCCGTGCTCCTGTCCAACAGTCTGCCCTTCCCCAGCCAAGTGACCCCAGGCCCAAGGCCATGTCTAAGATGACCTCTCCCTCCCAATGGTCCTGGACAGCCATTCCTATGGGGAGCCCCTGATGGCAATGGGGGGCCATCATTCACAGGGCCTCCTCTACACAATCAATTCTTTGGGTGAGCTGGGACCCTCCCCTTGGCCATGAAACCAGAGGATGGCTTTGAGAACCTCATGTCACCTGGTCTTCTCCTGGCAGGGTCACTGCAGAGATGTCCCTAAGACATTTCCCATTAGAACTTCCCCTATTCAGTAAATACCTGTGTCTTGGGCCCCCTTGACTTTTTGGTTGACACAGTAGCCCTTTTGGTCCCTTCAAGGCTCTGCTTTGGAACCTTTAATAACCACATTTTGCCAGGGAACTGGAGACTCACGCCAGGGGCTGCCATGTTGGTAAATTCCCAGAGAAAGTCGGGCTCCTTTTTACCTCTAACTTCTGATGGAATCGGGATACCTTGGACTTGTGATTCTGTAAGCCCGGACTTAATGTTAACTGCTATTTCATCAGCCTTAACCCGAAAACACTAGCACCCAGGAGGGGCTCAGTGAAAGCCGCTAGAAGTAGAGGCCCTTGGCTTTAGCTGATGTTTCTGTGTACAGGCATCCAACAAAGGTGAGCTGGGTGTTTGAGTGTCTCCTCTACACCAGGCACTGTAGTGGGCTCCAGGGATACCGAGATGAACACAATGGGGACAGTCTTCAGGACGCTTATGGGCTCAGGCACGAAATGGAGAAAGGGAGAACATTCTCCTCTCGCCAAGCTTCCTTGCTGACTACACAATTTACTTGGACTGACAGCCTCAATATTTATTTCACAGTCTGGTGCCAACTTAGCAATTATGGAACAGCGCTCCCGGCCCCAGACTTCCCATTGGATAATTGGCAGCAAGAGGCTCTTCTGAGGGCTTGAGATATGTGTGTGCACTGACCACAGGCATCGTTCGGGTTAGGCAGGCGTGCCTAAAAAGTAATTAAAGCCTGCTGTTCTCCTTTCTTCTGTGGGTACCGCCACTCCCCGTGAGCAGTGAACATTCTGATAACGCGGAATGGTCATTCAGGCATGCAAACCCTGCTAAGTGGTGTTTCCCGCACCCTGCCATGGCTACGCTGCCCCCGCTTGCCAGCCCCCACTGCCCCCCTGACACTGTTGCCCCCTTTCTGCTGCAGCTGGAGCACTTCAGAAGTCAAGTCATCAAGGCCACCTATGGACGGGCAAAGCCGTTCCCAGACAAGCCCGTCACCGACCAACAGGTTAGTCTGCCGTCCCTGCCACGTGGCTCCTTCACTTTCCTCTTCTTCTTCTTCGGGGATCTGGATTCCAGACCCTGGGAGCATATGTTTCTGTTTTTGTTGGTGGCATATTTTTCACACTGTTGCTACACCATAAAGATTTGTTTTGATTTTATGGGATTTCCTGGCTTTTAAAGTAAAAGCCAGTTAAAACTCCCTTGAAATGTGTCTGTGAAAATCAAATTAAACCATTGGGGCTTACTTCTGGTCTCCAGACTGCATGTTTAGCCTCCATTAGCACTGGGAGGAAGGGAGCCGCCTCCCCACAGCCAAGGCGTTCTGGCGCGTTCCTTCAGAGGAGAAAAGTTGACAGTGGCAGTGAGGGCGGACGTCTGGCTGTAATGATTGCCTTGCTGTTCTTCCACTACACTTTCTAGCCCCCTGTGTCAAAGTACAGATGGGAAAATGTGCCGTGGGCTGCTTTTAGTGGGCGTGGAAGAACCTGACCTGCTGCTTATGAGCCCATAATATCAGGCTCAGTGTTCTGACTCCCTATACAACACAGAAGAATCTGGAACAAACTCAGGGCCACAAGACAGGCCTTTGGATCTTAAAAATAATCTTTGATCAGCCGGGTGTGGTGGCTCACGCCTGTAATCCCAGCACATTGGGAGGCCAAGGCGGGCGGATCTCCTCAGGTTGGGAGTTCGAAACCAGCCTGACCAACGTGGTAAAACCCCCATCTCTATTAAAAATACAAAGTTAGCTGGGTGTGGTGGCGCATGGCTGTAATCCCAGCTACTTCAGAGGCCGAGGCAGGAGAATCGCTTGAACCTGGGAGGCAGAGGTTGCGGTGAGCCAAGATCAAACCATTGCACTCCAGCCTGGGCAACAAGAGTGAAACTCCATCCCCCCCCAAAAAAAAAAAGAAAAAGAGAACCGTCTGTGATTCCGGGATTCATTCCCTGGTGATAGGACCGACGTCCCCCTTGACAGCCATTGCCGAGACATATCAGGGCCTCCGTCCTCCCGTGCTGAGACAGGGACTTACGTTGCATCTCTCCCCTCTCCCATTCCCCGTCCCCCAGAGCCCCCCGTCCCTGTATGTTGCATCTTTTTTTTTCTTTTTCTTTTTCTCACCAGTTAATAGAGAAAATTGCCCAGGTCACTGAGGACAACATCAATTTTCAGCAGAAAAAGTGGACCCTACAGAAAGAAACCCAGCTGAGCAACTCCAAGCAGGAGGAGACCACCGAGAACATCGAGAAGCTGAGGACGTCGCTGGACAGCTGCCAGGTGGCCCCTCCTTACGCTGTCCACAAATGGTCGCTTTGTCTAATGTTTGTGCTGCTTACTTGGGAAATTGCCCAGCTTTTTTGGAGCAAGTTAGGCAGAAATGCTTGGCTTTTCTGTCCACTTTTTCCTCTTGTTGGAGAAGAAAAAACAAAGGGCCTCAAAAAATGCCTCCCAGGAGAACTTGGCGTGTCCAAAAAAGATGCTTGAGCATCTTCAAATACTGACTTTGAGCGGCCTGCATCCCCAACCAAAAAGACTTTTTTTTAAGTAGCCCCCATGTTATTTCCAGAGAAACCAAAGAAACATTCCTGCTTTTTATTTGCATTTCTTTTTTTTGGCTCAGACACAAAAGGCGGTTACCACACCATTGCCTTTGACTCTGGAGGAGCAGGGACCAGAGGACTTGGCCACAGCCCTGCGGCCCCCACCCTGGGGCATGGCTTATCCGAGCAGGCGGTGGCTTCTGCTTTCTCTGGAAATCAGCAGCTCCTGTTCGGGGAGTTCGTGCAAATGCTGGCTTGTCAGCACCCTTTCAAATCAGGAAACCACGCTTTCCGACCAGCTTGTGTGTTGATCTTGGCAGGAATTCTGATGAATGGAAAAAAGAAGTAGCCACATTTGCTTCTCATTGCAGCCAAACTGTTGATGGCACTTTGGCTTTGGGGTTTCATATACCTAACAGTAGGTTCACTTTGACCATCAAAAGTCCAAATTAGAGTATTTAAAAAAAAAAAAAAAAAACAGTCAAAACATAAAAATTTTTAAAAAGAAAAAACTGAGCCCTCCCAAGGCGGCCAATATGTGGCGCTGCCTGCTTCATTGCAGAGTCAATGTTCCTCGAAGGTTCGTGTCAGGGCCTATTTCTGGCCACAGGGCCTGAGCTCCTCATGATCTCACCTCTTTGCAGGCTTGCATGAAAATGTCCTGTTGCACCAGTGACCTGAAGAAGGAGGTCGACCTTCTTCAGCACCTCCAGGTTAGCCCACCTGTCTCAGGGCTCCAGAAGGTGGTGCTGGACGTCCTGAGGCACGCCCTGTCCTGGCTGGAGGAGGTGGAGCAGCTCCTCCGGGACCTTGGGATCCTGCCCTCCAGCGCTGACAAAGGTTACTGGGTCTTTTTTTCTCGCATGGTCGCATGACTCTAAAATGTCGTGTTGAATCTCAGCATGATGGGACATCTGTTGAGGAAGTCTTCCTGGGTATCTGGCCAAGTCTGCTCCTTTCTCCAGAACCCCCTGCTTCTCTGCTTGAGGCGTAATTTTCCATTAAAAAAAAAAAAATGCACAAGTGAGACATGATAACTGAAGACAAATGAAACGAAACAGAGGCAAAAGGAAATTTAAATCAAAATTATGCAAAGTCTCATTACGCTGTTTAACTTCCAAGGCATTTTCCCGTGGAAATAGCCACGTGATTCTAGGCACTGACCCTGTCTATGCCTCAGTTTCCGTATCTGTAAAATGAGGCTAATAGGGAGTACCCACCCTTTAGGGCTGTTGTGATCATTAAAATGCATGAATACATGGAAAGTACTTGGAACAGTACCTGGCACACAACAGGCATTACTGAATGTTTATTGACTTTTAATTTTACAAAAAAATAGTGTCACATTACCCCCAATTTTCTTTGGTTTGTTCCTAATGGTACATCATCCATGTCAGTAGACACAGACCTACATCATCGCTGTGACTGACGGCGGTTACTGATTCCATTGTGTGGGATGTGCCATTGTTTTAGACAATCCCCTATCATGGGCACTTAGGTGATTTCCAGTTTTTCACACTCATAAATCATGCTGAGATGAACACTGTTGCACATATACCTGCTTATATTATCTTTATTTTCCTAGAAGTGGAAAGGCATGAACCACTTTCTTTCAACAAAGGTTGATTGCATGCTTGCTTACTAGACGCCACATGCTGTGCAGGGCAGACATAACGGGGTCAGGAACAGGTAGAATCAGGTCGTGCGTATGTGGTTCACTGTAAAATTCTTCCAATATGACCATACATTTGAAATTTTTTATAATAAAATACTGGGCCCTCAAAGAGCTTATGATCTCGGGGGAAGGATGAGGTGGGCATTAATGGGAAAATCACTCAAACAAACATGAAAGCTGAGTGGTGACCGCTGCTATGCAGTGCAGGGTTCGATCTGGTCAGGGAGAGCAGGGCATCTGCAGGATGCATAGGAGTTGTTTGCCAAAGAAGGGAGAGAGAGCATTCCGAGCACAGGAGCAGTGTGGTGGCAGGGGGAGCATGGAGAGCACAAGGGGCTAACAGAAATGGGCACGAGGCCGGGCAGGCTGGCCAGGGAGCTTCCCAGGGCCATGATGTGGGTTCTTGCAGGGCCCTGGTAAGAAGCTTTATTCTAAGGGCAGAGAGAAGCCTGTGAAAGGGCTTAAGTAAGGAGCTGGACAAGCTTGCATTCTGAGACAATCATCTTGGTGGCAGGCGGACAACGTCCTGGAGGGTGGGCAGCGTGGTGCCCCAGGAGCCACTTGGGAGGCTGCCATAAGAGATGACAAGGCCGCCCTAGGGCAGGGTGGGGATGGAGAAAGAGAAGATTCAGATTCAGGAGCGAGTAAGAGGTAAATCAGCAGGCCTCAGTGGTAGGACTGGAGATGGTTGGAAGGAAGGTGATAGAGGAGAGTCAACAGGACCTCTTGGTTTCTGGTGTGTGTAAAAGACGGATGTGATTTCTTCACTAAAACTCAGAGCAAGGAATGCAAGATGAGGCCCTGGTTTGAGAGGGAAGAGGAGTGTAAGGTGCCTGTGAGACATCTGAGATGAGATGCCCAAGAGACAGCTGTTTACCCGGGTGTCTTGTTGGGATAGATAATAATGATGTATCCCCAGCACCCAGAGAGCACGTGCTACACAGCAGGGGCCTAATACATATCTGTGGGATGGAGGAATGGATGGGAAGGAAGTATAGATGGATGGATGGACGGATGGATGGAAGAAAGGATGGATGGAAGGGTGGGTGGGTAGGTGGATGGATGGATGGATGGATGGATGGATGGATGGATGGAAGAAAGGATGGATGGAAGGATGGGTGGGGGGGTGGGGGGGTGGATGGATGGATGGATGGATGGTTGGATGGATGAAAGGATGGATGGAAGTGTGGGTGGGTGGGTGGATGGATGGATGGGAGGAAGGGTGGGTGGATAGAAGGATAGGTGGGTCTGTGGGTGGATGAATGGATGGGTAGAAGACAGGAAGGCAGGAAGGAAGGCAGGAGGGAAAGCAGGAAGGGAGGCAAGCAGGCAGGAAGCAAAGCAGGAAGGAAGATTAAGGCTACAGATGTAAATGGTATCACTTAGGAAGATTATTTATTTTCAATCTTGAAGAACAGCCGGAGAACTTTGCTCCATGTTTTGCCTGATTTCATGGAAGCTCATGACTGACATGAAATTAATGAGAGAGAAGGGAAAGAGCCCAGGGCTGCACCTTAAGGAACTCCAACATTTTGAAGCTTGTTGCTTCTCCTTGCCAAATCACCCTCCGGAGAGCCTACATCAGTTTTATATTCTTTCCACAATGAATAAGAATAGAGGAGTGATTTTCAACCCTGGCACTTCAACATCCCCCGCAGGATGCTTCCAAAGTATCCAGAAGGTGGGGTAACGTTCTTAAAAAGCAAAAGCAAAACCAACATTAATTTTTACGTAGGAACCTTCCTCTCATCATATAGCAGAGAGTGTTACTGTTCTTGCAATCAAGGCAGAGTCGTGAGCTTACTTGAAATGAGGTAAAACATGGAGCAGAGTTCTCGTTGTTCTTCAAGACCGGAACTAAAACAAAGACCCTGATTTCCATCCTGGTAATCACAGAGCCAAGCTACGTGTGCACTGTCCCCTTCCCACTCCCAAGACCATTTTAGTCATCTAGACTGAGTCCATAAATCTAGGCATATATTACTGTTAAGAAATGTGGGTTGCTGTCAGTTGTAGTGGCTCATGCCTGTGATCCCAGCAACATAGGAGGCTGAGGCAGGAGGATCATTTAAAGCTAGAAGTTCAAGACCAACCTGGGCAACGTCGTGAAACCCCTCATCTCCAAAAAAATAAAAATAATAATAAATTAGCCAGGCATGGTGGCACAGGCCTGTAGTCCCAGCTACTCATGAGGCTGAGCCAGGAGGATCCCTTGAGGCTAAGATTTCGAGGCTGCAGTGAGCTATGATTATGCCACTGCACTGCAGCCTGTGTGACACAGTGAGAACCTGTCTATAAATAAATAAATAAATAAATAAATAAATAAATAAATAAATGCAGATTGTAAAGTTCAGCTTTCAGGCCAGTAATTCCAGAAAAGCTAAGGAAGACTGATTTTAGGCAGCATTCCTCAGACCAGCCATTTCATTCTGATTTCATAGAGTCGTGAGATTTGAAGGACATTAAGCAGGTCTCTGCAGAATCCCTCCCTGGTTAACACGCACCCTGGGTCAACAAGAAGGGGATAAAGAAAACAGTATTTCCCAACTACTGGTCCCCTTTCTTGATGACCTTACCCCCACCCCCACCCCCAACTAACCTCTTGGAATGATGTTCCACGGAACACTCGTTGGGGAAACAGTGGTTTGCTGGCTACATATTCTGTGATTACAACTAAAAGAATGGAGAATAACAGAAAGGTTAGTAAGCAGGGCATATCTTTTGTCCACTCAGCAGAAGAGGAAGTGGATGGTAAAAGGCATTTTCTCTTCCAGTACAAGCAATATTACGTCAAGCGCCCAAAAGACTGAAAGAACAGGGTGAGCTAGAGTATGCCCCATATTCTCTACTCTTGTACCTAATTCCTAGCCCAGAGTTAGTCCAGGAGGAGGATCGGGAAGAGGAAGATGAGGAGGAAGGATGGGGAGGGTGAGGGAAGAGGAGGAAGGAGGAAGGTGATGATGACGGTGATGACGGTGATTATGGTGACAATGACAGTCATCCATCACTGAGGACTTGTATTCTAGATACGGTTCTCAGCATTTTTTATACATGATCTCATTTCATCCTCACAATAACTCTATGAGTTAATAATTTGCCCATTATCTTCATTTTAGAAAAGAGGTAACTGGCTCAAAGCTGGTTTTCTGATTACTCCACCAGGATAAGGTGATTCGAGGCACTTCACATTACAGAGTCTGACAGGGAGTCCCCAGTCTATTCGTCGCCATCCCGTACACTCCCAGGAGCCGCCTGCGTGTCTGGCTCCTAAGAGAAGGGTAGAAAGCACGGGTTGTTAACTCCTCCTGGGGGCTTAGCACTGTGTTAGGTGTTTCACACGTATTGTGTACTTTTATCCTCCCACCTACCCAGGGAGGCAGGTATGATTACCATCTTTATTTTATTTATCTTTTTTTTTTTTTTTTTTGAGTGAAAGTCTTGCTCTGTTGCCCAGACTGGAGTGCAGTGGCATGATTTCAGCTCATTGCAACCTCCACCTCCCAGGCTCAAGTGATCCTCCCACTTCAGCCTCCCAAGTAGCTGGAACTACAGGCATGTGCTACCATGCCACCTAATTTTTGTGTTTTTTTGTAGAGATGAAGTTTCGCCACGTTGCCCAGGCTGGTCTCAAATTCATGGGCTCAAGCAACCCACTCAACTCCCAAAGTGCTGGGATTATAAGGCGTGAGCCACAGCGCCCAGCCTGCATTTTAAAAGTAAAGAAACTGAGACACAGTAATGTTAAAAAGTTGCCTGGGGTCACACAGCTAGTACATTAGGGCTGGGACTCAAACGGAGGTCTTCGTGACCCTAACCCTTGTGTCTTCCCTATGATCCCTGCCCCTTCACCCCCACCCCCTACACACATACACACTTCCTCTGAAGATGCACCAAGGTACCAGGCACGTGCCCAGTCCCTCGAGAATGGGTGCTGTCATCGGCTCGGGCAGCGACAGAGCTGAGAGTTGTCTTTCCCTAAGGTAAACTGCATCTGATTCCTACCCTGAGCCATAACCATAGAAAGCCCCATCTGAATCACAGTAATATTCCAAGCTGGGACACTGGGGACCTACTGCCAAGGCCTGAATTTCAGCTGTGCACCTACTAGCTATGTGGGCAGTTACGTGATGTGGCTGTGTCTCCATTTACTTGCTCATGAAATGGCCATCCAGTCTCTTAGGGGCATATGAGGACTGAGTGATGGGGGTACACGCATGGCAGCTCTGGTCACAGGCAGCTCATACTCGGTGGGGGCTGCTGTCATCGTCAGCCTCCAATACTTGTTGACTTAATCTGACCTAAACATGGGTAGCCACCAGCCAGGCAGGCATGTGGGCCGCATAGCCTGGTTTACTTGCACCCAGGTGACATCCTTTGGAGCCTCTGCCCTGTCTCCATTTAGCAGCAAATGGGGTTTCCTTAGCTGTGAGCCCTCAATTGGGTTGAAGCCAACAGCCCTTTCTAGAGGCCTCCTCCTTAGAGTCGTGACAGTGGCTCTGGTGTCCCGACTGCCAGGTGACCAAGCTGCAACCCAGTCCACACCCCTCCAACCTCAAACTGCCTGCTCTTGACCACTGGGCTACCTGCCTCTTAGAACATCCTCCTAAGAGATAAAACACACGTCACAAACTAGGACGTAAGTCCTGAAACGAGTCCCCCAGAGGAATCCAGGTGGGCTAAACGTCAGGGAAACAACTTGCAGTGTTTGTGTGAGATGTCATATGTAACCCACAAGGTGAGGCCTGGTGGGGTCCAGTGTGTTCGTAAGGGTGGAGGATTTGCTTTGTGGTTCAGCTGGGAGGATAAGAATGTTTAAGTGGCACCTTGAAAGTCAGCTGAATACTCCTCCTGCCTGGTTTCTCAGGGTTCCTCTGATAAGGGAAGGAAAGGACTTTTTACATTTTTCTCTGCAAGCTCCATCGTTTGTGTCTATTTCTGCAAGACTTTGTTACAAACAAAGGACTTTTCTTGCATGCATGGCAAACCACTGAGATATCCAAGATACACTGTGTCTTTAAATGAAAAGAAAGCAAGTTGCAATACAATATGCTTAGTGTGCTTTTATTTTTTTTAGATGTCAGTATCTGAGCAAAAGAACAACCTTGAGAAAAAGACATCAAACTGTTAGGAGTATTATCGCAGCAGGGTGGGATTGCATTGGACCTTGACTTCCATTCAGTTGTTCAACAACTGTTCGTTGAGGGTCCCTGTGTGCCAGCCACCATGCAGAACATGAAGACACAGCAGCAAACACTTCCCACATTATGAATTTCTGCAACATTTGGATTTTTATGAGCAACATATATAACTTTTGTAAACAGAAGTATAAGAAAGACTTGTTGCTTTCCCCAAAGAGCAAAATCCCATTATGATTAGTTAGTCATCTCATCTAGAAATAGAAACGTGATCAAATACTGGCCTCCCCTTCAGCATCCTCAACTCCCTCACCCCTTAGTCCTCCTCAGATCCCAACTATGATTTCATCCTTCTCCTTTGGTTGCTGGGTCACACATTGCAGCCAAGCAAAATCCCAGACTTATCCCAACAGAGCCTCCACAGATGTCTGTATTCACCAGGTCCAATGGGCCAAGCCAATGTCAGCCCAGCCATCTCACCTCCTCCGCCATCTTGGTATCCTTGCAATGCAGCTCCCCAATGCACCAACCCAAACCCTGTACTCTCAAGCCTCCAAACCCTTTGAAAAGAGAGTGACAGACCTAGGTCTGAATTCTGATTTACCACTTACCAGCTCTGTAGCTTAACCTTGGGGAGCTTCTGTTGTTTCACCTATAAATATGAACACACTTCCTTGCCAGGTTGTTTATAATGATTAGAAAGATGTATCAGACTCTTGGCATAGCACTGGCATACAGGAGGTGTGCTATTATTATAATATTGCTGTTCTCACATTTCTGTGCTGGAAATCCTCCAAATGGTGCATTGCCCCATGCACAAGCATGTTCTCCTCGCTTCCTTTCTCTCTCTGTGTCCATCTTTTATTCCTTCCCTCCATCATCCCCACGAGGTCTTCCTCCTAGATGCAGCACATACCCTTCCCTGTCTCCCCTTTCCTCTCCTTCCCAGGGACCTTGTGCACAAAATTCTTCTTTCTTTGGCGTCTGCGGCCTTTCTTTTCCTCTTAGTTCCTTCCCTTTGCCATCGAAGGGGCACTTCAAGATGGCTCTACCATCCTGAAAAAATCATTCTTCTCTGGAATCCATCGCTTCTTTTGCTCCTTTTCAATTGCCCTTACTCCTGTCTTCACCTGTGATCTTTAAGAAGCATGTTGCACCCTCGGTCTTCACTGCCAACTTCTTGGCCTTTCTGCCAAGTAACTGACGTGGGCCCCCTGCAGCACTGACTGGGCCACCACCCTCTCGGGGACTGTGTCTCTGACCTGTCCAACACTCTTCGTTCTCTTTTTTGAAGATGCTGGGAAGATGGTGCAGGGAGTCCAGCCGAGGCAGCAGGTGGGGTCCCTGGCCAGGGGCCATGGCCACCAGGAAGAAGGGGGCCTCTTTCTTCATTCACATGAGAACCCTGGATGGGCTGGGCTGGGCCGGCCTTGCCAGTCAGCATGTCCAGCTCTCCGCTGACCATCCCTCCCTCAAGTCCCGCCCGTGCCTCCAATTCAGCATGTCTGAAACAGCCTGGGGGCTCCTCTCCCCCTGCCACAGCCCACCCCAACCCCACCCTGTCTCTCTCCTGTCTGATGGCGAGGCCACCATTCTACCGCTTTGAAATGCTTTCCCTTTCTTCCTCTCATCCTCGCTTCTCCCACCCTCGGTTAGAGGATCAGCACTGAATTCCTAGGCATCTCTTGGGCCCTTAGCAGAGCTCCCTGCCTCTCACTCGGAGGAGGGGAGCTTATCACCGGCAACATCCAGGATCGTCTGGTGACATTTTTGGTTGTCACAACTGGGGTGGGGTGAGTGGGGGTGCCCGTGGCATCCAGTGGGTAGAGACCAGGGATGCTACTAACCATCCCACAATGCCTAAGACAGCCCGCACGGCAAAGACTCAACAATGTCAGCAGTGCAATACCAGCAATATGGCCGGACCTATCAGCAGTGCTGCAGCAAAGAAGCCCTGCCAGCTCCAGCCTCTCGAATGCAGCCCAGTTATTTTTCTGCAAACACACACACACACACACACACAACACTCTTCATCAGGCCACTTCACTGTTCTGCCGGCTGCTAGAATAGTGACTCAGACCCTGAGTCACACCAATTAGTCTTGGCTCAGCCACTGGCCTGCTGTGTGGCGTCGGGCAGGCCCGCGTCTCAGAACGCCACTGCCTCATCTATAAGATGGGGACCCACTGGGCACCTTTCAGTCATGTTTAAATCAAGTTTCCTCTCTCAAGGTGATGGTTGCAGGCCTGTCACAGCTTGACCTCACCCTTCCACGCCTCCTCCACCATCTGCTCCTCCCTCTGCCATCATCTACTCCAGCCCAAGTAAGCTCAGCACTTCCCCGGAGGAGCACTGCCTTTTCCCAGCCCACCCCCACCACCCCCACATCCCTGTACGAAGCTATGGCTTCCTGTGACTATTGTAACAAATGACCACAAGAGAGTGGCTTAAAACAACACAGTATTCTCTTAGCGTTCAGGATTAATTCGGTTTCACCGGGTTAAAGTTCCTTCCGGAGGCTCTAGGGCGGCATCCGTTTCCTGGCCGCCTTCAGCCTCTAGAGCTTCATTCCTTGCATTCCTTGGCTCGTGGCCCTGCCTCCATCTTCAAAGCCGTGGCATCTTCCGGTCTCTCTCCTTCCATCACATCACCTTCCCCCTGTCTGTGGTCAAACCTCCCTCTGTCACCTTCTTATAAGAAGCCATGTGATGACGTTGGGTCCACCCAGATAATGCAGGATAACACCGCATCTCGAAATCCTGAACTTAAATCATATTTGCCAAGCTCCTTTTGCCCCGTACGGTCACACCCACAGGTTCCAGGGATTCGGACCTGGAATCATAGGGCGTCGTCATTCAGCCCCACACACCCCTGTTCTGAAGCACCCTCCCCCGGCTCACTGAATTCTGCCCACCCAACAGCACCCACACCCAGTGCTTCTTCAACCACGTGACCTTACTCGCTCACTCCAGGAATGATCTCTCCCTCCTCTGAGACCCTCACCCTCCCCTCTCCTTCGGCAGTCACTTACAGCCGCCTGAGGTCATTGCGTGTTTCCAGCAGGCATTTACACCTTGTCTGTCGGACTGAACTGCAAGCCCCTGGAGGTCTTGGCTTTCCACCATCCCCCACACTCAGCACCATGCTTTACACAGAGTAGACAGTTCATAGGTGTTCTGTTGATGGTTTATTTTCTACCTCCAAAAAGAAAGTTGGATGTGAGCTCAACCAAGGCTTATCAACTACTTTTTTTATTTTTATTTTTATTTTTTTGAGACTGAGTCTCTGTCTGTTGCCCGAGCTGGAATTTAGTGGCACAATCTGGGCTCACTGCAACCTCTGCCTTTGAGGTTCAAGTGATTCTCATGCCTCAGCCTCCCAAGGAGCTGGAGTTACAAACATGTGCCACCACACCCAGCTAGTTTTTGTATTTTTAGTGGAGATGGGGTTTTATCATGTTGGCCAGCCAGGCTAGTCTCGAGCTCCTGACCTCAGGTGATCTGCCCATCTCAGCCTCCCAAAGTGCTGGGGTTACAGGCGTGAGCCACCATGTCCAGCCTAAGCCACCGTGCCCAGCTGCTTATCAACTACTTTAAAACCACAGGTTGGATGACAGCTCATGTTGTTTGGATGGGATGGCAACGTTGCCTTCATCCACCTGTCTGCAAGCTTTGGAGTTGAATTGAATTGGTACTTACATTCTTCCTGCTTCTCTTTTTTTAAGGGTTCTCTTTGTATCTGATTTATCTTCTGGAACATTATAAAAAACTTATGAGCCAGACCCAGGAACTTCAGGTAATTCTTTTAATTTCTTTTTTTCCAAAGTTCATTTCAGCCCCTGGTTGGCATTTATACAGCACTGTGCATTTGAAACCTGTTTTTTCTTTATCAGCTAGTCAGTCCACACCCTCCAACAGGTGAAATGATTTCTCTGTTTGCACACACAGAGGTACAGAAAAGGTTGGCTAAGATCTCCCAGGAGGGTAAGGACAAGGACAGGGTGCTGCCATCTGTCTGGCCTCCTGGGCCAACCACACTGTTTGTTTTCCTCTGTCAAAGTCCCAGAAGACTTAATGCCATCAGATTTTTTTTTTTTTCCGAGTCTCGCTCTGTTGCCCAGACTGGAGTACAGTGGTGCAATCTCGGCTCACTGCAGCCTCTGCCTCCTGGATTCAGTTGATTCTTCTGCCTTAGCCTTCCAAGTAGCTGGGATTACAGGCGCCTGCTACCATGCCTTGCTAATTTTTGTATTTTTAGTAGAGATGGGGTTTCATTATGTTGGCCAGGCTGCTCTTGAACTCCTGACCTCAAATGATCCACCCACCTCAGCTTCCCAAAGTGCTGGGATTACAGGTGTGAGCCACTGTGCCTGGCCTTAATGCCATCAGATTTTGAAAACTGTGTTTGTTAAATCCAGTGGACAAAATACAGCTATCTATAGTACAGGCAGCAGAATTACTAAAAGAAAAGAAATATTCTAGAGGCAAATGAGCTTTAGGGGTTATATCATTCTCATAACTATAGCCATAAGAGTGTTATATAATAACCACAAAACTTCAGCGGCATTCAGCAGTTGCTATTTACTGCTCACGTGTCTGGGGTCAGTGGCAAGGTGGCTCTGCTGACCTTGGATGGGCCTGCCCACTTGTCTGGGTGTTAGCTGGCCTTTGGTTGATCTAGACTGGCCTCAGCTGGAGCGACTCAGCTCCATGTGTCCCTCATCCCCCAGCAAGCAAATCTAGGCTGTTCTCAGGGAGACTGCAGAGGTAGAAGAGAAAGTGGCCCAATCACATAGTGTTTTTCAACCTTCTGCTTGTGTTATGTCTGCTAAGATCCCATTGGCCAGAGCAAGTCACATGGCTGAGTTCAGTGTCTGGAGGCAAAATATGGGCGGGCACTGCAAGTTACATAGCCCTAGACATGGATAGAGTGGGGTGAAGAAGGGACCACCGTGCCAATCAGCCACAGAGGCTTGAGTCCAGGGACTGGCAACTTTCTCTGTAAAGGGCTAGATGGTAAATATTTTATGCTTTGCAGACCATATTCATACCCCTTCCACTCTACTACGGTAAAATGAAAGTAGCCATAGACAATATGTAGGCAATGGGCATGATAAGTATGCCACGGTTCCAATAAAACTTTATTTATGGCGGGCACGGTGGCTCATGCCTGTAATCCCCAGCACTTTGGGAGTCCAAGGTGGTTGGATCACCTGAGGTCAGGAGTTCAAGACCAGCCTGGCCAACATGGTAAAACCCCCATCTCTACTCAAAATACCAAACTTAGCCAGGTGTGGTGGTGGGCACCTGTAATCCCAGCCACTCGGGAGGCTGAGGCAGGAGAATCACTTGAAGCCAGGAGGTGAAGTTTGCAGGGAGCCAAGATCGTGTCCCTGCACTCCAGCCTGGGCAACAGAGCAAGACACCAGCTCAGGAAAAAATAAAAAATTTTAAAAAAGCCACCTTATTTACAAAAGTATGCAGTGGACCCGATTTGGCCTGTGGGCTGTAGTTTGTCAACCCCTGGTCTAGTCTCTTCTCCTCATTTTTCAGATAAGGACAATTTCAGTGTCACACAGCTAATGGGCGAAGAATCAAGACAGATGTTCAAGCCTCCTGGCTCCTAAGTGACTGCTTTTTTTTCCTCACACCCGCCTACCACTTACTAGACACCTACTCTGTGCTCAGCACTGCTAAAAGCTTTCCATCATTATCTCACTTAATCCTCACAACTCTAAAAGGTCAATACTGTTATTAACTTCATTTTCTAAATGAGGAAGTGTCTAGAAACAATTAGAGCTGGGATTCTTTCTAGATCCAGAGTCTGAATTCTTAACCACTGCATGCTGTGGTGGTCTGTGATTTTAAGAAACTTTTGGGTAAACCTTTGTCCCGCGAAAGATAAACAATTGGTAAACAGATGTGGAAAGACTCTTCAGTTAGGCCTGTCCTCCATCAGCATCGGTTTACTTTTCTCTCGTTTCAGATCAAGTTCAACAGTTCTCAGGAAACTCAGCAGTCTTTACTGCAAGAAAAGCTGCGGGAGCATCTGGCAGAGAAGAAGCAGCTGAACAAGGAGAGGCTAGAGCAAGAGGAGAAGCTGAAAGCCAAAATCAGGCAACTGACGGAAGAGAAGGTGGTAAGGTGGTCCTTGTCATTTGCTTTACTACTGAAAATAGATGAAATGGTCTTTTATATGGGAAATTGAGGGCATATGTACTTAGACAAATCTCAGCTACTCTGTTTGGTGCCGTGAAACTAAATTAATTAAACAGGGTGAATAAGTGGGGAGGATTTAACATGAAGTTTGAATTCTAAAACTCACAGCAAAATTAGCTTGAAAAGGCAGCGTGATTGAAATTTCAGGAAACGGTGCCTTGTTTGTGTACACATTGCAGTCAGCTTTATAAAATCTGAGTCATCGCTGCAGGTCCTGGTTTGTAGCTGACAGACTGTTTCTAAATGTGCACAAGATCAACTTCAGATGACAAATTTCAGTCTTTTGCTTTCTCTTTATACATATCAGGGAAAACAAATGGCCAAAATTGCTACTGACTTTTCTAGAAACCAGGCCAGTTAGAAGACAGCAGCATCTCTAAAACTCGAAGGTGCCTGTGAATTTTCTGGGGATCTGGTTAAGATGCAGATTCTGTCTCAGCAGGCCTGAGACGCTAGATTTCCAACAAGCTCCCAGATGGTGCTGACGCTACCAGTCTGCAGATTCACATTTTCTCAGGGCGAAGTCTTAGAGGAAGATGTTCCCAAAGTTTCCTGATCAGAACCACCCAGATGTTTTGCTAAAAATACAGATCTTAGTCCCCACGCCAGACCCGTTAAATCAGAACATCTGGAGAGGGCCAGGAAACTGTATTATTTAATGAGCTGATTCTCATCACTGTCCTAGAGTTGGCCCTTTTTTTTGTTAAGATGGGGTCTTGCTCTGTTGCCCAGGCTGGAGTGCAATGGTGTGATCACAGCTCACTGCAACCTCAAACTTCCAGGCTGCAGTAGTCCTCCCACCTCAGCCTCCCAAGTAGCTGGGACCATAAGCATATGGCACTACACCCAGATTTTTTTTTTTTGGTAGAGATGGGATCTTGCTATGTTTCCCAGTCTGGTCTTGAGCTCCTGGACTCAAGTGATCCTCACACCTCAGCCTCTCAAGTAGCTTGGGCCACAGGCACACACCACCACACCCAGCTAATATTTTTATTTTTTGTAGAAATGGGGTCTCTCTATGTTGCCCAGTCTGGTCTCAAACTCCTGGCATCAAGTGATCCTCCCACCTCAGCCTCCGAAAGTTCTGGGATTACAGGCATGAGCTGCCGTACCCAAGGGTTGGCCCTTTCTGATGTTCAGGGACCCCTCCCATGAATTTTACCGTCTTTATGACTTTTGTCGTTTAGGAGATTAAAGATTACTAATGCCTTGCACCTCTCCTCACCGACTCTCCACATTGTGATCTAAGTGGGGTGAGGGTGTGGCCCCTGCTCTGGGATTTCTAAGCACTCCCGGGTGGTGGCAAAGTGCAGCCACAGTCACTAGCCACTGTCGTGGGTGGGTGTGGAGCAGCATGTGCGTGCTGACCCTGCTCACAGCCCCCGCAAGACAGCAGCCTCAGATCCACCGGACCCCAGCTCTTCCCAGATATCTCCTTTCTTCCCGAGAAGAGGACTGGACCTGCCGCCTTCTCCATCTTTCCCCAGCTCCTCTGCCACACACACTTGCCCTCCAGACCTCTCCCTCTTTCATCTCCATCCTCACATGTGTATCCAGTTACCCCAAGACATCGGTCTCCTCCTCCTCCCCCTTCTCTTTGCCTCTTTCTCTGCTTTTCTGCATTTGCGAAATAAAAGATTAAAAAGAAAGAGCCATCTGACCAAATCATGTGCAATCCACATAAAGGTAATATTAATGATAGCTATAAATCAAGACGGGCACATTTTGAAGGGCATTTAGATATGGAAAAAGCCAGCACTGTTCCACAGAGAAGAAAATAAAACCAGAAAGTACCTAGAAATCTTCAACATGTTCACAGAACTCTCCACTGACTTCCTTTTCTCTTCTCTGATTACCTTCTCCTTTTAACATCGGCATTCCAAATGCCTTATTTTCTCTTTTTAATTTTGGATGGACTTTTTCCCTTGCCAGGGCCTGGTATTTCAGCCCCACCGTGTTAAACACTGCGTTGGGCGCCTGCCTAGTCTTCCTAGACACCCATGGCGACACTGGCCTGGCAGAGTGTTCTAAGAGCTGGCATCAGCCCCTCTTTTAAACCTGCAAACCTCGATGCACCCCACCGTCCTTGCAGAGGGAGGCGACATCAGGTCCCTGCCAGACAGACTGTGACACTCGAAGGTCGCCCTTCCTCTGACAGTCAGATTGATGGACTTGACCCTGGGGACTCCTTGGAAAGTTATCTCTTGGACATCAGTGCCAGGTGTCCTGACTTTATGTGAGCCTTCCTTAGCCCTTCTGACTCCCATCACCTGCCCTTTCCGAAAAAACATGTGTCCAGGCTTGTTAAGCAGCCTCCCTCTCATGAATCTTGACTTGTTTGAGGACTTTGTTTCAAAGGGGGAAAAAAAATGTCTGGGTTCCTTTATCAATCTAGCGTTCTTTTCTTATTATCAGTTGTTGACAACAATCACTTGATTTGTGCACACACCGATGCGTTAGATCAGGGATTGGCCAAATTGTCCCATAAAGGGCCAGATAGTAAATATTTTCAGTTTTGCAGGTCATATACTCTCTGCCCTTCTGCAAAAGCAGCCATAGACAATACACAGCAAGCACAGAGTGTTCCAATAAAACTTTATTCACAAAAACAGACCAGATTTGGTCTGTAAACCATTGTTTGCTAACCTCTGGTTTAGAACACAGGCTTCAGAATCAAATGGGTCAGAGTTAGAATCCCTGCTCATGTGATTTACTAGTAAACTGGGTGGGTTCCTTCATGTAAGCCTGTTTCCTCCTCTGCAAGCTGGGAAGCGTGGTTATCACTGTGCCAGCCATTTCGTGCTCGTCATCCCATCCACCCCTCACATCAACCCAACACAGGAAGACTATTACTGCCTCCATTGTACAGGCAGGGCAACTGAGGCTCTGGTAGCTTTACTTCCCCAGTGTCTTACAGCTGGAAAGGATCAACCTGGGGCTCTACCCTGGGTCTCCTGATGCCAGAGCACATGCTCCGAGCTCCTAGACTCTGCTGCCCACAGCCTCCCCAGGGGAGTGTGGTGAGGAGTGAAGAGGTAGCTAGCCCATGCAGTGCCTGGCAGTGTCCAAATTCCTGCCATGGTAACCATGTCTATTAAACAACAGTCATTGGTTTCCAGGCTTTGGAGGAGCGCATTACGCAAGAGAGAAACAGAGCAAAAGAGACTTTGGAGGAAGAACGGAAGAGAATGCAAGAGCTGGAGGGCCTCCTGGCCCAGCAGAAGAAGGTATGTGGCTCAGGGAGACAGAGTCAGCTCGAGCCCATGTCACGGCCCTGCAGCTAAGAAGGGTGGATCTGGGGCTCTGGGCTGGGCCCACCGGCTCTGAGTTCCAGGGCTGTGCTACCCACAGCCCTGCCAGGGAGGTGCAGTCAGGAGGGAAGAGGTAACCTATGCAGTGCCTGGCAGAGTCCAAATTCCTGCCCCGGTAACCATGTCTATTAAACAATGATCCTTGACTCAGGCTTTGGCAGAAAGCATTACCCAGGAGAAGAACAGAGTGAAGGAAGCATTAGAGGAAGAGCAGGCAAGAGTCCAAGAGCTGGAGAAATGCTTGGCCCACCAGAAGGAGGTACGCTCGGGGAGATAGAGTCGGCTGAGGCCCAGTCGGCTTCAGGGCCATGTGGAATTAAGTTCAGAGCCGTCGATGATGGGGGTGAGAGCGTGGTGGAGCCTTCCTCATGGAGTTTGCGTTCGGGAGGACTCAGCTACTTCGGGAAGCGTGGGAGACTCAAGGGAACCCCAGAGTTGTAGCCTTGACAACCGGCTGGGAAAAAACTGTAAACAGTGTAAAACACAGTCAGAGAGAGCACTTGGGAGACAGGTAGGAATGGTGACATGGGCATCTTCTGTGTTCCAAAGCACAGAAACGGTAGAATGACAGAGTCATGGCACCTCAGGGCTGCATGGACCCTCCACCAGCATCCAGCCTTGAGCACCACTGCTGAGGAGTGTTCTCCACCCCAGGGCAGTCCATCCCAGCATGGATGCCTCAGGCCAACAGAAAGTTTTCCCTTTAGGTTGAGTTGGGTCAAACTCTTATGCCCCAGAAGAGTATCAATCCTCCGCCCTCCCCTGCGCTCCCACAAGGTACGTCCACTTCCTCTTCCACACGGCGACTCAGATGTGTGAAAACAGAGGCACCCGCGCCCTGCATCTGCTCCTCCCCAGGCCCAAGCACCCTTGTTTCTCAGGTCCCTCACAGGACTGGAACCTGGTGCTGGCCCCCTCCTGTGGCCTGTGCTGCTCTCCAGAAGTCACGGACTGGGAAGCTCAGCGACTAAACAGGGTCTGTGGAGGTTACATTTGGCCCCAGAATATTTTACTTTGAATTCATAAAATCTATTTAAAAGTTCAGATTTCCATCCACTCCCAAAAAGTCAGAAAATCTAGCCCTTGTTTCTACTTAGCAAAAATGGACTAGAAGCCTTACTGGGTAGCAGCAGTTTGCTACAGTTTTCACCACTCCCTATTGCATTAAACACAGCCCACGTCATTTTTGGTATCTGTCTGGGCTTCACAGGCATTTGAGTTTGTCACCCATCACCGATTTTCTTCCTAAAGGGAGGTGGCCAGAACCACTGTTCTCCAGAGGTGGCCAGAACCACTGTTCTCCAGAGGTGGCCAGAACCTCTGTTCTCCAGCCACGGTAGCCTAGGGGAGGACTCTTCCCTCCCTCATTGAAGATGTTCTACTTCTGTTAATATGTCCGAACTAGCTTTTGGGAAAGCTCTGCCACATTTGTGGATTCATGATTAGCTTGTGGTCACCCTCAGATCCCTGATCCTTTTTCATGTCAGCTTTCATGAATTCCTCAGTCCTGACACAGCACAGGGGAGTGTGGGCTTTGCAGCCAGATGAGACATGAGTTCGAATCCGAGCTGGGCTACTTCCTGGCTGCAGCAGACCTATCACTACCTCCCTTCTCGAAGGGGCAGCTGTGGGCTCAGATCGAGTGTATAATGGAGGGCCTGGCCCGGCTGCAGCAGACCTATCACTACCTCCCTTCTCGAAGGGGCAGCTGTGGGCTCAGATCTAGTGTATAATGGAGGGCCTGGCCTGTGGAATTATTGCCAAGTAAATGGCAGCTGTTGCTACTGTCTCTGCTGCCACTTGTGCCCCTTCTTCTGTTTGGGTATTTGTTTTTCATCAGCACCGACTCCTTGAGTAAAATCCTTGCCCATCCATCGCTGCAGTCTCTGGCACAGCTGTGTCCTGCAGCCTCTCCCAGAGCATCACTGAGGTTTGCCCCCAAGTGATGCCTCCAGGGGTGGGGATGAGGAGCAGGGTCTCCAAGGAGTCACTTGAGTCAAATGCCCCAAGATGGGCCAGGCACGGTGGCTCAAGCCTGTATTCCCAGCACTTTGGGAGGCCAAGACGGGCGGATCACGAGGTCAGGAGATCGAGACCATCCTGGCTAACACAGTGAAACCCCGTCTCTACTAAAAAATACAAAAAACTAGCTGGGTGAGGTGGCGGGCGCCTGTAGTCCCAGCTACGCGGGAGGCTGAGGCAGGAGAATGGCATAAACCCGGGAGGCGGAGCTTGCAGTGAGCCGAGATCTGGCCACTGCACTCCAGCCTGGGCGACAGAGCGAGACTCCGTCTCAAAAAAAAAAAAAAAAATGCCCCAAGATGTCAACAGCAAAGGCCCGGGGAAGATCCTTGAATTTAGAGACTTTGAGGCCACGGGGCTCAGGAGAAAAATTCAAGCTTCATTGCAGAGAGGATCTGTGGTTGGGTCACCCTGGGTCTGTTAAAATGTCAGCCTACTTCTGGCAGAACTTCTCTGTGGCTTCCTATCGGGGAAAATTGAAAGAGCAGCCCCAGCCACAGGCTCCATTCAACTGCCAGTGGCTATTTGATTTTCTTTTTTTTCTGTCTCCCAGTCTGCAGGGCAGCGGCATGATCTCGGCTCAGTGCAACCTCTGCCTCCTGGGTTCAAGCGATTCTCATGCCTCAGCCTCCCAAGTAGCTGGGATTACAGGTGCACACCACCACGCCTGGCTAATTTTTTGTATTTCTAGTAGAGACGGGTTTTCACCGTGTTGGCCAGGCTGGTCTTGAACTCCTAGCCTCAAGCGATCTGCCTGCCTTGGCCTCCCAAAGTGCTGGGATTACAAGCGTGAGCCACCGCGCCCGGCCTGATTTTCTTTTCATTAGTCTTCTGCCACATTATCAGGGTTTTTAAGGTCAACAGAATCACTAGGTCATAATCTGGATCTTGAGGTCATGTTCAAAGTTAATCCCCGTTATCTGTTGTGAACTTGGAAGCACGGCAACTGGGCATGTAGGGCCTGTGTGTGAGCCAGGCAAGGCCTCTCTTCCCAGTAGTACCTGTCCCGGCTACAGAGGAGGTGCCCAGAGGAAGGCCTGGCGAGTGTAGACGCAGAGTCAGACACAGCAGAGCCAACCCTAAGTCCCTAGGAAGTGCCTCAAAGTCTCTTTCACAGTTCACAGGAAAATGTCCTACCTCAAAACCCACTTCAAAGGATCCAAATAAACATGAAATTCTTATGATGTCACTTTTCTTCTGCTTTAAGGCTGGTGTTGGGACAGCAGAGTGTTGGAGTTCTGTCAACTACTTTTCACTGCGAAGTATACAATATCTCAGCCATATTCTGGATTAACCACTTTTTGCGGGCTCATCTGGGGCCCTCACCGCTGGTTATAATGGCAGCCATCTTCCAAGTTCTAAATACCTGACAGTTAACCTGGTGTTTGAAAGACAAGCCATTGGAAAATAGAGGTAGCCCTTCTCGTGGTGACTGGAAACAGGCTGGCAACATATTTCCTTTGGTGATTTACATTAAGCTGTTTAGTTGAATAGCTTACCAGCGAGTAACTTCCCAGACAAAACTCCTTAACGGTTAGGGCACTAAATACTGGCCACACTTTCGTCCCTGCATCCTACCAGAACATTACTTGTCCCTTCTAGAAATTGGCTCATTAATCCAACATACTGCCCTTCTCTTGAAACCGAATTCTGTTGAAGAGATTTATTTCAATAATGGAAATTCCATTATTAACGAGACTCTTCTTTTGATCAGAGAGGTTGCCTGGTCCCGTGACAGGAAGCTGCCCCCACTGCTCCCGGGTTCCCTGTCCAGAGCTCTTTATTCAGGCTCCGTGCTTTCCTCTGCGCAGGCTTCAGATCCTGGCCTCACCTCTAACAAAGGGTGTGGCTCTGGGCCCTCTCGGACTTCCTGCTGCTTGGTTTCCTCATCTGTAAAATGGGCACTCTCAGCACTTCTCTGACAAAGTTGCTGTGAGACTGAAGGGCTGACCAGGGGCCCTGGTGTATCTAATAGCCGCCCCAACACTTTGGCTGTTATTGTTACTATGATTATTATGATCATTACTAGCAATTTCCCCCCTAAATGTGCAGGCCACCAAGCGCACTGGTCATTGATTTGCAGGTTTTGGAGAGCAGCATAGCCCATGAAAAAAGAAAAGCAAAGGAAGCCTTGGAGTCAGAAAAGAGAAAAGTTCAGGACCTGGAGAACCACTTAACCCAACAGAAGGAGGTATGAGCAGCAGCAGAAAAGAACCTTCTGGAAGGAGCTACTGGGAGATCCCTGGGAGAGTCTGGTGGGAAATCGGGCAGATAACACAGTCACGCCTCCCTTTGAAGTGGCCAAGATCTGCCATTTACTGGCCATGTGACCTCTGGCAGATCACCACCTCTCCATCCCTCAGTTTCCTCATCTGTGAAATGGGAATGCTAACAGTCCCTGCCTCATCAGATTAGATGCTCTCAGGTGTAAAGTACATAGGACTGCACCCTGCATCCTAGCGGGCCCTCGGGAGGTTTTTTTTGCTCTCTGGTTCAGCTACCTAGGAAAGAGGGATCCTCCCCAGGAGAGAACCCTGGGTTTCAGCCTGGGTCAGGGGCTTAGTGAGCGTCGTCCTCACAGTAGAGAGGCATGTGTGCCACACCCAGCATGGCCACGGGAGAAAGCACTGCTCCTGGCCTGGTCTGCTGGTGTCGTGGACTCCGGAGCAGGCCTTCCCTGGACTGGCTGAGGAGTAAAGGACACAGAGCACAAAAAGAGATGGCACAAGTGGGTGCATAGTAAGCACACGTGGTTGTCACATCAGATAAGCCGCAGGAATCAGTGCCTTCTGGAATGGACAAACAGATGGGCACCCCAGGACAGAATGACACCAGGGAGGAAAGGAGGGGTCAGAGCTGGAGACATCCATATCCACCCACCCCAATGCCACCAACCTAGGGACCTGGCCCACCAGATACACCTGCCCTGAGCAGCATGAGAGGCAGACCCTCAGGTCAGCCTGGATGCCCGGGTCACACCCTGGAAGTAAGACCCAGGGGGCCAGGAGGAGGTCACTCAGGGACCCACATGGCATCTCCAGGAGCTGGGCTTTGGGGACGGAGGTGGCACAGGCACACACCTCCTGGCCCCCACAGAACTTCCAGAAACAGAGCTGATGGCTCAGTGAATGGTTTGATTTGGTTTCATTCATCTGCCCATAAATATTCATTTATTCACCTGCTGATCTCGGTTTCATTCATCCACCCACCATGTGCCAGGCCCGGTTCTGGGTGCCACGGACATCGCAGTGAGCAAGACAGACCAAGGCCAGGCTGCCCAGAGCTTCCATCCTAGGGCAGGGAAACAGACAGCCTGCGGAAGCAGGGGCGGCTCCAGGGCCACAAAGCCAAAGCCGAGAAGCAGGCTGGAGGGTGCCCGAGGGCAGGACCGCTCAGGAAGTGACATTCCAGTGAGAACTGGAAGGGAAAAGGAGCCTGGGGGCAGAGAGGACCACTGGATAAAGTGGCACAGGTGTGAAGGTCAGGACCTGAGCTTGCCAGGAGGTCGGGGAGCGTTCGGGGGGGTGGGAGGGAGACTGGGTGAGGAATGTAACCAAAGCTGGCCCAAGATGGGAGGCACCAGGGCGCAGGGGAAGGAAATAGGTGGGAGAGGCGGGGAAGGAACTGCAGAGCTTGGTGGGCTAAAGGGTTCATTCTGGGCTCAAATCTCAGCTCTGCCCTAACAGGCTGTGTGACCCTGGGCATGCCCCTTGCCCTCTCCGTGCCCTCATCTGCCCTGTGGGTGTGGTGGCAGAACCGCCCTAGAGGTGTAATATGAGGAGTCAGTATATTCATGGCTTGGGATGCACCTGCCCTGTGAGGTCAGAGTCCAGGTGGGGTGGGCAGTTGAGTGGGCACAGCAGGGTGGGGGCTGCACAGCCTGAAGCGAAGCCCTTGGCAGCGGGACAATGCCAAGCCCATGAGGGAAGTGAGGTCAGAGTCCAGGTAGGCAGAGAGAGCACAGACACGCTAAGAGGTGGGACCCAAACTGTGGTCACGGCTACCCCCAGAGCCTCCCTTATACATACGGGCCAGGGATGGGGTCCCGAAGCTCAGGCTACAGCCAGGCAGTGTCTTGGGCTCTGTGCCAGCCTGGGTATGAACATATAAACTCATCTTGCCAGGTGCGGTGGCTCACGCCTGTAATCCCAGTACTTTGGGAGGCCGAGACAGACAGATCACTTGAGGTTGGGAGTTCAAGACCAGCCCGGCCAACATGGTGAAACCCTGTCTCTACTAAAAATACAAAAATTAGCCAGGCCTGGTGGTGCACGCCTGTAGTCCCAGCTGCTCAGGAGGCTGAGGCAGGAGAATCACTTGAACCTGGGAGGTGGAGGTTGAAGAGAGCCGAGATCATGCCACTGTATTCCAGCCTGGGTGTCAGAGTGAGAATCCGTCTCAAAAAAAATGTAAATTTAAATTTAAAAATTAAAAAAAAGAAAAAGAAAAAGAAAAGTCTCCTGCCTCCAAGTGGGCAGGGTTTGAATCAGGGCCCAGAGGCCGAGCGGTTAAGGCGAGGGCCCTGGCATCTAAGCCTGCACCACCGCTTCCTGGTGATGACACCTTGGAACACTGCTTGTCTTTATACTGCCTCCTTAAAGGAGCCTGCGTTTCCTTTCTTGTGAAATGGGGATAATCAGATAGATGCTCTCTGGGGTTTGCAGATTGGATGCACTAATACATTCTGTACACTATTTTCATTTGCAACGCACCAAGCAGTGCGTAATAAGAGAAGGGGAAGAGCCCTCACCACAGGGCATGCGGAAGGGTGTGGGTGGCCTTGTAGGACAGTCAGGACTTAGACCTGCAGGGCAAGGATTGAACCATCTTAAGTGAAGGCTTGCCAGTGAGAAAAAGCCAGGTCTGCACTGGGAGATGTGGTTGGGTGGGGGGGCCTGGGAGTTGGATATGCAGAGCCGGGTGGGGTGAGTGGGTGCCACACACGTGATGTTAACACCGGCAACATTGGGAACATCGTCTTTCCTTCAGGACCACACGCATCTTGAGTCTCATACTGTCCCTTGAATTAGGATATTCCCATCTCCTATCACTGCATGCCCTGTAACAATTTTCATTCATTTTTCTTTTTGCCATAATACCTGTGCATTAAAGAAAATTTAGAAGATATGGACCTGTGAAAAGAACAAAATAAAAGTTGCCATAATCCCAATTCCCCCCAAATAACAGTCACTTACATTTCAGTACATACTCCTCTGGTCTTTTGTTGTACATATACACGTATATTTAAAATCCTTTTCTTGTGAGCTGTATGTTGGTGGGGGCGGGGGTGGTATATAATTGCAAGAGTTGCAAGAGCTGCAGATAGAGTTTTTCAAGCCCTCCCTAGCTGTTTACCTCCCAGGGCATGTACAGTGAGTCTGGGCCTCCGATTCCCTCCCCGTCACCAGGTATATGGCGTTCTCAGCTACAAACTGACCTAGACAGGAATTTTGGAAACCCATGCCTTTGTAGACTGGAAGTGGCTGCCTCGGTCCTCCTTTGGAGCCATTGACATGGGTCTACAGAGACAGAAGGCACCTCCCCAGCACTGTCTCTCCTGCCCCACCTCCCAAAGAGCCAGGTACTTCCAACAAAGGCCAGCATCGGTGCCAGCACATGCCAGTTTATTCATTGACTCAGCGCCAAATACCAGGACCCAACCACTCACCAGCATGTCACTTCCTGAACACCTGCCCTGAAATCTTGAATGATGACTCACTCACTCCTTTACACACATGACTAAGATATGGCTCCCGGGTTCTCACCTCTGTCCCCAGTGGGTGCTTTGTTCCTTGAGATCTTTCTCTCCAACCCTGACTTGGTGGCTTCCACAGTGACTTCGTCCTGGTTTCCCTTTTCGGTGTCATTTCCCTTTGAGGGCACAGGCCCTCAAACCACTTTCATTGACTTCCAGGTCTCAGAGAGCAGCATTGCCTACGAGAAACGCAAAGCAAAGGAGGCCATGGAGAAGGAAAAGAAAAAGGTGCAAGACCTGGAGAATCGCTTAACCAAGCAGAAAGAGGTATGAGCTGCAGGGAGGGAGAGACAAGAGGGGCCCAGCATGGTGAAGGGCAGTGCGCTAGAGCCAGGCTCTGGGTTCAGATCCTACCTCTCCCCATGCCTGGCTGTGGAACTTCAGGCAATAACCCTAACATCTCTGTGCCTTAGTTTCCCCACTTATGAAATACACCGAATACATACAGATCAATCTCCTTGAGTTGTTGTGAGACATGACTGCTGTTATACCCACAGAACACATGGAGAGGCACTCAGCATTCCACATATATGTGTCAGCTGCCCATGTTAGCATGGCAAACTCATGACTGGGAAGTGGAGGGACAGGGTCCAAAGCCCAGACTGTCTGACTCCCCAACCCTAAATCTTCACCCCTCCCTCTCTACTGCACTTCAGCTTTGGGCTCAGCTGCCTAGCTTAAGAGAGGAGATGTTGGCCGGGCGCAGGGGCTCACACATGTAATCCCAGCATTTTGGGAGGCCGAAGCAGGCAGATCACCTGAGGTCAAGAGTTCGAGACCAGCCTGGCCAACATGGTAAAACCCCATCTTTACTAAAAATGCAAAAATTAGCTGGGTGTGGTAGCACGCACCTGTAATCCCAGCTACTGAGGAGGCTGAGGCAGGAGAATTGCTCGAACCCGGGAGGTGGAGGTTGCAGTGAGCTGAGATTACGCCATTGCACTCCAGCCTGGGTGACAGAGCAAGACTCCTTCTCAGAAAAAAAAAAAAAAAAAAAAAAGGGAGGAGATGTAAGGGTATGGACACCTGGGTTTCTGATCAGGCCGATATCAGTTTTCCCAGCAGAGCTTGTTGTCATAGTTATCATCACCTTCATAATCAAAATGCATTTACCGTTATCACTGAGAATTGTAAACATAGTAGGAATAGAAGTGGATTTCGCACTGACCCTGTCTTGGGTACCTCATAAGCAGTAGGGCGTAATTCGCTTCTCCTGGGTCCCAGCAGTACAAAACACATACACACACAATTACCAATATGTCAAAGTCAAAGCCCAGTTGGCAAACATGCAACCTGGCAATGATGGGTTAAATTTAAATGTAGGTGACTATGACTTCAAAGGATTTTCGGGACCAGCTAGGACTAAAAAGGTCTCTATTCACGTCAACTTTGGATCATTTTCTTCAAAGAAAGATTTGCAAACATTAGCATGCATTTGAATCTCTGGGAAATTTATTTTTAAGTGCCTGTTTCTTGGACCCCACCCCAAGAAGTTCTGACCCCCTGGGTGGAGGACAGACTCAGGAAGCTGCATGTTTCATAAGCAGCTCAAGTGGCGCTGATGCACTTTAAACAAGGCTGCTCTAGGGAGGCTAGTCAGGAAGGTACATCTGGATTGCACGTTAGCCCTGGACACCAGTCTTCAAGGAGGGACCTGGAGTAACTGGCATGTGCCCAGAGAAGGCAGACGAGAGTTGGGTGAAGGGATGCGGGACTTGTCAGTCCAGGGCCGTCATGGTCATAGAGGACCCCTGCAGGGAGGCACATGCTGCAGGCTGTGGGAGAGCCCGAGAAAGGCAGCCTCTTCCCAAGCAGCCGTGTCCCCCAAACGATGTACCATGGATCCTCCATGAAATACGCTATGGGTAGGCAAAAAGGCGAGGTTAAAGTTTTAAAAGTAGGTAAGTCGGGACGTAAAAGGGATCCGGAATGAGACTAATGAAGGAAAAAAAAAAAAAGTGTATTATGAAATCAATGAATGAGTCACAATTTTTACTCTAGCAGTTACAGTGCAGGGGAAAGCCCAGCTGGTTGTACAATTTGCTAGACAAAAATGGACCAACTGCTCGTGGAAATATGACCATTCTTGGTACTAGACCAGAGAGAATCTCTCCTAAGGGTCATTACGTAGAGGATTCTGCAACAAGCAACCTTCTCAACAATATCCTTAGAACAGTAACATCAGAAGGTAGGGTCTTGGCCAGGCACAGTGGCTCATGCCTGTAATCCCAGTACTTTGGGAGGCCAAAGTGGGTGGGTGACCTGAGATCAGGAGTTCAAGCCCAGCCTGACCAACATGGTGAAACCCCGTCTCTACTGAAAATACAAAAATTAGCCAGGCATGGTGGCACATGCCCGTAATCCTAGCTACTGAGGCTGAGGCAGGAGAATCACTTGAACCCAGGAGGTTGCAATGAGCCAAGATCATGCCATTGCACTCCAGCCTGGGCAATAGAGTGAGACTCCTTCTCAAAAAAAAAAGAAAAAAAAAAAAGTGAGGTCTTATGGCAGCCCTCAAAGTAGACAGGTGACATTACCCTAGACAAGCAAGAACAGAACCCAGCCCAGGGATTCACCATTTACCAGGAAAATCCAAAGAAATACAAGTAGAGTCAGGCAGAGAGTTGTGTGTTTGCACATTATTTTATTTGTACACTCGGAGGAGCAATCAAAGATTGATCTCATCTATATAGGCAAAATGGAAAAGGGAGAGAGGAGAAAAGAAAGGAATTTCCAATGCATGGGACCAGTGGGCTTTGTTCTCCTCTGCTTGGGACAAGCTGCTGAGCAGCCGGCAGGGAGCAAAGATGGCAGGCCGCGTGATCTACTGATAAGCAGGGCAGCTTCACAGCTCTTCAAAGAAACAATTTCAGTTTGTTGTGGATTATTTGGGACACCTGGGGTGTGTCGCTGAGCTGTACGTGGCAAGCTGCTCCGTGGGATGCCTGCCAGTGTCTCCAGTGAGCACCTCCGTAGGCCAGGTCCGCATGAGGTCCTCCGTGGAATATCCCAACAGTAACAGCAAGGTTAAGACCCTGAAAAAGAATCAGACGGAGTTAAGCGGAGGTACGCAGAGGATGCAGCAACTCCCAGGAGAGGCTTGCAGGAATAACATGATGAAAATGGTATAGGGATTTAATATTTTCAAAAAAAAGTGTTTTCTTTCCTGATTATAAAAAAACAACAAGAAGAAGACACCTGTCATTCTAGAAAACTTGAAAAAAAAAAAAACAGAAAATCACTCCAAAGAAAATAATAACTAACAGAGTCCACTGAGCACAGTTGCCACTGTCGACATTTTGATGTGATTCCTTCCAGACCGCCTTTGTGTTGAACCTCAGCATCGACATCGATAAATACCGATTTATGACCAAGTTAGTGATTTACACTGTGACACTGTGCACAGTGCTTTGGATGCTATTTTTGATATTTAACATACGATGTGTCAACCTTAAATAATGAGATTCTCTAAGCATAGAGTTTATTCGAGCTCAGAGCTTGAGGACGGCAACCCAGAAAACAGACTTCAAAAGAATGAGTCAGCATTCCAAAGCAGGGAGGTGAAAATTTCACTTTGATAGGCAGTTAACAGGATCGCAACGTCTTCCACACAAGGTCAGCACATGCGGTTATAGCCCTTTGGTTGGTCACAGCTTGCTACATTCCTGGGAAAATTGCTTTAATGTTCCAGGATGAGGGGTGATCATCTGAAGGAGTCTTATCTCTGGCGCTGCCAGGGCTTTCCCACTCATTTACAGAAAAGAACAGAAGTTGCAGGTGCGTGCTACGTGACCCAGGCCCCACAGCCACATTCCTCTTGAGTCTCAAAATAATGTAAGGTTTCAACCGCTTTAAGTTTGAATGATTTTGGCCATTCACAGTGACTCACGCCTGTAATCCCAGGACTTTGGGAGGTCAAGGTGGGAAGATCACCTGAGGTCAGGAGTTCAAGACCAGCCTGGCCAACATGGCAAAACCCCATCTCTGCTAAAAATACAAAAATTAGCCTGGTGTGGTGGTGGATACCTGTAATCCTGGCTATTTGGGATGTTGAGGCAGAAGAATCACTTGAACCCGGGTGGCAGAGGTTGCAGTGAGCCAAGATCCCCACTGCACTCTAGCCTGGGCAACAGAGCGAGACTCCGTCTCAGAGAAAAAAAAAAAAAAAAAGTTTGAATGATTTCATTTTGCATAGAATGTCTCAGTGTCATTAAACAATCTTCCGTGACCTGGATTTACACTGTGCTGGATGGATCCCGATTTCTTTTCTTCTCCCCTGGGTTGGTTTCTCACTCTTCACTAGTGCAGCAGATGCCCAGCTAACCCACCCTGTGCATCAGTCTTTACGTCCTTAAGAAAAATTCCCTAAAGTGGAATTGCTGAGTCACAGGACCTGCACATTTTCAGGCTCATAATACGCATTCCTGAATGAGTGTCTAGAAAAGTCACAGCAGTTTGCACCTCCACCAACAGAGTTTAAGAATGCCTAGTACTTTGAATATATTTTAAATTGGATTAACTGTGTTCATAAGATGCCCAGCACAGTGCCACTCAAGAAGCCCACACTTCACATTATTGCAGGAGGGACTCAAAGAGAATAGAATGCTGACTATGAAAGATCAAAATAATCTTTTGTGCGGTGGTGGGTGCAGTGGCTCACGCCTGTAATCCCAGCACTTTGGGAGGCTGAGGCAGGTGGATCACGAGGTCAAGAGATCGAGACCAGCCTGGCCAATATGGTGAAACCCCGTCTCTACTGAAAATACAAAAATTAGCTGGGTGTGGTGGCATGCACCTGTAGTCCCAGCTACTTGGGAAGCTGAAGCAGGTGAATTGCTTGAACCCGGGAGGCGGAGGTTGCAGTGACCTGAGATAGCACCATTGCACTCCAGCCCAGGTGACAATGTGAGACTCCATCTCAAAAAAAAAGAATGGGTTCCAGGATAAGGGATAAGAGATGCCCAGGACAGGGCCGCCGGAGCCCTGGAGGAAAGGGGGGTATCCTGGAAGCAGGTGTTGCAGTGAAGGAGAGAAGGGACTCAGCACATTCATCTTGGAGAACAGATTTAGAGACAGACATGACAGCCCTCCTCAAATATTTAAAGGGCTGTCTCATAAAAGAGAAATAAAACGTTCTCAACGAGCTTCAGGTGACAGAACTGAGCTCAGAGACCAGAAATCACAAGGAGACAGATCTCCGCTGAATGTGAAGACGAGTTCTATAATGATTGGAACCTTCCAGAGAAGGCATAGACTTTGTACTTTAAAAGAATCGACAGAATAATTAGAGAATAGACTTTGCCCCCTCCCTGAAGGTTGGGGAGAATGGGACTGGGTAAATACGTATTCCTGAATGTCTGTTATTTTGCTATTTGTTTTTTTTTTTTTTGGTCTAGGAATTAGAATTAAAAGAGCAAAAAGAGGATGTTTTAAGTAATAAATTAAGTGACGCATTAGCCATGGTTGAAGAGACTCAGAAAACAAAGGCAACTGAAAGTCTAAAAGCAGAGAGCCTCGCCTTGAAATTAAATGAAACATTAGCTGAACTGGAAACTACCAAGACAAAAATGGTAAGTCGGTGCCTTCCAGGAACGGGAGAATTTTTCTCTCAATAGAAGATTACAGTGCGTGAGAATGTGTGGCTTAGACCAGGGCTTCTTGGCCTCAGCACTGCTGATGTTCTGGGTCAAGTAGCTCTTTCCTGTGAGGGGCTGTCCTGAGCATCTTAGGATATTTAGCACCACCCCTGTTCTCTACCCACCGGATGCCAGGAGCCCTCTCCCCACAGTCGTGATCACCAAAAATGTCTTCAGACATTGCCAAGTGTCCCTTAATGGCCCCCTAATGAGAAGCGTTGGTTTAGAATGAAAGGTACACAGAGCTAGGATGCCCCGTCTGCAGGGTATTCTGAGATGTTGTAATGCAGGTTCCTCACAGGAGCAGAATGCCTGGAGAGCCTCAGGACCGAGTGATGAGTGATGACTCCATAGGCTTTAAGACAACGCATTAAAGCGTAGGCTCGGTATTCGAGGCCCTCCAAAATCAGGGCTCCATGTGCATTCACTCTGTCATCCACACGCTCAACCGACAGGTTTCTGAGCAAGGAAGTCATGAAGGTGAATCTTCCAGAAGAGAACGAAGTAAATTTCACGAGGGTGTGGCGTTGGAGAGAACAGCTCTGGGTGTGGCATGTGGTGGACCAGAATCTTAAGGACCTGAGCTTGGCGGGAGCTGGGGGAGGTGTGGGAGGGAGGGAGTCGCAGGAGAGAGTTACGATGGCAGGACTTGATAACTGCTGACAGGACGTGAGCGCCAAGGAGAGCACAGTGCCAAAGGAGACTGCACGCTTCAGGCCAGGGCGCTTGGGGACCTGATGGCGTAAGGACGACATAGGGATAGGAGTATGGAGGTCTGGGGTCGTGGTGGGGGTGTTCTCTTGGAGCAACCCTCTTTTGGAGAAGAGGAGACAAGAGGAGGAAGGCGAGGATAGGGCATCAAAGTTCAAAAGCCCTCCAGCTTTGGGTACACAATAGTTTTGGGAGAGAAAGCAAGACAAGAGCCTAATCTGGAAGGCAGCCTCCTAGGCAGGGTCCTTGGAAGAGCAGGCATGTGTGAGTGTGTCGGGCAAAGAATGTACCTGTCATGGGGAGATCAGAGGCCGAGGCCCAGCACATCACCTGGGAATAGGGAGCAGGACAGGGTGAGTTTGGAGTAGCAGGCGGGCATCGAGGAGGAGGTGCTGGGATGCAAATGCCAAGGGGAGCCTCAGGAGGGAGTGTTTGGATGTGGGAAAGCAGCAGATTTGCCATTTGGGGGTCATTAATTTTTTGTTTTAAAAAATGCAAATTCTGGCTGGGCACAGTGGCTCGCACCTATAATTTCAGCACTTTTGGGGTCAAGGTGGGTAGATCATCTGAAGTCAGGAGTTTGAGACCAGCCTGGACAAATGGTGAAACCTTGTCTCCACTAAAAAAAATATGAAAATTAGCTGAGTGTGGTGGTACATGCCTGTAGTCCCAGCTACTTGGGAGGCTGAGGCAGGAGAATACCCTGAACCCAGGAGGCAGAGGATGCAGTGAGCCAAGATCATGCTACTGCACTCTAACCTGGGTAACAGAGCAAGACTCTGTCTCGAAAGAGAGAGAAAGAGAAAGAAGAAAGAGAGAGATAAAAGAAAGAAAAAGAAGGAAGGAAGGAGAGAGAGAGAGAAAGGAAAGAAAGGAGAAAGAAAGAAAGACAAATTCATTTGCTTTTTCTTATGAAATTGTTCATTCATTAATTCCACAAATATCTATCAAACATCAAATGCTGTGGGCATAGCAGTAAGTAAAAACAGACACATTTCTGCTGTTACGAATTTTACATTCTAGAGGGCATGAGAAACAAAGAAACGATTAAAGGCTTCAGGGACAATGAAACAGACGCTGGAATAGGAAGTGTCTGGGGTTGCTCCTGATAGGTGGTCAGGGAGGGCCTCTCGGAGGAGGTGACGCTGGAGCTGAGCCCTGAGAGTCAAGAAGGAGTTGGCCATGCAAGGAGCTGTGGAAGAAGTGTACAGGGCAGAAGGAACAGCATGTGCTAAGGCCCTGGGGTGGGACCCAGTTTAGCACCTGTGTGTGCCCAGGGTGTATATTATGGTGGCTCTCCTACCCAGCTCCCAAGACCACACTGAGTGACGCTCTGTTCCCAGATCTTGATGGAAGAGCGGCTAATCCTGCAGCAGAAGACGGTAAGGGCCGTCCAGGATGAGCAGGAATCACAGAGACACGGATTTGAAGAAGAGATCATGGAATATAAGGAGCAAATCAAACAGCACTCCCAGACCATTGTGAGCCTCGAAGAGAAGCTCCAGAAAGTCAGTCAGCACCATAAAAAAATAGAAGGCGAGATTGCAACCTTGAAGGACAACGACCCGGGTAAGTCCGAAGGGGGACCAAGGAAATCTTAGTGTTCGGGGTAGGTTCTGATTGTCCGCTGGGTCCCAGCAGGCTGATGGTTAAGAAAAAGGCCGTGCCTTATTCAAAAGCTCATTCATTCTCTGAGGCCCCCTTTTGTTCTTGTTACACAACGATGTCAGAAGCCCTCCGAGGCCCAGGTTCAGCAGAAGTCATGGCAATGAGTTGGGACATCCTTTGTGCCGACCCAGTGAGCCGGCGAGACACACAGGCTACCAGGGCTGTCAGAGCTGTCAGGGCAGCACGAAGTGGAATCATCTTTTCCACATGAAAACATCTCGTGTGGGGGCCTTTCAAAGGCTTCTCTCTGCCATTGGCCTTTTGCATCTTCACTAATGCACTCATTACCAGCCAGGAGTTGTCCCTTAAAAAACAAACCCAAAAGAAGCTGAAAAAAGAACTCAGACTTGTGAGCACTTATTTGCCCCAAACGGCCAAGGTAAGGTATTACTGTAAAGTTGTTAAGCTCTTGGAGAAAGTTCTGGAAGTAGAGGACTGAGGCCAGGGTATCCCAGCCTCAGCCCTGTTGACATTTGGGGCAGGATCATTTTTTCATGGATGGGACTGAACTGGGCACTATTGGGTGTTAGCAGCCTCCCTGTCCTCCACCCACCAGCTGCCAGTGGCACCCCTACCCCAGCTGTGACAACCAAAAATGTCTCCAGACATTGCCCAATGTCCCCTAGAGGCAAACTCTCTCCTGGTTAGGAAACACGGCTCTAGTTCCCAGCAAGTCGGCAAGCCATCAGGACTTCCCTCATTCATTCACTCATTCAGCTGTCTCGGTGGAGCTTCTGTTACGTTCCGATCTCATGTAGGCACTCAGGATCCAGTGATGGACAAGCCAGTTTTTGTCCCCGTGGTAACAAAATTATTGCCCTGACAGGTGATCCAGGATGAATAGGGCACCATGACAAGGATGAAGAGTGGGGTTCAGTTTCCCAACCCAGAGTCCAGGTCAGAGGAAGCGTGTTTGAGATTGAGCTGGGGGCTGGGTTCAGTGGCTCATGCCTGTAATCCCAGCACTTTGAGAAGCCAAGGCTGGCAGATCATGAGGCCAAGAGATTGAGACTATCCTGGCCAACATGGTGAAACCCTGTCTAAACTACAAATACAAAAATTAGCCAGGCACGGTGGCGTGTGCCTGTAGTCCAGCTACTCGGGCTTCTGAGACAGGAGAATCACTTGAACCCGGGAGGCAGAGGTTGCAGTGAGCTGAGATTGCACCACTGCACTCAGCCTAGCAGCAAAGCGAGACTGTCTCAAAAACAAAAACAGAGATTGAGCTGGGACCTGAAGGGTGACGTCCAGGTCAGAGGGAGGTGTTTGGGATTGAGCTGGGACCTAAAGGGTGACTGCATCTTTGTCACCCCCGTACTTAGACCAGTGTGCACTCCACAAATGTTTGTTGAAGGAATAAACGAGTGAACACGTGAGTGAGTAGTGAGACAGGACGCCAGAGGCGGTGCACTGAGGTGTAAATGGGAGGTGAGGAGAGGAAGGTGCTAAACACAGATTCTTCTTCCAAGAGAGACAGGCAGGTGGTGGGACCAGGGACTGAGGCTGCACCGCTCACCAGCTTAGCCAAGTGGGTCGCCGGCAGCTTCCATCACTCCGGTGCCCCTTTCCCTGTCTATAAGTGGACTTGATGGCCCCTGCCTTCTAGAGAAGCTGGGACAATCGCAAGGCCACGCACTTTGGGAGAGCCCCCAGCCTGTGACATGGCACACATGTGGGTCTCACAAGGTGGAGAGGGCTGCAGGTGGAGGCAGGGTTTGTAAGTTGTGAAAGGCACAGGTGTGCTTGTAAGCAAAGGGGAAGGACAGCCTCCTCTCACAACGATCACATGTCTCTCTGATACAGCCCAAAAGGAGGAAAGGCCGCAAGACCCTCTGGTGGCTCCCACGACGGACAGCAGTGCCAAAGACATGGCGTACGAACACCTGATGTGAGTACCCGCGGGTGCGTGAGCGCCAGGCACTCTCACCGGCACCACCTGGGTGGGGGCAAACAGGCAACCAGCCCCTACCTGGGCCACACTGTCAGAAGCCATACAAGGAGCTGGGCCTGCTGCCTTCCCAGTGCTGCTTCCACTTCCCCATTCCTTCAGCAAGGCAGGGCAGTGTCGTGGAAAGATTTAGGTGGATCTACATTCAGATCCCTCAGCCTGTTTTCTGCTGTTTATAACAGAATACCCAAAACTGGGTGATTTATAAAGAAAAGAGATTCATTTCTTACAGTTTTGGAGCCTGAGAAGTCCCAGGTTGAGGGGCTGCATCTGGTGAGGGCCTTCTTGCTGTTGGGGACTCTCTGCAGAGTCTGGGAGTGGTGCAGGGTATCACATGTCCAGGGGCTGAGTGTGCTAACTCAGGTCTCCCTGCCTCTTTTTATAAATCCACAGTCTCACTGCCATGATAATCCATTAATCCACTAACCCAGTAGCCCACAAATCCATTAACCCATAATTGTACTTTCGTGACCAATCACTTTATAAAGGCCCCACCTCTCAATACTGCCACCTTGGGGGTTAAGTTTCAACTTGAGATTTGGAGGAGACGAACATTCAAAACATAGCAGATTCCAACTTGACACTTTCCAGCTGTGTGACCCTGGGCAAGTCACGCCACCTCACTGAACCTTAGCTTCCACGTCTGTGAAGTAAGGCTGTACATGCCTAGTGCTTGGGAAATCTAGCTAATACTGCTATTAGCTATTTTTCCCGAGGATCAGCTAGAGGCAAGCCCATTCACAGGTGTTATTAAGCAGACAGAGATTTCAAACAGTGGAGACCACTTGGTGGGGCGGGGCCCTGCAAAGGTGAGAAGTTAAGGAGTTGGCTAAATGACCTCAAATAAATGATTTCAACCCTCCTGACTGAGAGCCAGTGAGTCTATGCAGAAGTCTATCCTCGAAGAACTGACAGTTTTCAGAGAAACAAACGTATGAATGGGAAACATCCAGAAACCAGCACATAAAGGAGGAGGTGCCGATGGGACGCAGCGTAGGGATTCAGACGCTCCCCCAAGAGGACAACCACCTGCCTGATCCTTGCACCAAATCCTAGTGACTGAAGTCTAATGTCACAGGGATTTTACCCCAAAAAGACAAGGATACCCAGCCTCCGCACTGTGAAAAGTTCCTGACTCCTCCTCCTGTTTCAACTCTAGAAACAGTGGTGCCTGTGACTTGGAGAAGAGTCAGCACCACCCGGCCCTGCTCTGGTCCACTTCCTTGGCGTGTGAACATGCTTGAGTTCTGAGGTTTTATCCTCGAGTTGGAAGATTTGTGGTTGCAGCCAAGGACACGCTCACGTGGACACACATGCATGCACACACAGAATATACTATATATATGTAGTTATGTTCATTCTAATGATCACCACTCTTTTTGTTTGTTTGTTTGACATGCAACCTGTCAGTGTTTTACTTTAATTCATAATAAACGCAGTACCTTCTAAAGTCTGTATAAGGCTGGGTGCAGTGGTTCATGCCTGTAATCCCAGCATTTTGGAAGGCCGAGGTGGGTGGATCACCTGAAGTCAGGAGTTTGAGACCAGCCTGGCCAACATGGTGAAACCCCATCTCTACTAAAAATACAAAAATGAGCCAGGCATGATGGCAGACACCTGTAGTCTCAGCTACTTGGGAGACTGAGGCAGGAGAATCACTTGAACCCAGGAGATGAAGGTTGCAGTGAGCTGAGATCACACCACTGTGCTCCAGCCTGGGCAACAGAGCAAGACTCCGTCTCAAAAAAATAAAAATAAATAAAAAATAAAGTCTTTATAAGAAAAGCCTGGATTTCAAAAGCCTGTGAACTCAAATGAAGTGGCATTAATACCTGCCCAAAGACTAAGGCTCCCAACCCCCTTCCAAAAGGGCAAGACCGACTCCCTGCAACACACACAAGACCCGTCTCCGCCAGGCTGCGGTTTCTCAACTTGCTGAGGCATGCACCCTGTGTTCTTCCTGTCACATCCCCACCCAAGGCGCCTCCCCTGCTGTTCCTGCTGGGCACCCTTCACCCCTCCACTGGGCACAGCCACCCTCCCATCAGCCATCCTGACTCTCAGGGTGCCAAAGGTGTGCTGCCCTCCAGGGGTGTGGGAGGGGGAGCTGTCCCGTCACCATCACTGTCCCCCTGTTGCCTGGGCGCCAAGGCCACACTTCCACCAGCTCCCCCAAGAACACCATTCATTCACATCTGGCCCCGCCTCTCTCCACCAGGAATTCCAAGAGGCTGCTGAGAGAACAGAGCCACATTGTCTTCCTCTCTTTTTTCTTCCCTGTCCCCAAAGGATCCCTGAACCTCCCCCAAATAGTCTTCCCCTCTCCCTTCACCATCAGAAGTCCACAGGCACATCAAGTCATGATGCTGGGTAGTGGGTATCAGTCTCATGCAAGGCATGTTCGAGCCTCAGACTCAACTCAGCCAGATCTTGTGTTCTGTCTCAGTGGATTTTCTTTTTTCTTAGAGACGGGGTCTTGCTCTGCCACCCAGGCTGGAGTGCAGCCTTCAACTCCTATGCTCAAGCAACCTTCCCACCTCTGCCTCCCGAGTAGCTGGGACAACAGCCACACACCACTATGCCTGGCTAATTTTTTTTTTAATTTGTTTTTTGTAGAGATGGGGTTCTGATTTCTGTTGCCCGGGCTGGTCTCGAACTCCTGGGCTCCAGTGATCCTCCAGCCTTGGCCTCCCAAAGTGCTGGGATTACAGGCATGTACCCGGTGCCTGGCCTCCATCTATTTTCTTAAACGAAGGTGCAACAAAAAAGTCATTTTTGTTTTAGAGTTTTTGAAGACTGTCCTCATCCTTTGCTGGGACTGGCATCGCATGGACCATGATTGAGAATCTGTTTGCATTTGTACTTGGCCCCTTCCTGACACTCAGGAGACAATGTGGAGTTTGAGTTGAACTGACTTCACCTGTTTTTGTGAATTTCAGAGATGACTTGTTGGCTGCTCAGAAGGAAATCCTGTCTCAGCAGGAGGTCATCATGAAGTTAAGGAAAGACCTTACAGAAGCCCACAGCAGAATGTCGGATTTGAGAGGTTTGAACAATTTCCGGTGTCTCTTGACCTCCTGACCCACTTGAGAAAGGAAGCAGATGAGGCTTAAGTGTTGGCCGGGCGCAGTGGCTCACGCCTGTAATCCCAGCCCTTTGGGAGGCCAAGGCAGTTGGATCACAAGGTCAGGAGTTCAAGACCAGCCTGGCCAAGATGGTGAAAACCCATCTCTACTAAAAATACAAAAATTAGCCAGGTGTGGTGGTGGGCGCCTGTGATCCCAGCCACTCAGGAGGCTGAGGCAGAGGATTGCTTGAATCCGGGAGGCGGAGTTTGCAGTGAGCCCAGATCACGCCACTGCACTCCAGCCTGAGCGACAGAAGTAAGACTCTGTCCCAAAAAAAAAAAAAAGAGTTGGAAACCTTGGCATAAACAATCCTGCTTCCCTGTGTTGTCCCAGCATCTGTAACTCAGGGTCAGCAAAATTTGTATCCTGGATATGTCCCTGATTCCCACCCCCCACTGAGTCCCTGACTCAATGCCAAGGGGCACAGGGCATATTCTCCACAGGACTTTGGACCTCTGCACTGAAATGCAACTTTCTTCTTCAGGGAGAATTTTCCTTTAGCACAGATTTGCTTCCAGAAGCAAAGGCTTGGAGGGCAATCCTGGGGTCTCCCTGCGGCAGGCCAGTTTGCACAAGCCCAGCACTCACTAGCTTTGGGACCTAGGGCAAGGGGGCTCTCCAGGCCTTCTCTTCCTCAGATGCCAGGTAGGGACAACACGCCTTCTTCCTAGGGTTAACATGGACATCAGTGGCCCCTAGAGTAGGGGCAAAATAACTGAGTTCTGTGCTGTTCCGGACAGACACAAACAATGCTGCCTTCATATTCCTGCTTTGTTCCTCCTTATCTCTGTGCTTTTACTTCTGCCTCCCTCCTTCTTGCATCTGATAGCAGCCTCTCTTTCCCATGTCTACTCTCCCTGAGCTGAAGGGCATGGATAGACAGGCAGGAGCTGGGAGATGGAACTAAGCCTGGGGAAGTGGAGGATGGGAAAAGAATGCTCCTATTTGTCTCCATCCCAAACCCTACAGGGTATTCGCTCCCTGTAGCTGTTCCTGTTAATACCCCAAGACATTTATGGCTGAGTATTTTTTGTAATAAGGTATGAGAATGTGTGGGGTAGAGGCTACAATGCCCAGTTCTCTGGAGATGTTGGGCCTACTTCTATAGCTGCTCACTCTTAGTTGCATGACCTCAGGTAAGTCCCTTACCTCCTTGAGCCTCAGTTTCTGCATCTGTGAAGTGAGGATGCTAATAATAGCTACTTTATGCCTGTAGTCCCAGCACTTTGGGAGACCGAGGCAGGTGAATCACCTGAGGTCAGGAGTTTGAGACCAGCCAGGCCAACATGGTGAAACCCTGTCTCTACTAAAAACACAAAAAAGTAGCCAGGCGTGGTGGTGCACGCCTGAAATTCCACCTACTCAGGAGGCTGAGGCAGGAGAATCACTTCAACCCGGGAGGCAGAGACCCCCTTACCGGCCCTCCTGTCACTCCCAGGGGAGCTAAACGAGAAGCAGAAGATGGAACTGGAACAGAACGTGGCACTGGTCCAGCAGCAAAGCAAGGAGCTGAGTGTGCTCAAGGAGAAGATGGCCCAGATGAGCAGTCTGGTGGAAAAGAAAGACCGGGAGCTGAAGGCCCTCAAGGAGGCACTCAGGTTGGGTGGGCGGGGGAGGGGGATAGTTCACCTGGCGCGGGGAGCTCCTGAGTCTTGCACAGAGAGAGTGCTCAGTGCATGCTGCTTGAGGAGTTGAGTCAATGAATGATATGTGTTTCATGGTTTTGCTTATTCTGTGCTTCTCAAACTTCCTTGTCCAATATTCCAGATGACGGGTCTCTGCTTAAATGCCACTTCCTCCAGGAAGCCCTCCCTCACTCACCCTCACCAAACATAGCCAAGGGATCCTGCCATGCTTGGTCTCCCTCAGCCCCTGCACTCTGTCTGACCTACCACTTAGCACACAGCAAGGCTACCTGTGCCTGTTTTGTTGTTGTTGTTGTTTGTTTTTTTGAGACGGAGTCTCACTCACTCTGTTGCCCAGGCTGGAGTGCAGTGGAGAAATCTTATCTCACTGCAACCTCTGCCTCCCAGGTTCAAGCCATTCTTGTGCCTCAGCCTCTGGGAGGCACAAGAGGTAGTAGCTGGGACTACAGGCATGAGCCACCACACCTGGCTAATTTTTTGTATTGTTGGTAGAGATGGAGTTTCACCATGTTGGCCAGGCTGGTCTTGAACTCCTGACCTCAAGCGATCCACCCACCTCGGCCTCCCAAAGTGCTGGGATTACAGGCGTGAGCCACCGCACCCGGCCCCATTGCCTGTTTGTTGTCTGCCCTTCCCACAAGGACAGGGTCTGTGTAGACCTTGCCCACTATTGATTTCCCAGCCCAGCACATAAGGGAACTTAATATTTATTTAACAAATGAATAAACTGGAGGTGTCAGCTTAAAATACATACAAAATATTGTCATCGTCCCCTGGGTTCATCTTTAAAAACACCAGTGAGTTGCATTTTTACCCGCAGCTTATCCGTATTTTAGAATGAGTCATGTTTTCATAAAAAAAGATTTTGACTGAAATTGATGTTTTGTGGATATCTGGTAGCTTTGTGTGCCTCGTGGCCAAAGCAGATTCACGTAGTGGCTAAAGAAGCAGACTCCACACCTGGCTGCCTGGTTTCAAAGCCAGACCCTAGACCGGGCCCGGTGGCTCACGCCTGTAATCCCAGCACTTTTGGAGGCTAAGGGGGGCGAATCACCTGAGGTCAGGAGTTTGAGACTAGCCTGGCCAACATATAGTGAAACCCTGTCTCTACTAAAAATACAAAATTAGCCAGGCGTGGTGGTGCATGCCTGTCCCAGCTATTTGGAAGGCTGAGGCAGAAGAATTACTTGAACCTGGGAAGCGGAGGTTGCAGTGAGTGGAGATCGCACCATTGCACTCCAGCCTGGGTGGGAGAACAGGAACAAAACTCCATCTAAAAAAAAGTAGCCAGACCATCCATTTACAAGCAAGGTGACTACAGGCAAATTGCTGTGTGTCTGTTTACTTGTCTGTAAAATGGGACAAGCAGAGGACCTAACTTGTGGGTTTGTTATGAGAGATAGAAGGGTTAGACACATATAAAGTGTTAGAAACAGCAGACATGCAGTGAATGTCCCTGTAAAACCACAGCAGGTGTCCTCAGTCCCAGTATAGGAACCAAGGGCAGGTGCTCCCTGCCCTGGTCACTCTCCCGTAAGTTCCCTGAAACTGAATTCTGTAGAAATCTGGGAGCAGGAAACTGAAGTCTCAAAAGAATTCTGTTTCCTGTAAAAATAGAGCTCCATTTCCTGGTCTTCCAATGACTGCAAAAGTCATTTGTGGTTCCTGGAACCTTGTGCTATCCTCCTCTTCTCTACCCTAGGGCTTCCCAGGAGAAACACAGACTCCAGCTGAACACAGAGAAGGAACAGAAGTCCCGGAAGAAGACCCAGACGTGTGACACCTCTGTGCAGATAGAACCCGTCCACACCGAGGCCTTCTCCAGCAGCCAAGAGGTGAGTGCCAGCAACTCCTGGGCACCCGAAAGGATGTGCTAAGACATGGCCCAGTGGTGGCTTTCTTTCCTTTTGAAGATATTTTCACTCTAAGTTCCGAAAGTATGACTTGCTTGTGTGAAACGTATAAAGTAAGTCGCAGAATCCTGCCTGTTCAGTCGCAGTCACCAGAGGTCACAGCTGTCCACAGTGTGATGTGCATGCCATGAGATCTTTCCCTCCTAGAGGCCTCCACGTTCTGACACGGTCAAGAAAGTGTAGTGGCTGAAGATCAGGCGTAGATTCACTGCACCTGCGTTTGAATCCCAGCTCCTCCACTGAGAAACTCTGTTGTGACCTTGGGGAGGTCACTGTGCACCAGTTCCCTGTTCTGACAGTAATGACCATCCCCACCTTATGGATTGGCTGAGAAATACATTTTATGTATATACACACCTGAACAAACGCACACAAACCCATACATATATTTATTCATTCATTCATTTATTCCGGGGCAAGGTCTCACTCTGTCACCCAGGCTAGAGTGTAGTGGTGCCATCACAACTTCACTGCAGCCTCAACTTCTCAAGGTTCAAATGATCCTCCTGCCTCAGCCTCCCTAGTAGCTGGGACTACAGACGCATGCCACCACACCTGACGAATTTTTGTACTTTTAGTACAGATGAGGTTTCACCATGTTACCCAGGCTGGTCTTGAATTCCCAGACTCAAGAGATCCACCTGCCTCAGGTTCCCAAAGTCCTGGGATTACAAGTGTGAACCACCACGCCTGGCCCATATAGATATTTGTTTAGTAGATAATTTTTTTACTAATGGTGTCAAACCACGTACATTCTGCAACATGGGTTTAGTTTTACATACCACTATTTAATGGGCATCTTTGCAAGTATATGAAGATCTGCCTCACCCTTTTAAATGGTTGTGTAGAATCCCATTGTTTCTTCTTTCCAACCAGTCCCCTCTTGATGGACACTTCCATTGCTTCTCCTCTTGTGCAATGCTGTAGTTAATGTACTTGTTCTTCCTGAATTGTGCTTGTTGGGGCCAAACTGCCCTCCCAAAGAGCCACGTAGGGAGTGCTCCGTGGCTGTGTCTTGGTAGCTGTTCTATGCATCTGCCCAGAAGCATCTGATGGGAGTGTGTCTTTGAGTGAGAACAGCCTTCCTTGGGCCGTCCTAGAAGCAGGCACTCACACTCTGTCCCTACGGCTGGGGCTGTGATACTCCCCACGGTCCGCAGCATGCAATCGTGAGACTCAGTGGTTCCTCAAGGCCCTGGTTTCCTGGAGCCTGGGGCTCTTCTTCCCCTGGGGCATTTTGAGCCTAGAGAGCATGACGTTCCAGTAATGGGCTTTGGATTTTCACTGGGAAGCCAGGCCAAATGTGTCAGCTTGCTTTCCGGCTTTCTCAAAGATGCCTTCCCTCTGCCAGACAGCGTTGAGCCAGGGCCGCAAACAGCTTGAACGAAAGGGCTCGAGGTCCAGCCAGCTGTCCTTGGCATCGATTGCTGTCCAGAGCACTTTAACAGAAGTGTCTCCTGGTTGCTCAGGGTGACCAGGAAGGCGGGGGCTGCAGCAGGTCCACGTGGCCGTAAGCTCCATGGGGCAGGGGGTGTGTGGCACTCCTGTTGGAATCCCAGGCTCTTAGAGCAGAACCTGACCCATATTCATTCACTTATTCAACAACTATTGAGCACCTGCGGGGTGCCAGGCCCTATGCCAGGGATAGGAGAAGATGCACCGGCTCCCGCCCACACCAAACGCCCTTGGACTCTGTGCACATCTGTTGGACTGGATTGTTGAACTGGGATGCCCTTGATTTTTAGTTTATATTATATGGAGGGATTAGTGGAGGAGGATGGGGGAGGGAGACTGCAAGATAAAAGGGAAAATGTATTTGTTCCTTCTTGGAATGGTTTTCCACCCTCGGGCTCCTTCCTGCTTTCTAAGCCAGAGCGGGTCAGAGGGCTTAAGAGTTGTATGAGAAAGAATTTCATCCTCTCCAAATAAATAAATTCCCAGAAGAGCCACAAGGAGGGGTCATGTGACGTTCCTGGTACCCCTTCAGGCTAGCACAGGCTGTGAGGCAGCCTCAGTGCGTGGCTACCCCTACACCCCCAAAATTCAGTGTCTCCTGCCCCCTGCTATACACAGAGAGACAGAGAGAGAGGGAGAACATTCCAGGTTGTTGATTCTCAGGGCAAACACACATCCTCAAGAGGTGACCGAGGCCAGTGTAGAGCCAACCCCGCAAGGGAACCAGCCATGCATCCTGTGAGCAGGGTGGAGCCAGGGTCCGAGGACAAGCGAGGCCCTACTAAGCACAGCCAGGGTGGCCTGCCTCTCTCTCCCAGCTGCTGAGCCCTGGTCCCAGCTGGAAAGCCAGGGCAAGCTCCTTACAGCTCCTGTTTCTGACAGGCTGCATATTTACTGAGTACCTACTGTGCTCAGACACAGTGCTGGGCCCTGGAAATAGCACAGTCTTCAAAGGAGATAAAGACTGCTCTCACGGAGCCTGTCATCTGGGAGGAGAGACACAGAAATAAACAAGCCAAGATCGAGTAAAATGTCCAGTGGGAAGAAGCGCTCTGAGAAACTGTACAGCAGGATTCGGAACAGATTGACCTGGGGGAGGGGGGTGGTCAGCTGGTCAGGGAGGCCTGTGCTGGAGGAGACCTGGAGCAGAGCCAGAAGGAAGGGAGGGAACGAGAGGTAGGGACATGGGGGTTGGGGTAGGGGACCGTCCCAGGAGGGCCTCAGACAGCACTGTTGAGCCCCTGGTAGGAGGCCACGGGCCCTGTTCCCCTGGTGGCAGTGTGGCTAGCGCAGGGCCAGGGATGTATCATACAGGCCTCTGATAAGCATTTGAACCATCAAAGGAGGAAGAACAAAGAGATGTCTCCTTTGCTCTCCTCTGCGTTCTTTCCCTGGGAGCACTTATCACTCTCCGAAATTAGAGTATTTGTGCGCCTGTCTGTCTGTTATCTGTCTGCCCCATAGAAACGCACCCACAGCAGCAAGGGCTGGTCTGCCTGCTCCCTGATCTCGCCCCAGTGCCTAGAACAGTGTCTGGCATGCAGCCACTGCTACCATTCAATAGATAGATGGATAGGCAACTTTTAAAATAATTTTGGTTCACTTCATACTACATATATATTATCTTCTATATCTATAGCTATCTATATATGTATATGTATATGCATGAAGTGAACCAAAACTGTTACTTTAAAAAGTATTATAAAAGAGCCAGATTGTCAATTTTTTCTCTTTCTTGCCAGTTTGACTGCAGCCTTCCCTGGCAACTCTATCTACAACTGAAAACTGTTCCCAACACCCCACCCTGTTTACCCACTTAATTTTCTCTTTACCATTTATAACTTCTACCAGATCCTTTCACCTTGTTGTCTGTCTGCCCACACGAGGATGCAGAATCTCTGACAACAGGGATGTTGCTGGGTTTAGCCACTGTTGAATCCCCAGAGCCTAGAACAAGGCTTGGCACAATAAATCGATGTGAGATGAATGAATGACTTGCTTACCCTGGAGAAGCGTTGGTTAGCTCAGAGTTTATGAATGGACTTCGGGAGGTCTTGACCCTTTGGAAGTTGTATGCAAATATTTGTGTCACTGCGAATTTTTTGGGAGGAAAAAACCCTGCATGCTTCCAAATCTTAAAAGGGTACGTGACCCTTAAAAGACGAAAAAGACGGCTGGGTGCGGTGGCTCACACCTGTAATCCCAGCACTTTGGGAGGCCAAGGGAGGCGGATCACAAGGTCAGGAGTTTGAGACCAGCCTGGCCAACGTGGTGAAACCTTGTCTCTACTAAAAATACACAAAAAAATTAGCTGAGCGTGGTGGCATGCACCTGTAATCCCAGCTACTCAGGGGGCTGAGGCAGGAGAATCGCTTGAACCTGGGAGGCAGAGGTTGTAGTGAGCTGAGATTGTGCCATTGCACTCCAGCCTAGGCGACTGAGCAACACACACACACACCGTCAAGAAAAAAAAAAAAAAGGTGAAAAAGATCTTTGTCTGTGCTCTTAGCAAACCCAACTCTAGGCTGGTTACAGTGGCTCATGCCTGTAATCCCAGCACCTTGGAAGGCTGAAGCAGGAGGATTGCTTGAGCTCAAGAGTTTGAGACCAGCATGGGCAACAAAGTGACATCCTGTCTCTACAAAAAAATACAGAAAAATTAGTTGGGCGTGGTGGCACACATCTGTGGTTCCAGCTACAGAACTGGAAGGATCACTTGAGCCCAGAAGTAGAGGCTACAGTGAGCCATGATCATGCCATTGCATTCCAGCCTGGGCAACAGAGCAAGACCCTATCTCCAAAAACCAAAACAAACAACATCAAAAACACACACACACACAAAAACCTGCAACTCTAACCTGAGCTGTTTAGGATGGTCCCTCTGGGTCTAGCGGCTACCATATTGGACGGTGCCGGTACAGGTATGAAACATTCCCTGCACCACGGAAAGTTCTCTGGGACAGTGCTGTTGCAGAGGCTCCAAAGTCTCAGAGGAAAGTTTTCCTTTCTCCAGCCCAACCAAGAGCCAGTCTATCAAATCCCCCTAGCAAATATTAAATAATCATCCTTATCACCAGTTAAAAGAAAGCATCTTGCGTTCTCATCTGAAAATGCCCCTCCAGGAGTAGAATTTGCTGTGATTGTTCAGAAACAAGACCAGCATGACAGCAAATGGAAATCCAGGCATAGAACAGTATGAGAAGAAAAAATAAAACGTGGAGAGGGAACATGGAGGGGCTCTTTTATTTATAGTGATGCTAAATAGGAAAGTTGGAGGTCTTCCTATGTGTGACCCAATATTTGAGATGGAAAATGTGAATTCTTCCTCTGCTGAAGCCCAAATGCTTTTTCCAAAGGTGCTAAGAGACTGGGTTCCGCTATACATGAATTTTTCACGTTTCTGTGAATGTAAGAGAAATCTTCCAATCCCTAATCAACTGCTGCCCACCCCATTCTGCCCACAGGAGCAATCCTTCAGCGATCTAGGGGTCAAGTGCAAAGGGTCCCGGCACGAGGAGGTCATTCAGCGTCAGAAAAAGGCCTTATCTGAACTTCGAGCGCGAATTAAAGAACTAGAGAAGGCGCACGCACCAGGTAAATCTCCTCCTTCCTAGTCAGAGCAGCAGACCCCAGGCTCACTCTGGGGACTGACCAGTTTTCCAAGACTACCATGTTTTATCCGCATCATCCCATAACTCAGAGGACACTGTAATACACAAAAAGCTGGGCAGGGCATGATCTCAGAGTCAAGTGCAGGCCTTGATATTAAATAAGATTTCATGCACAACTCACTATTGTACTTTTTCTTTTTTTTTCGAGACAGAGTCTCGCTGTGTCACTCAGCCTGGAGTGCAATGGCGCAATCTTGGCTCACTGCAACCTCCACCTCCCAGGTTCTAGTGATTCTCCTGCCTCAGCCTCCCTAGTAGCTAGGACTACAGGGACTAGCCACCACACCCAGCCAATTTGTGTATTTTTAGTAGAGACAAGGTTTCACCATATTGGCCAGGCTGGTCTTGAACTCCTGACCTCGTGATCCACCTGCCTCAGCCTCCCAAAGTGCTGAGGTTATAGGCGTGAGCTACCACTCCTGGCCTAGTTTTTCTCTTGTTTCATGGTGGCTGGGTGAGAACTTTGTCATGGATGAATACTGTCTAAGGATCTATGTTGGAGAACCACTTAGAGTACCCCCTTTAGAGGGGATAGAGCTCTCCTAAGACTTGGGGCTCACTGCAGGCTAGGGCACTGGTCTAGGACCTGGAAGCCTGGGTTCAAGTTCCATCCTGGTTCCGTGGCTGAAGGACCTTAGAAAGTCCACCATCAATGACCTCAGCACTGATACCTGTGTGGCTGCAGCCTCCTATGAGCCAGGTGACCTTGGCCAGGTCATTTAATCTCTCTAGGGCTGTGTCTTCATCTGCCACGGGAGGTCGTAAGGATTAAAACAGGCCTGTGTAACTGTCCCATAAATAGTTGCTATGGTTATTACATGAAATAACTTCTTCCTGAGCCTTTCTTTTGAGTCTACTTTATTTGTTTTATAGATCATGAAGACCACCAGAATGAATCCTTTCTAGATTTAAAGAACCTCAGAATGAAAAGCAATATCCAGAAAATACTATTGGATGCAAAACCAGATTTGCCAACTCTCTCAAGAATAGAGATCCTAGCGGTAACCAACGACAATTCTCTCTGCTGTGACTGGCATGTGGAGAGGAGGGGCCTGAGGGCAGACACTAGCTGGGTTCCCTGGCACAGCCATACATATCAGTGGTTCAGGGCCAGGTCCTTCCTCATGGGCTGCTGTCTATGCTCACTAGCTGGTGCCCCAACCATACCCATTGTCCAGGCTTTGCACAGAAAGGTAGCCTTGTGCTTGTGCACAGCATGGTTCAGCATGGCATTGACATTGGGCCACATTGTCAATGGGCCAGCATGGCTGGCCCCCTTTGCAGATCATGTGTGATTTTATTTATTTATTTATTTATTTATTTATTTATTTATTTATTTTGAGATGGAGTCTCACTCTGTCGCCCAGGCTGAAGGGCAGTGGCGCTATCTCGGCTCACTGCAAGCTCCACCTCCCAGGTTCACGCCATTCTCCTGCCTCAGCCTCCTGAGTAACTGGGACTACAGGTGCCCGCCACCACAGCCGGCTAATTTTTTGTATGTTTAGTAGAGACGGGGTTTCATCCTGTTAGCCAGGATGGTCTCGATCTCTTGACCTCGTGATCCGCCCGCCTCGGCCTCCCAAAGTGCTGGGATGACAGGCGTGAGCCACTACGCCCGGCCGATCATGCGTGATATTCTGCAGAACATGTGCAGCAGGCTAACAGATCATGTTATGCCATGAGTTTGCCTAAAGTTTGCTTTTCACTGCCACCAGAAAAACACAACACGTAAAAGGCAGGAGAAGGGAGCCGTGATTCAGAGCACACAGGTTCTAGAGTCAGAGGGACCTGTGTCCAGATCCAAGGTCTGCAAGCTGTGTGACCTTGGGCAAGGCTCTTGACCTTTCTGGGACTCCATTTCCCAGCTATGAAATGATGACAAAAATACTGAAGGAGATAATTCTGGAAAGTGCTTAGCCTAGTGCCTGGCTCAGAGGAAAAAATAAATGATAGATGTTATTATTAAATGTTATTTAAATAGGCCAGGTGTGGTGGCTCACGCCTGTCATCTCACCACTTTGTGAGGACAAGAGAAGAGGATTGCTTGAGGTCAGGAGCTTGAGACCAGCCTGGGAAACATAGCAAGACCCCATCTCTACAAAAAAAATTAAAAATACGTCAGTCAGGCATGGCGCCAGGTGCCTACAGTCCTGGCCACTCAGGAGGCTGAGATGGGAAGATCGCTTGAGCCCAGGAGTTCGAGGCTACAGTGAGCTATGATCGTGCCGCTGCTCTCCAGTGGGGACAACAGGATTTCCAGAAGTGATTTGATTGTGCAGTTGAACGTGCCTTTTTACCCTAAATGGATGTTTGGGCATTTGATGGACACGTGACAGGTCAGCATCTGTCACAGGACCCGCTGAGGGCACGTGTGCTGCTGCAGCTGGATCCACACCACACAGGCTTCTAGAAGAAACAACGAGGCTATCCTGTATTCTCTCGGCAGTTTTTCTGGACATTTACGAGAGTCCAGGAAGAGGGTCTTTGGAAATGAGCTGGTTTTCTTGAGAAAATCAAACCCTACTTCCTTGAGGGTGGGAGTGCAGGGACAGCCTCCAGGTTGGGATCAGTTTGATCCCCAGCCTGACCCATTCCCAAGACAGGCCTCCCCCTCGGCTATGCTCCAGTCCCACCACAGACTGACCCGCTCCCAAGATGGGCCTTCCCCTCCGCAGGACCCCAGTCCCACCACGGACACCACACAGCAAGAAACCTCTCCACTCTCTCAGAAGACCTCAATCTTCCAACACAACACTGGCAGCAATTCAAATTAAGAGAAAGGGGCCAAGCGCAGTGGCTCATGCCTAATCCCAACACTTTGGGAGGCCAAGGCGGGCAGATCACTTTGAGCTCAGGAGTTCAAGACCAGCCTGCGCATCATGGCGAGACCCTGTCTCTACAAAAAATTAGCCAGGCATTGGTGACTCATGCCTGTAGTTCCAGCTACTCGGGAGGCTGAGGTTAGAGAATGACTTGAGCCCAGTAAGTAGAGGCTGCAGTGAGCCAAGATCACACCACTGCACTCTGGCCTGGGTGACAGAGTGAGACCCTGTCTCAAAAAAGGAAAAGAAGAAAGAAGAGAAGGAGCAGGAAGAAGAATAGCTGGCATTTACTGAGTGCTTCCTGTGTACCAGGCATTGAGCAAAGCCCTTCACATGTGTTATCTCATTTAATCCACACAGCAGCCCGCGTCAGTTACCATTGCTGTCCCCATTTTACAGATAAGAAAAATTAAGACTTCAGGCCAGGCACGGTGGCTCACACCTGTAATCCCAACACTTTGGGAGGCCGAGGCAGGCAGATCACTTGAGGCCAGAAGTTCGAGACCAGCCTGGCCAATATGGCAAAACCCCGTCTCTGCTAAAAATACAAAACTTAGCCAGGCATGGTGGTACACATCCGTGCTGAGGCACGAGAATCACTTGAACCTGGGAGGCGGAGGTTGCAGTGAACCAACATCGCACCACTGCACTCCAGCCTGGGCAACAGAGTGAAACTCCATCAAAAAAAAAAGAAGAAAGAAAAACAAAAATTAAGGCTTCAGAAGGTCAAGCACCTCACCCAAGGACACAAAAATAATGAATGACAGAGCCAGGACTGTGTCCCTGGAGGTCTGCCTCTTGTAGCCTGCTGGTCTGCAGAGAAGGAGGTGGGAATGGTGTGATCGAACCTGCAGCCCGGACTCTTCCTTAGGCCGCCCTCCCTCCGGACTCCTGCAACCTGCAGGAGAAGAGAGGGGATTCTGAAGGGGAGTGCAGAGGACGCGGCTCAGGGAGCTGGAGACACCAAGCTGCGTTTTAGGTTCTTTTTGTAGCAAGTCTGCCCAATTTATTGTCGTCTTTAAATACCTGCTTTATTCTCATCTCATAGATAGATAAATATGTCCACTCTTAATATAGACAAATATGTCACACCTATCACAGTCACCTTTAGGCTTTTATATTTTTGTGAATGGGTGTTGTTTTTGTTTTTGTTTTTTTTTAATCTCCCAGGTTTACAATGTAGAGCCAGTAAATGCTGCGAGCTGACATGATCTTGGTGTCCGTGGCAAGCACTGACAATCCAGTTTAGTTGTGAGGGGATGTATGGGGGTTGTCCACGGCCTCCAGACTCCCCACTTGGCCTGGTGGCTTTTCTATGCCTTTGGCTGGGGCTTTCAGCAAGCAGCTGGCTGAGCAGGGTCTTAGCAGGTGCACAGCTGTCTCCTCTCTGGAAAGGGTCTAAAGTGATGCTCACCCACCATCTGCATCATCTCTGGAAAGCATCAGAAGTGAGGGTCCAGTTTCCACTGCATGAAAATGACACTCCTTTAATAAAAGGATGGGGGGTATTTTCTGTTTAACCTGCATTCATTCATTCAACAAACACGCCCACTCTGCCAGGCGCCATGCTGGGCACAAGGAGGGGGAGAGTGAGCAAACAGCAACCCAGTCCCTGCTTCTATGGCACTCGTCTGGACCAGGGTTTCCAGGCCTCAGCACTGTTGATATTTTAGGACCCCACAGTCTGGTGCGGTTTGTGGGGGGACGTGTGGATGTCTAGTAGCATCTTTGCTCTCTACCCCCTAGATGCTGGCAGCACTCCCCGCCTGCAGTTGTGACAATCAAAAATGTGTCCAAACACTGCCAAATGGCCCAGGGGAGGGGACAAAACCACCCCAATTGAGAACCACTGTTGTAGAGGGAAGACAGGCGGTGATCAAAGAACAAGACAAGTGATGTATAATTACAGAGACTTCAAAGACAGAGTCGCTTTCTGAAGGGTAGGAATACAATTATAAGAAAGCAGTTGACAAAGGAATCAGACGGAATGATCAGGACCGGACTGAAAATCAACTCTGTTGAGTTAATCTCCGGCAATCACACAGTGCTTTAGCTTCCGGTCATAGAAGGTCACAATGGAATGTCAAGAGAGCGCTTTCATTTCTTTCTGATTTCAGCCTCAGAATGGCCTTTGCAACGCAAGGTTCAGCTCAGCCATGGAGAAGTCAGGGAAGATGGATGTGGCTGAGGCTTTAGAGCTCAGTGAAAAGCTGGTACGTACCTCCAGCATCCAACGCACTGCTATCCAAAGCCTGGGTCCCCTGCAGTCAGTGTTAACCACGGGATAGTTTAAATGTCAACCTCACGTACCTGTTTAGTTGTTCTAATAACTCTGCAAGACCTACCTACTATCCCAGCATGGGTCAGGAATCGCATAGCCAAATTCCTTGAAAAACTGGGTAGTTAGAATGAAGTGTTTGTATCTGTTGTCATTTTTCACCCCCGGTTCTCAAAAAAGGCATAGCGTAAATGGATGTGGGAGAAATGAAAGTCACGCTGAAAGCCCCAGTTGCACTCCTTTCAAAGCGTGTGTGTGTTCTCTGCAATTGCAGAAAGTGAATGAAACAGAATTAGACTATTGGCCTCCTTAAAGCGGCCACCAGCGGCCTCCGGTAATGCCTCTTATACACGAACGTTTTCCTTGTAGTACCTGGATATGAGCAAAACCCTTGGAAGTCTGATGAACATCAAGGACATGTCCGGCCACGTGTCCATGAAATACCTCTCCCGCCAGGAGAGGGACAAGGTCAACCAGCTTCGACACAGGGACCTCGACCTGGTATTTGATAAGATCACCCAGCTCAAGAACCAACTGGAGAGGAAAGAGGAGCTGTTGAGAGGATACGAAAAGGACGTCGAACAGCTCAGGTACCTCGGCACCCCCACATCCCCACATAAAGGCCCGTGCCTCCCTTCTCCTGGCTAAACTCAGGCTAGCAGCAGACACCTAGGCCTGGGACACGACAGAGACCCGAGTGTGGAATCCCTAAAACATCAGAAAGGTAACAAGGGGGGCACTGACTAGGCCTGGTAGAGGGAATTCTGTCCCTGAGATGGTGGCTGCAGAAGTGCATGGTTTCTCCATTCTGTGGACTATTTTCTGTGCAAGCTGCACCTCTCACAGCCCTCGACTTACGGTTTCCCACTTGTGTGGCGTTGACAGCTCTGTCATATTTTCAGGAGTCACAGTTCCCCGCTCCCCGGGAAGTCGGGAGGGGCCGGTAGCACCTCCTTTATCCCCTCCCGCTACACACTCGGCTGACGAGCGGCTCGTTCCGCTCTCCGTGTCCCAAATCTTCGACATCCTCTCCTGCTTGCGTGACACTCATGAGTGAGCCCCACCTGGATGTATTTTGAGAGACTTCCAGCTCTGGCACATTGATGGTGATTGGGAAAGATAAGGGAAAAAGAGACGCCATCTCTCCTGTGCACCTAGGCGGAGCAAAGTGTCCGTTGAGATGTACCAGTCGCAGGTGGCAAAGCTGGAGGATGATATTTACAAAGAGGCCGAAGAAAAGGCCCTGCTGAAGGAGGCCCTGGAACGCATGGAGCACCAGCTGTGCCAGGAGAAGAGGATCAACAGGGCCATCCGGCAGCAGAAGGTGAGGCGCTGCTGCCAGGGCAGAACCTCCCTGGCTGCCCTGCAGCTCCCATTAGCAATGGCCAAGGGAAGTCCCTGGAGGATCCAGGTAGTGCAGAACACATGGATGGATGGAAAGGGAGGCAACTGGATAGCTTTTGCATCAGACAGACCTAGGTTTAGACCAGAGCTCTACCACTTACTATGTGACCTTAGATAGGTTTCTTAACCTCTCTGAGACTAATGGTGCTCATCTGTATTTTTCTAATGGTGGCTGTTATTCATATTTATATTAATCTGCCAGGTGCTAGGGATATATAAGCTCTCAGAGAGTGGAGATTTGGATTCACTATTCTGAGTGTCTGGCACGCAGTAGACACCCAGTAAATATTTGGTGAATGGATGGGTGGAAGGACAGACAGGTTGATTGATAGACAGATGGATGAATAGATGGACTGAGGAGTATACAGGTGGATGGGCAGATGGATGTCGTCGAAGAACATATCCCTTAGTGTGGAACAGACAGAGAGCTGACTTCAGGTGGATTCCATCACCGAAGGGTGCCAGGGCTGTGCAGTCCAGGGAGGGCACTCAGCCTGCCTAGCGCTTGCAGGGAGGGCCTGCCAAAGCCCCGATACTGCCAGTGACTGCAAAGGAGAGCTGGAGCTTGCCCACCAAAGAGATGAAAGGGTGGGCATTCCCGGCTGAAGGAGCCACGGAGGAAAGGCGTGAGGATGAGATTTGCTTCCTGGCGCAGAGTTGGAAATAGCACTGGGTTGAGAAACCAAGATTCCAGTCTCGGGCTGGTGACCCAGGGAAAATGGGTCCCCTCCCACCACACACACACACACACACACACACCCCCTGGTATCTCATCTGTAACACAGTACAGGAGTCAGCCAGTCCTGGGCTCAAATCCCTGCACTTATTAACTGTGCGACCTTGGGCAGGTCTCTTTCCCTCTCTGAGCCTTGCTTTCCTCATTAGTAAATGGGAGCTTCCAGCCCCTGCCTCGCAGGCGGATGGTGAGGATGAAACAATGCAGGCAGCCCTCGCTATCTGCTGTCCACTCTCGCTGTCATCAGACCTCGGGAGCCAAGTGCTTTCGGACGGTGAGGGTGCTTGTCCCGTCTCTGAAGCACCTGCCCAGGGCCTGGCACCAGCCGGTGGACACTGCCTTCCCCATGCTGCCCATGACCCGTGCTGCCCATGACCCGTGCACCTGATCTCCTGGGTGAGTCCTGCCTCAGACCCAGTAGGGTCTACACACTGGAAAGTTTCCCCAAACCAAGTCACGCATGAGCAGCACCCAGGCGGCTTCTGAAGCTCCCTGAAAGCTGGCAGAGGAGCTTTCCTGTCTGCTTTGCAGTTTACATACTCATCATCCACTCCTGCAGTCCACAAGGCACTGGAACAGCAACTTCTAAATAGAACCGGACTCTCCCTTTCCTTCACTCTTGCCTAAGGTGGAGCAGATCCCAAGGCTGGGGTTAGGCAAGTAAGGGAAAGAGCCACAGCCACCGTCTCTTCATGACCGTCTCCAGGCCAGGGACTGGGCTCATCTGAGCTTTGCAGCCATGATAGGGCTTCTAATAGCCTCTAATAGCCATGCCTGGTACGATGATCCCTATTTTACAGATGAGGAAACTGCGCCTCAGAGAGTTAAGAGACGCCCAAGTGCACACAGTGGCTGGTAAGGAGGGCTGGGACCTGACCCCAGATCCCTCTGACCCCGATTCTCCTGCTCTCTGTGGGGTTGGCCCTGAGTCCCCTCCTTGTAACTGTCAGCTTTTATGTGTGCATGCATGCTTGTGTGTGTGTGTGTACATGTGTGCCATGTGCATGAGGGTTTGCCTATGTGTGACACTGTGTGTGTGTGTGTGTGTATGTGTGTGTGTGTGTGTGTGTGTGTGTTGCCTGCCTGAGCTCAGAGAGGGCCAAACCCCCAGGGAAGGGTGCCCCCTCCACCAACCAGGTGACCTCCTTGCAGAGGCCTGGCCTTCATTCCACAAACCTTGCAGACCACAGGTTCCCTGGCTTGTAGCCCCAAAAATGAAGTCAACGTCCTGCTCTGGACACGGCCTTTCCAGCACTCACCACTCTGAATTAAACATCACAGGCCCCCCTCTGCATATGTCATGGGGCCGCCTCAGGCAGAGGACGGTTTCCTTTCACGCTGTGCCATGTCAGGGAGATCTGGGCAGCAACAGAGGCCTGAGATGTCCTTTGATGTGCCCACTGGAGAGCTCGCTCCTTCCCGAGGCAGCGTCCCCCAGGGCTTGGCAGGCCAGGCCCACAGCAGAGACACCAAACCACAGAATGGGACGGCAGAGGGCCCTAAAAAGCCCATTGTCATGCACTGGCTGAAAATGAAAGAAAACCTGCAGATTTACATAATCAGTCCACATGCATTATTCATGGCCTCCCTAGCACACACAATGCGCGCTGGCCAGCCGTCCACGGAGCGGGGGAGGAAGGTCCGAAGCGGCCAAGCCAAACCTGTGTCAGGTCCCCAGCTGGAGCCGGGAACTTTCAAATTTGTGGAATTCACAACGTCGGGAAAGATTTGATAAGAAGTAGAGCCACGGTCACAGCAAGGCTGATGGTGTCATTTATGGAGCACTTGCTGTCAGGCGCACCCCACAGGGCACGGCCCATCTTTACCTCATGTCAGCCTGCAAGGAGGGCTGCTGGGCATCTGCCCACTGAGGGGAAACTGAGGAGGTCAGAGGGCGGTGTCACCCGCCGGCTACTCCGCTACAGAAACGGGACCTCAGCGACCTCCGATCCCGACCCTCCCAGCCCATCCACTCATCCACCTCATTCCTTTCCAGGGTGCACCCCGCCTACTCCGTCACTATTTCTCTCGGGGTTCATCCCCAGACTCAGTTTGCATTTAAGGTTTGTGACTAACATGTTATCAGAAACTCCTGTTTGTCAAGGGAAGAAAAAAGGGGGAAAAAAATCTCTTTTTTTCTTGCTGTTCAAGAGTTTGACAACATCACAGAAAACAGTTTTTTTTTCAGTGTTGCAAGATTCAAAAGGGAACCTGTATACATCTGTCTGGGCAGCAGCTGCTTCCTAGGAGTATATTTTTATTAAATCGAAGTTAAAGGAAAGTAGAATTCCTTTAAGTTTCACACCTAATATTTTCACAAGGAGTCAATTTTTTTCCAAGTCTCCTGTATAAAATCTCGGCGCCCCTTCATAAAGATGGAACAGTCGAGTCTCTGGGAAACGAAATTAGTCACCTTGAGTTTCAGAACTACCCGCCCCTGACACACAAACAACCACTGTAGTTTTAACACCTGAACATCTCTTCACTGAGCAGAACTTCCCAGCGTCAAAAGTCATCCTTCCAGCCGGGCAGGGCAGCTCACGTCTGTGATACCAGAACTATGGGAGGCTGAGGCAGGAGGATCACTTGAGACCAGCCTGGGCAACATAGCAAGACACCACCTCTAAAAATAAAAATAAACAAATTAGCCAGGTGTGGCACCACACACCCGTAGTCTCAGCTACTTGGGAGGCTGAGGCAGGAGGATCACTTGAGCCTAGTAGTTTGGGGCTGTAGTAAGCTATGCTCACGCCAGTGCCCTCCAGCCTGGGCAACAGAGCAAGACCTCGTCTCTTTTAAAACAGAAAAAAGGGCTGGGCGCGGTGGCTCAAGCCTGTAATCCCAGCACTTTGGGAGGCCGAGACAGGCGGATCACGAGGTCAGGAGATCGAGACCATCCTGGCGAACACGGTGAAACCCCGTCTCTACTAAAAAATACAAAAAAACTAGCCGGGCGAGGTGGCGGGCACCTGTAGTCCCAGCTACTCAGGAGGCTGAAGCAGGAGAATGGCGTAAACCCGGGAGGCGGAGCTTGCAGTGAGCTGAGATCCGGCCACTGCACTCCAGCCTGGGTGACAGAGCCAGACTCCATCTCAAAAAAAAAAAAAAAAAAAAAAAAACAGAAAAAAGGCATAGTTCTATACTAATACCTCTGACAAATCAGACCTGACATAAAATGCTGGGAAATTCACAGAGAATGAACAGTGCTGGTCATTCACAGAGAACCTCATGGTCATCGGCCTCCTAACTCTGGGATGCCCTGGGTCCACAGCTCCCCTGCAGTGACAGTGTGACAGTGACAATGGCCCAGGCTGTGCCCCATCTAGTTCACTTCCCACATTGCTAAATAAGGCGGCAGAGTTTCTCTGAGATGAGAGGCAGACTTTGGAGTCGAACAGATAGGGCAGAGGGTTCAAGCCCACCGCTGTCCCTGAATGAGCCTCAGTGGGTAACTTTACCTCTGTCTCAGGTTTCTCAACAGCGGCAATAACAGGAACAACAGGACCTGCTTCGTGGGGTGGTTAAATGGTGTGATGCCAGCAGAGCCTGTCACAGAGCAAGCTCGGTTACTCGGTTACTGTGGGGGAGAGAAAAGGCCACTCAGGGGCGGGGGCAATGCCTGCATCGCTTTCAATGAGCTTCCTGCCCGCTGGCAAGTCCTGCAGACCCCGAGACTTTTTCCTGGGTCCTCCTAGAGCCAGCCGTGCCTTTGTAAAGCTGTCTTTTCTATTTAGTGAATACAACTAGGGCCACAGCCAAGAAACAGCCGATATTTTCGTGAATGGGTTAAGACTGGGATTTTCAATAGGAACATTTTAAACGCACAGAAGTTGCCCTTGGAGAAGGATGCAAGCCCGTTCTTCGGCCTTTATTAGGACTTGAATGTGAGAACCGCTGAAATATACTAGCTGCTGCTGGCTGGGGAGCAGCCCAGCTCCCCTTCCGGGCTCCAGCCAATGAAATCCTCCCCAAGGGGCTTGGCTACAGCTTTGCGGAGTGGTCTCAGCTGGGCTGGAGCCCCTAACCTTCCCTCTGCATTATGAGCTCAAGTCCCTCATCTTTAAGATGAAAATAAAAATGTGCTTAACCCACAGGAGTCAATCCCGTGAAGGAACGCATATAAAAACCCTTAGCTAACAGGACCTCTCAATCATGCTCTTTTCTCTCTTTCTTTTTCTTCTTTTCTTTCTTTTTGTTTTTTTGTTTTTGTTTTTTCTTTTTGTTTGTTTGCTTGCTTGAGACAGAGTCTCGCTCTGTTGCCCAGGCTGGAGTGCAGTGGCACAATCTTGGCTCACTGCAACCTCTGCCTCCCAGGCTCAAATGATCCTCCCACCTCAGTCTCCCCAGTAGCTGGGACTACAAGGCACTCGCCACCAGGCCCGGCTAATTTTTGTATTTTTTCAGTAGAGGGTCATTTTTGTATTTTTTAGTAGAGAGTTTTACTGTGTCACCCAGGCTGGTCTGGAGCTCCTGGGCTCAAGTGATCTGCCCACCTTGGCTTCCCAAAGTGCTGGGATTATAGGCATGAGCCACCACACTCGGCCATCGTATCAGTACTGTTTTCTACATCATCGTATGAGTACTATTTTATGTAACTATTTCCCAAGATTTTCATTGGCCCAGGTATTTTCAAGATCCTGGTTTCCTCAGCACCACTATATGTGTTTTTGATCAAAAAGTAGAAATTGGTAGATGTGTGGGATGAGAATAGAATGGGGGCTTGGGGGTGGTAACCTCGGGCCCTCACCAGGATGGAGAAGTAAAATGTGGCTAGAGTGGTGCAGTGTGTGGATAGAAGATGGCTCAAGAAAAAGATACCAGGCCGGGTGCAGTGGCTCATGCCTGTAATCCTAACACTTTGGGAGGCCAAGGCAGAAGGATAACTAGAGGCCAGGAGTTTGAGACCAGCCTGGGCAACGTAGCATGACCCCCATCTCTACAAAAAATAAAAAATTAGCTGGGCGTGGTGACTCACCGGTAATCCCAGCACTTTGGGAGGCTGATATAGGAGGATGGCTTGAGCCCAGGAGATGGTGACCAGCCTGGGCAATATGGCAAAACCCCATCTCTACTAAAAATTTTAAAAATTAGCTGGGTGTGGTGGTGCATGCCTGTAGTCCCAGCTACTTGGGAGGCTGAGGTGGGAGGATCGCTTGAGCCTGGGAGGTCGAGGCTACAGTGAGCCGTGGTCATGCCACTGCCCTCCAGCCTGTGTGACAGAGTGAGACCCTGTCTCAAATAAAAAAGAAAAAGACTCCCCTGCAGTGATCGCCTATCTTCTGCCCACCTGAGTGAGTCCCAGCATCTCCTGGAAACCTCAGATGCCTGTCCTAGACTGGAACAGGTAAGGACACACTAAGGTTAGCACTCTCTTGCTAACCTGATACTTTTCACTCAGGAAAGTGTAGAGGAGCACGAACCGAGAAACGCAAAAGAACCGACACCTTGCAACTGTGCCTTCAAAGAGAAAGAGAAGCAGGTATGGGAGGTGTTCTGATGTTGCAGACACACAGCAGTGACAGTCTCAACAGGGGGTAAGAGCTCGTGGCGTGCAAATCCCTGCACAAACTGTGCCTTCAAAGAGAAAGAGAAGTGGCACAGTGTTCTGATGTTGTGACACAGCAGTGACACACATAGTCTCAACAGGGAGCCCATGGTAAATCCCTGCACAAGCTGCCCAAGGAGCACCGTACACCTCCCTCTCTCTACCTTCCGTCCCCAGCCCCTGCCCCACTCCTCCTCCTCTCTCTTCCCAGCCCTGCCCCACCTCCTTCCCTCCCTTCCTCCCCAGCCCTCGCCCCACCTCCTCCTCTCCTTCTCCCAGCCCCCGCCCCAACTCCCTCTCCCCTCTCTCCCTTTCCTCCCAGCTCCCCTGCCCCCACACCTCCCTCTCTTTCCCAGGGCCTCTGCCCACTTCCTCTCCCTTCCCAGCCCCTGCCCCACCTCCCTCCCTCCCTTCCCTTCCCTCCCCAGCCCCTGCCCCATTTGAACCGATGACCTAAGAGACAAGCAAGCATCAAGCCCAGTCCGTTAAGGTGAGAGAAGGCAGAAGGGATATTCCAGCGCAGCTTTAGCTCATGGAGCAGCCATCCTAGGCCACTAAGTGACTTGGGGACTTGGAGACAAGGTCCTAAGAGAAGAAGGGAGGAGTGAAATGAGGGGGGTGAAAGAAGGTGGGAGTGGTTACAAAACGGAGTGGGAATGAGGATGAAAGTGCCTCGAATAAGTACTTCCATCCCTGCTGAGGGGGAGCCCTGTTCGACTCCCACCTTCCTGGCAGCCAATGAGAAATGGGAAATCAACTTGGTCACAGTTCACAGTGTCCATGAGATACGATGGATGGACGCTCACAAGTGCTCTTAGAACAAAGACCTTGCTGGACTTTCCCCCTGGAGGGGATGGTGTGTGACGTAAAGAGCAGCATCTTTAAGAACAGCCTTCGTGGGGTGACGTGGGCTGAGCCATGGCTGAGAACAGCCCTTGAGACAGATGGATGTCATCACATCCCACTGAATCCAGTCAAGTTCAGTAAAAGCAGATCTAGCAGATCTGTACGGGGCGGGGCTCTGCTCTCCAGTGCTCAGGTGTCCACTGAGCGGACTTCATGTGGGTAAAGAATCCTGCTGACACACCTGTAATCCCAGAATGTTGACAGTCCAAGGCAGGCGGATGACTTGAGCCCAGGAGTTCGAGATCAGCCTGGGCAACACTGGGAAACCCTGGCTCTACAAAAGCACAAAAAATTAGGCATGGTGGCGTACACCTGTAGTCCCAGCTACTCGGGAGGCTGAGGTGGGATAATCTCTTGAGCCCAGATTTTAAGACTGCGATGAGCCACTTGAGCGTGCCGCTGAACCCTAGCCTGGGCAACAGAGCAAGAACCTGTCTCAAAAACAAAACAAAACAAACCTGCTGGAAAAGAAGAAATTAGGAGGGAAGAGAGGTTTAAAACCATTGCTTGGCAAAATGATGACTCTCTGCTGAATTTGTTCCTCTCACTAACTTTGTGATAAATATTGAGTGGCTGCAGGCTCCAGGCCTTCTAGAGGTCAACTGTCAGCTAAATACAGGCCACGAGTCTTCACAGACTGTTGCTGTGGGAGAACAGTGGAGACTTATGCGCACCTATGCTCCTATCCTAAAAGACAGCTTGACTCACTGTCCCCGTGGGTCTGGGAAATGCCAAATGGGGTTGCCAGATTTAAAGGAAAAAAATAAAACAAGATACCCAGTTACATTTGAATTTCAGATAAATAACAAATAATGATTTAGTGTTAAGTATGTTCCAAATATTGCATGGGACATACTTAAAGTGTTTGTTTTCATTCTGAAATTCACATGTAACTGGGTATCCTGTATTTTATCTGGCAACCCGCAGCTGTCCACTGAGCTCCAGCTAGATGCCAAGCAGGGCGGCCCTGAGGCAGATGTCACAAAATGGCAGCCCAAGGCTATGCCTCTTTTGGCCCATGGAATTTTTTTTGTTTTGTTTTGGGGGTTTGTTAAAGTATCATTTCAAAATAAGGCACTTTTGGCCAGGCATAGTGGCTCACGCCTCTAATCCCAGCACTTCGGGAGGACAAGGCGGGCCGATCACTTGAGGTCAGGAGTTCCAGACCAGCCTGGCCAACGTGGTGAAACCTCATCTCTACTAAAAATACAAAAATTAGCCGGGTGTGGTGGTGGGCACCTGTAATCCCAGCTACTCAGGTGGCTGAGGCTGGAGAATCGCTTGAACCTGGGAAGCAAAGGTTGCAGTGAGCCAAGATCTCGCCACTGCACTCCAGCCTGGGCAACAGAGCAAGACTCTGTCTCAAAAAAAAAAAACAAAAAA